AGATAACCTTGTGCATTTCTTCGCCACCGTATTAGATAAACGCAGCCGGTATATCATCAGATCCTGGAGCTTTCCAGTTCTTTAGACTGTTAATAGCAATCTTGATTTCCTCCAATGTTATATCACTAATTATTGGTTTCGCTGTCTGATATTGTGCGTTTCCAATCGGGTTCACTGGTATTTCCGCATTTAGAAGATCTATGAAGTACTCCCTCCATCTTTTAGCTTTATTGCTTGGTTCCATAAGAGTATCTCCATTACTGCCCTTTATTGCCTTTAGGGTTGGGTTGAAATCTTTATATCGTCCAATTGACTTGAAGAAGTTTTTAATTTTTCCTTGCGAGCGATTTTTTTTAGCTTCTTCCAAAATCCCATTAATAAACTTCCTTTTTTCTCTCTACAATATTCTTTTGCAGTTTTCCCTTTCATCGAGAAAAATAGTCTTCGCACCCTGATTCTCAGATTTTATAAGATCTGATCTTGCTATACGTCTTTTTTCTACGGCTTCTCTACATACCTCATTATAACATTTCTTTTTCTTACTTTTATTTCCATTTTGTACTCCACCAACCTATTTCTTTTATGACTAGGCTAATCTTGTTCCATTCCATTTCTATATTCCCCGCTCTCCTATCGTTCAGCTGTATATCAATACTATCTGCATATTTTTTTCTAATATTTTCGTATTTCAATAGGTCTACGTTACACTTTTCCTCTTTTTAGGCTTTCCTTCCCTTGTAATTTGAGTTTGAATTTAGATATCAACAGGAAATGATCTGTGTCGATATCCACTCCTCTTTAGCTTCTTATGTTCTTTATGCTGGATCGAAATCTATTCTCAATTAATATATGATCAATCTGGTTTAGCGTATTTTCATCCGGAGAATTCCATGTAGCTTTATGTATATTTTTTTGGGAGAATGTCGTACTTCTCACTACCATATTATTTGACGCTGCGAATGAGATGAGTCATAATCTGTTTCTATTACTTATGACATGTAGGCTTTCTTTTTCTATGGTCGGGGTATATTGTAGTTCTCTCCCACATTTAGCATTTAAGTCTCCCAACATAATTTTGACGATATTCCCATGTAAACTATCCCATATCGGGAATTTAAAATACAACTAGCCATTAGCTGGAAGAATGTGTAACTCTCGCTCCCAATATTGACGTGGTTTGTATAATCAACGAACCATTATCGGCATATTTGCAGCTCAGCAAGATACCTAATGTGATCAATAAACGGATTTTTCGATTGAATTTTTAGATTCTTTGAATTTTCCTGGACTTCCACCACAAAAACTAACTTTAAAAATTGATGCTCCAATTATTTTAATACCGAATGTGAATACACCAAAATTATGCAACGGCACAAGATAACAAGTAAAGTCTTTGAAAAAAACGTCGATGAGGCGAAAATTCTGGTTGGCTGTTCCAAAGGTGAAAGTGTCTATATTCCGAGAATTCCAATGATAACAAATTACTTATCATTCGAATTCAAGCGCCTTTAATCTCCCAACAAACTGTGTTTCGCAATGACCACTGACAAAGCACAAGGGCAAACGTTGAAAATTAGAGATATTAATAACACAGAGCCATGCTTCACTTGTAGTAAATTTTATGTTGCATGCTCTCGAGTAAGCTTAGCAAATAATATACATATATATGTTCCTAACCAAAATACGGAAAACTATCAAGAAATATTAAAGCTTACTGGTTTCATAAATTATATCAACATTATTTCTATCTATAAAATAGTCTATAAGTCTATGAATAATTTTTGTCTATTAGTTTATCCATACGGTAACAATTCGGTAGTTTGAAGAGATATGATCTTATCTAAAAATGTGAGGTTTTTAAGTGAATAGAATTACAAACGATTTGGATATTTATTAGTTATTTATTAGTTGTAAACTGGTATAAACCATTTAAAAAAAATAGACATTTTAAATAGTTACAATTCGAATTTAACTGATTAACTAATTTTATGCAATACAATTTATTTTTAAAACAACAAAAAAAAAACATTTTAACAAAAACAATTAATTTATAATAAATTACAAATGGTATATAATACAGTAAGTAATATATTATGTATTGAAATTTGATAAGGCATTATACACATTCGTTTTAAAAACTTCACGAAACATAAAAAAAAAAAAATCAACAAAGTTTACTAATTTATTTGCCAACACGTGGAAAATATGATGCTGAGCAATAATTAGTGGTAAAAAATGGTATCATACAAAAAATAATTTATTTAACCTGAAATTAATCTGACTCGTGTGAAGGCCAACCATTGATAGTAACTCAGGGCAATCTATAAAACCATTGTGCAAATCATATAAAAACATTAGATCACTAACTTCTCTTCTAAGTTTACAAGATGTAATTTCTAGCTGAGTAGACTGCAGAATATATGAATCTCTAGATAGTTCGATATTTAATTTAAAACATATAGATTTGGTATATTTATATTGGACATTTTCTAATAGATTAATAGAGGCTGCATAATATAGGCATAATATAGGGACCAAACTAAAGAGCCATACTCTAGCTTAGATCTAACGAGAGAGAAATTTAACAGTTTTAAAGTTTAAATGTTTTTGAAGTCTTTAGTATTACTATTTACAAAACCTAAATTTCTAAAAGCTTTAGTAACTATTAATACATCGAGAAAAGGATAAATTATCCTCAAAAATTATTTCCAAATCCTTTATGGAATCAACCCTATTTTAAATAGTATTACCCAATTTATAGTTAAAGATTATTGAATCTTTTTTTACATGAAAACGATATAACCTGACACTTATTTGTGTTGAGAGGTAACTCATTTAACTTACTCTTACTTACTTACTTTAACTATTTAACTTTAGCTTAATTTTTAGAGAGTTAACGTATTTCCAAAAAAACTTTAAATTAGTTTAAACATTATATTCAATATTAGCCATAAATTTAAAATAAGTTGAGGATATTAATTGTTTACATTGTTTACGAAGATTTGAAAAATTAAGTAGTCCGAATGAAGACCACTAATTTTACCGACTCTGTAATAATAGAGTCCATAACATTAGACACTGGTGATTCATCGTGCTTGATTTTATCAACAATAATAAGTGCAGTTGATTTTGGAATATTATAGATTATTAGATTTGAAGCTCTCTGACTATGATCATTTAATTCATTTATTAATCAATCAAATCTTCTGAAATCGGTTTATTGGCATATTTACATACTTTAAGCTCATTTACATTAGTTAACAATCGATTTATTAATTGATTCAATTCTGGAATATCGCATGACGGACAAAAGTATTTCAAAATGCGATTTTTTAAAGATAAACATTATTTCTCACCAATAGTAAGTCCAGAGCATTTATTATGTGCTTGAAAGTCACAAGAATCACATTTAAATGGAATATCCAGGTCAGCAAAATTTTGATTGCAGGCAAAGCACGTGCAAGCCATGATTTTGTATAATAAACGTATGTAAGTCGTACTGCAAACAATCATTCAATAACAATGTACAAAACTTTTTATATTTATATTCTCGTACCTTTATTTGTCACATTTAAATAGGCATATAATTTCAGTGAATAATAGGATTTATCACTTGTATACGGATTTTTGTTCCGAGCACATCTTTATGCAACCGAACCATTACATTGCCACTACATTCCTTATCTGTTCATTGACTAGGTAGGTATGCATATATTATGCGGTACGCCACGGGAACGATACTGTAACTCTACTGGTATAGTTATAAAACATCTAATAATAATAATAATACATACACACATAAATAATACATCTTTACTGGTATAGTTATATATTATAGTCAGAGGTGGAATTAAGAATTTTTACGCCTGAAGAAAATGTTAAAATTACGCCCTATCATAGACCAATAATCAAGTACTTTATTCGAGAATTTTTTTCTAATAATTAATATATAACAGGGGTGGCCAAATTGCGGCTCGCGAGCCGCATACGGCCCTCGTCATAGTCGTATGCGGCTCGTGGTCTTAATTACAAAAACCAAAATATTTTAATTTTTTTGTATACATTTATAAAAAAAAAATTTTATTACATAGATACGAGGCTATAGTGTACAGATTAATAAACAAAAAAAAATTTATTTATATGAATAATAAATTAAAAAATTAAACATCAAGTTAAATTTGTTTGTGTGGTATTTTTTTCATGTCCAATTTTGTAGTAAGCTTCTTAAGATCTGGTTGAATTGATGTAAGAGTAGTTCTTAGTAATTCTGTGAGATGATCATTAGTCAAATTTTAACGATATATTGACTTAATTATTTATATGTATATATGTTTATCAACTGTTAGCTTTCTTAATTACTTTTGTATTATAGAAGTACCGATTAGATAATTTGACTCTTAATATAATCTTTTTAATACATGTGGCTCGTGTACATAGACATGTTGGCCACCCCTGATATATAATCATACTTATTGAGTTTTAACCTAATATCAGTATTTAACAAAGTTAAAAATATCAAATTATTTGTTAATAATTACAAAAATTACACTCTAAAATTTTACGGCCGGGAATGAATCACCGTCTTCCACCCCCTAGTTCAACCCCTGATTATAGTATATATAGATCCACCACAAATGGACCTACTCGCATCTCGGTCTTCACTCAAAAAGGCGGGTAAGAAGCTCATACGTCCGTATAGTCGCTGGTCGCTTGTTATCCGGTTTACTTGCGGAATAACGCTTGCGGGAGAGCGAACGAATGTTATGGGTACAGCGATATTTGTACACGTAAGCTCCGTACTTGGTATGAATCGAAAAAGATCTACAACACGACGCCCGTTATCATAATCTGTGGGCAACTTATATTGCGCAAAGACGTTGTACACTACGGCCAAACCACAGAGTATATATATTCGAAGGCCGAACGATTGCGTAGTTCGTTCGGATACGGTCTTCCGTGTTATCAGTATTTTTCACTTTCCCCCCGTCTTACGTTATCTGACGATAACACAACTAAACCACAACAAGATATTATAATGAAATTCGACGCAATGCAGTATCACGGAATAAGATTAATATAATAACCGTTGGTTGTTATTGTTTCTTTTTGTCCACCGTCGTCGCATATTACTCTGACTCGTCGGTTTCGAAACCGGTGGTTACAACGGCACTGATATACAATACCCGGTACGCTACCCGTTAATGCGCACCCGTTTTTCGTTGTACGGCACAACGCGCTCGTTGGCAATCCTCACCTACCGACTTCACCATGAACAGCAGCGATAGCGATGATCTGACCGAGGAATTTCTAACAGACGATACCCAAAACTTTCTGTCCCAAGGTCAGTGCACGAAAAAAATATCTATATGTCAGATAGCACTCGATTTCGATGTGAAACCCTTTTCAACTACCCCTATAGGACACATACAGTTCGAAAACGCTTATGGCTGATACAGTCCTACCTACTTGAACTACATTTTTTTCCAATTCAACACACACAAAATAATTATTAAATGTTTTACTTTACTTTTTTTGGGCAGGACAAGATACTAATGATGGTGTTGAAATGATTACATTGGACAATACAGATGACTCATCAAATCAGGGAGACGTTTATGAACTAAAATATGGTAAACCACTTCGCGAACAGGATAGATTTCTTCCCATTGCTAACATTGCTAAAATTATGAAAAAATCTATACCAGACGGAGGAAAAGTCAGTAAACAACCCAACATATATTTATGGCTATTAATGTAACTAACATAATAAAAATGAAAAAATATATTTTTAAAAAAAATTTTCAAGTAATCGAAATAAATTAATATATTTCATCTGAATTCATTAAATATTTAAATATTTCATTACTATACTTTTGTTTGAATGCTCAAGTATACTTTTTTTTCATGGGTTTTTTAGGGAATAAATTTTGTTAAAGTATATTTATGACATCCAATAAAAATAAATTAGCTACTCTTTGGATATTATATAGTAACATTACTTATAGATTGCAAAAGATGCAAGAGAATGTGTACAAGAATGTGTATCCGAGTTTATAAGTTTCATAACCAGTGAAGCAAGTGACCGTTGTTTCCAAGAAAAACGAAAAACTATAAATGGAGAAGACATTCTGTATGCAATGTCCAATTTAGGTTTTGACAACTATGTAGAACCCTTAAAAATATATTTGCAAAAATACAGAGAGGTAATATATTTATATCATTTTATATGCATATTGGTAAAAATTGTCTATGAAAATAAATTTTTAGGCTACTAAAGGAGACAAGTCAATTGGAATTGAAGAATTATCTGACGATGTATTTTGTAAGTTATTTTGTAAAATTCTTATTTATTTTTATTATTATTTCATACATTATTTAATTAATTGTTTTGGGTTATAGCAAATGATGGAAATTACACAAAAATATTTGGACAAAATAGTCAAAATGAATCAGTCATTTACTACCAAGATCCAATTCCACAATTCCATATTGGATAATAGCTAATACATTTTGTATTTTTTTTTCTGTGATTTAATATTATGTACCTATAAAAAAAAAATTGTTACACTAGTTAAAATTTTATTGAAATATATATTTTGTAAAGATTAATTTTATATTAGTAGAGCCTTGATAATCTAAACAGAACATGTAAATATATTATAATTTTATGACTTTGTACAAATCTATTGACAACTTTGTCTTTGTAGATTAAATTAAATATTTTTAATTAAATCACTGTAAAATGTAATTTGATTTATATACATATATATATGTTCTGCATAGGTAGCATAGTTAATAATTATTTTTATTTTCAATTATAGTAATCAGAGGATATTCTAATCCTATAATTGCCTAAAAATAAATATATATTATTACTTCTAAAATCAGTAGTACGGAATATAAAAACTGATCACACAGCTTAATGTTTGAAGGTCAGTCAATTAAAACTAATGATATTTTAATGAAACAAAATTTCAAAATAAACTATTATAAAATTAAATCTTAAATTATATATTATAATGAATATTGCCAATTGAAACTGATAAGAAATTCTCAGTTATGAACTTTTATAAATTCTGTTCATTTTTTATAACTAAGACTATGACTAATAAACGTAATTATAATTTGTTACCTCCAATGAACATAATGAATATAATTAATTTACTTATTTAAAACCCATATCCAAATATTTACTTATTGTTCTAATTTATTAATTATTAATACATTAAGACTACTAAGGTCTACCATTATTTCAAGATTTACCAAAAAATCAAATAAAACAATTCCAAATTATAAAAAATTTGTATTTGGCCAATTGCCAGTATTATCATACTAAATTAACTATCTAAAAATAAATATCTTTATTCAATATTTATCTGGGGTAACAAGAATACAGTTTTTCTTTAATATTTTCACAATACTCTGAAACTAAGAATTTTACTTGCTATTTCTACCCCCAACCTTGTATTTGTTCAAATACAATAATAGTCTTGCTTCCAATCACATCGGTGGGTACTGAACGTTGGGACCATCGAACTCTATATAAAACTGGAATGCTCACCAACCAGTGTTGCCGAGAGAGCATGTTAAAACGAGATGGCACATACTAATGGTGTTATTATCTTTGTTTTGCACATGGCAATAATATATTAATAACATATTTTACCGCGATATTATTTTAGTTTTGTTTTTATAAGTTAGGATTTTAATTCATAACTCAAGCATATGAAATAACAACTTCATTTACAGTAAAATAATATTTATTAAAATAAAAACATAATGTTTATAATATTATTCATAATTAAAATTAAAAAGTACACTGACGCTACTTACCTTAGATTATAATTACAGTAGAACCTCGATTATCCGATCCTCCATTATACGAACTATAATTAGCGTATCCGAACATGAAAACTCGTATCCGGCCGGTTTATCGATTTATCAAATTATCATCAATCATTAGTAAATGACCAAAACGCAACGGGCTTATCTAAGCGATGTCCTCGTGTATAACTTGACAGTTTAGTTCGGCTCTCTACCGTACACACATCGTTATACATCGGACAAATATATTACGATTTTCAAGTAACTAAAATGTCTAATAAACGTAAACATCATGTTCTTACGATGGAACAAAAAATAGAAATTCTTGCTAAACTGGACAAAGGTGAGACTAGCGTATCTTTAGCCCGTATTTATAATATAGGTAAAGCAACAGTTACAGATATTAAAAACAACCGTCATACAATCTTGGATTTTGCGTCAAAGATGAATAGTGGTTATGGAATAAAAAGAAGAAAAGTTATGAGAGTCGCAAAATATCATGATCTTGACAAAGCAATAAAAATGTGGTTTATACAAAAACGAAGCTTAAATGAACCAATTTCTGGACCATATTTGAAAAAACTCTCGATATGAATACAAAACTTAAGGGTCCTGAAGATTTTAAAGCCAGCAGTGGCTGGCTTCATAAATTCAAATCTCGACATGGAATACGTGAGTTACAAATTCAAGGTGAATTATTGTCAGCCGATTCAAGTAGCGCTGAAAATTTAAACAAACATTCCAATTATTTGTGGAAAAAGAAGAATATTCTCAAGATTCCGTTTACAATGCCGATGAAAGTGGCACTACCAAAAAAATCACTTGCTTCTTGTCAAGAACATGTAGCATGTGGTCTTAAGGTATTCAAAGAAAGAGTAACAATTATGATATGTGCTAATGCTGCTGGGACCCATAAATTGCCATTACTACTCATAGGAAAATCAAAGAAACCACGGTGTTTCAAGAACATCAAAAGTTTACCTGTAACGTATAAAACTCAAAAGAATGCCTGGATTGACTCTAAGTTATTTCTTAATTGGTTTGAAAATGATTTCATAAAAAATGTAAAAAAATGGCGTCAGGATCATCACAAGACAGGTAAAGTGTTACCAGACAATGCACCCACTCACCCATCCACCAAAGTATTAAATTTAATTGATCCAGATTATCAAATCGTGTTTCTTCCATCAAACGTAACGTCTTTGATTCAGCCCATGGATCAGGGAATAATCGAAAAGTTCAGAAGAATGTACCGAAAACAAATGTTGGGGAGACTTTTATTAAATTTAGACACTGAAGAGAGTGTTGTTGCATTTTCAAAATTATTGAATTTGAAACACTGCTGTTACATGGCAGCAGATGCCTGGGATAATTTGACTGAGAAAAATTTACAAAATACTTTGAAGAAGTTTTGGGTTGCTTCTATGGAGTTAGAAGCCGAAGAAAAAACTGATCTAAATAATCTTGATGATTTTGTTGATTTATTTAATGAAATTCCAGGATTTAATGACTGTAATTATTATGACGCTATTGATTGGTTAGCGACTGGTGTAAATGATCTAGGATATCAAATATTAAATAGCGATGAAATCATTTCTTCGTTGCAAAATGAAGAAAGTGACGATAGTAATGATAAAAGTATGGGTACACCAAAAGGACCAGCATCTGCTAAAGCATTTGCTGCTTTTGAAACTGGTCTTGAGATGTTTTAAAAATAGGCCGAATGTTGTCCAACACAGTTACTTCTACTTAAACGTTTACGAGAATTGGCTGCAGAAGAGCGCATTGCAGCTCATCGTCAAATTAAAATTGATAATTTTGTCAAAAAATATAATAAATAAAATATGTAAATGCAGTGTATTTCTGATAATATAATGTATGTAATTCTAATGAAATATTAATTATAATAATAAATATTTAATTATAAAAATAATTAATTAATACATCATATTATAAAAAAATTTTATTTTATATTTCCAATATCCGAACTTTTGCATATCCGAACTAGGTGTGGTCCCAATTAGTTCGTATAATCGATATTCTACTGGACTACTTTCCTAACTTAACTTAATATTGTAGATTTATAATTTAGGAAATATTAATACTGTAAACAAAATCTTCAATACATTTTTACTTTATGGCCAAAATTTCGTAAAATAAATAATTTTTTAATGATACTATGAGACATTGTAGATAATCTAACTATATTCATAACCAAGGCCGGATTAAGCACCTAATGGGCCCCGGTGCTGAAATTTTATATGGGCCCTTTTGACAAAACATGCTTTACAAAGCCGCTCGTTAAGCTCGCAGACCGATACATTTTTTTAACTATTTCACAAATTATCAATTACATTATAAAATTATAAAATTAATAGGTTTAGTTCATAGGTTTTTTTTTTTTAACAAAGGTAAACAACAAATAAGGTAAATTATAATTTATAATTATCATTTTCAGTCTGTATGATTATTGATTTATTATAAAATATGAGACATTTTACTCGACTTAAATTTATATTATTATTATAATGTGCACATTTAACAATAAATACAATCGTATTCTAAAATAAACTAAATTGTGCGGGCTTTTTGGGTGGTGGTATTAACAAATAAAATACAAGTAGACGCTACTGATAATAAGTACATTTTTACAAATATATTTAAGTAATTTAACATTTTTGACAGTTTATTATTCAACGAGTCCAGACTGTGTCTATGAGCCCATTTGTAAAATAACATTTATTTTTCTAATAATTTTTTGTATATTTTATTATTTATTTTGCTATTTACAGAGCATATTTTAGAGTTTTTAAGTACATATTTAAGAGCTTAAAAGTATTATTTTTAGTGCTACAACTTCAGAGTTCTGATTATAACACATAAAATAACTTTGTAAACATATGTTACAAATAACTACAAAAATTCACCATCTTAAGTCATAACTGCACATAGCACACTATTTTAATTTTTTTTTAAACTTTGAAAACGCATAACAAAACGTTAAACGAACAACGAATTTAAAATGTATTGGTAATCAATTCATATAATTATGTATGATAAAAAAAGATAGCATCACCATTCTTATCTGCTGTCTTTTTCTAACACGCTCTCTCGGTTATGTTTGCATTGGTCTTTTTGACTGGTGAGCATTCCAGTTATCATATAGAATTCAATGGTTGGGACATAGTGTTATGGGCTGTTGTATCACAGATGTTTGCCCCGTTAGTATAGACAGCCCAATAAGCATGCTCACCATTGCTGTTTTGGTTTCTTATCACTAATGGCTGGGACCACCGTCACGAGCGGATCAAAACCACCCTGATCTATGCACATTATTATCAATTCTCCGTTATCATTCTAACATATAACATTATTCGGTTGATGCTCTTATCATTTTACTATATTATCTATACTATACTATCTGTATTATGTGTATTATATACAAAAAATAATTATGTATTATTGTTGTGTGACAGCACAAGATTAACCAAAATTAACACTAACCATAGATTATATGAATAATATATAGTATAATAGACATTATAATATATTATTATAAAATGTTGTACATAATATATATCTGTATTATACGGTGGTGGTGGCACTATTGATGAATAAGTTCTTTGATTAGTTGTAAGTGGATACAAGTTACAGTAACATTTTGTATCTAATTAATTATAAAAATAATAAGTAAAATGATAAGAGCATCAACCGAAAAATGTTATATGATACAGTGATAACGGAGAATTGATAATACTGTGCATGGATCAGGGTGGTTTTGATCCGTTCGTCCACCGACAAGCTAGCTGAAGGCATAGACCTTACACTCATTAATACTAGTATAAGGTCTATGAATGAAGGCTACATTTTCAATAATCCACTAGATAACAAAATTTCAGTGGCTCTCAAAGATTATTTTTTTTTTTTGGTTAAAGGCCTTTCAAGACCATCCCATCTCACACCCATTCCTCCATTCTTCAATATTCATCTCAAAGATTATTACTAAGTTAATACTCTTTACTGCTAGCTAATTATCGTATCCTTTAAAATCAGTGTGACCACCACATTAATGTATACTTTTATTGCTACGTTTATTAAGATGATACCCCAGTTCTCCCGGATTGATAAAAAATTGCATGCGGCAATACCATAGAGTAATATAATAGTAGTATCAGTGGCGTATTTTGGGGGGTGTCCTCCATGTCTGGACACCCCTCGACTTTAAAAAAAAATAAAGGCCTTATATTATATTGATTTTATCGTTTATTTTATAATGCTTTTATTTAATAATAAAATAAACGGCACTACGAAGTAAACAAAAAAATATAACTAGGCCAATATTGTGACAATAAAATAGCTTAGCTATCCACAGAGAAGTTAATATTGATGTCAATAAAGTGATTGACGAACGTATTTTAAATAAGAGGCACTTAGATCTCTAGTAATAAATAAAAATAATAATAATATTGTAATTTATTGTAATTTTACAATATATTTTAATATCTTTGTATCTGTACAATATTATAAAAGGTAATTTTTAGAATAAATCTCAGTGATTAGTATCAAATAATAACCTCCAACATGTCTATTATACCATGTAATGGTCTTAAATTACAAATTACTTGTTAATTTCTAGTTATTTAAAAAAAGTTAGTTCGATACTTCTTCACATCAGTAAATACGATCTATAAGGGACCTAAAGAATCAGATCGTTATATCCGAAACTCGTTGTATGCGGATGACGAAAACATTATCTTCGTGAGATATAAAATCGATCAAATATATAACTAGGAATCGTTTTAACAGGAATATCGCTGTGTACGGCATCGTAATAAGCGGAAATCTACTGTAGTTCTAAAATTTTCGTTTGTGAAGTTCATTAAATGTTGGACATCCCCCGAAAAATCACCCAAAATACGCCACTGAGTAGTATTACTCTATGGGCAATACGGATTACCGTTAAAACGAACATTTTCGAAAAACGTTTTAAATGTGTTCCGGGAGAATGCGGGCTATTAAAATATCAACGGAATATGAATGACGTCAGTCCGTATTGCTGCTTGCGCTCGGGCGATACTCTTTCAAAATTTATATATCGAAATTGGCCAGTGTTCCCATTGATATTTTCACACAATTAATTTTTCACATCGATTTTGCAGTAAAATTGACATATTTGTTGGACTTATCCACTTATTTTGACTGATTCTATTTTATTTTTCATCGTTATTGGTATCCGGTTGTTTAGATTTTGTTTTAATACGTGTTGTGGCTGCGCTGTTACCATACCAATTGACGAATTATGGTGCTAAGAAATTTCTACATTTAAAGGTGCTTGGGAGACACTGGGCTTCTTATCTATTGCTATTCGATTATAGCTAATGTAACCATCGTTTCGTACAGGTAAAAAGTGTATGAAAAAATTTCGCGCTCTCCAACAATTTTGGTTCAAGATTCGAATTAACAATGAACAGCAGCGATAGTGATGATTTAGCTGAAGAATTTTTAACTGACGACACTCAAAATTTCTTATCCCAAGGTGAGTATGTAGCGAACAAGTATAATCGTTCAAATTTTGATTTGTTACTATACTATTTAGTATTCTAAATATTATACTTATATTATACTGGATGTCGGTACAAGAAGTTTTTTAGCTTACTTTACATAAATACAATTTTTATCACATAGAAGTGAATTTTTTCTAATTTTTCACTCTCAAATTTCAATTTTATTTTATCATAATATTCCAATAGGTTTGTAAATTGTGAATAAGAAAAACATTACTCTTAGAAATAAAACACAGATTAGGTATTCTAATAACATAATATACATTAGTAATTATTTAAGTTTTTCATTAATTAATATAAATGTATAAAATTGATTTTCTGACCAGAATATTTTTCTGGGATTAAATACATAATGTATTTGTTACAGACAATTGTTTTTTACTTTTGTAAAAAAAAATCTCTCATCTCTTAAAATTTCTAATTCAGTTTGAACCATTAAATATAAACGAGATAGTGTTTGTGAAAAATTGTTTTTTGCTCCACTCAAGTTTTCTCATGTGGAAGAAAAATTATAAGATGTTTTTAAATTTTAATTTGCACAAGTATTAAGTTTCTCATAAATATTATGTTTAATAATATTATTATTAATACTCATCAATAAGGATTCATCATATTGATATATTTTTGACAATGAACCATATTAATTTTATTTTTATTATCATAAAAATTAGGGCAATACATTCTACTTTCTAGTAAGTTTGCGTTTCGCCTATTATAAATATTATCCTTAGATAATACTTTAATAATATATTTACTATTTTTTTCTTGTAGATCAAGATGGGATTGAAATGGTTACGTTGGATAATACAGATGACTCTTCTAATCAAGGAGAAGTTTATGAACTGAAATATGGTAAACCACTTCGCGAACAAGATAGATTTCTTCCAATTGCTAACATTGCTAAAATTATGAAAAAATCCATACCAGATGGAGGAAAGGTAAGTTTATAAATGAACATATGTATAGTTTATTTATTATATATTTAATGTTGTAAAATGAAGATATTGATTTTCTAAAAGAAATTTTAATCATTTGATTACTAATTATTAATGTTTATACTAAATTCTAAAAATATTTAACAACTCAAACCTACCTATTAATCTGTCAAGAGTATTACCTTAAATTCTGTAATTGATTATTGACACTCAATACCATAAAATAAATAAAAAAAAACATTATTCTCTAAATATTTTACAGTAGTTAATTTTATTATTTATAGATTGCAAAAGATGCAAGAGAATGTGTGCAAGAATGTATATCTGAATTCATAAGTTTCATAACTAGTGAAGCAAGTGATAGATGTTTTCAAGAAAAAAGAAAAACTATAAACGGAGAAGATATTCTGTATGCAATGTCTAATTTGGGATTTGACAACTATGTAGAACCCTTAAAATTATATTTGCAGAAATATAGAGAGGTATTATGTTTATATCATTTTATAATGATAACATCTTTTTAATTAAAAATTTTTTAGGCTACTAAAGGAGACAAGTCCATTGGAATTGAAGAACTCTCTGATGATGTGTTTTGTAAGTTATTTTGTTAATTTTTTATTTATTTTTCATTATTATTATATACATTATTTAGTTTATCATTTTGGTTTATAGCGAATGATGGAAATTACCCAAAAATATTTGGAACAAGTAGTCAAAATGAATCAGTCATTTACTACCAAGATCCAATTCAACAGTTCCATATTGGATAATAATTAATTTAATTGAAATTTTTACAATTTTTAAACTTAATTTTTTCTATAATTATAAATCATGTATCATATACCAAACAAATTAAATTATTGTTCAATGTAATTGTTGATTTTTTTTTTCATTAATGGTCCAAATTATATAAAATTTAAAGCATTTCAAATATGGCTATAAGTTACATAATTATTTTACAGTTTTTTTAATAAGTATATTCATTTTTAATAACGACTAAAAAACAAGAAATATAGTTTGTTTAAAATAGAATATCTCTATAGTTTCATTTAATTGCTACTGTTATGAATTTAAATATTATAAATAACATTATATTTTTCAGTTTTAGTAGTCTAACAGTATCAATAGTATAACTATAGTCCAGTCCTATGTGCAGACTATTATGTCTGATTACCAATACTATAAATATTATAAATACTATTAATATAAATATTAAAATAAATAATTATTAAAAAAAATGTTGTGAACAATGTAAACTTCATTATATCATTACAAATGTAGCATATAATATTTCCTTAGTGTATAGATACATATATTTTTGCAGTGCAAATATTTAACTGTGCTTTATTTAATGTTATACACATCAAATATCAAAATATTGACCCAATAATAATAGTTTTTCTAGGCGTGAGGAAAAAACTGTTTTGTAGTGGTAAAAATACGCTGTAAATAAGACTTTCGTTTTCCAGATTTTAGTTGTTTAGTCATAATTCCAAAAATAATATGACTAGAAACTTGAAACTTTTAACCTGTAGCAAAGATATTTTTTTTCGTATTTGATAACATTTTCAAATAGCGATTTTAATTTAAATATAGAACTTTAAAAATACCTAATTTTTTGAAAATCTTTATGAAATAAAATTTTTATTTTTGGATATTAAGTGAAAATGTAATATCACCTTACTCATATTTGAGTACTTAATTAACAATACTGAAAATTTTATAAAAATCGTTAGTTTGAAATTTATTTCATAAGTGTTTAAGTAAATGTTAATACCTACAATTTTTAAGAATTTTACTGTTTTTACATCAATTTTCAACATCAAATGTTTATTAAAAAAATTTTTTCCATCCAACATGATCCAACCATGATCAAACTTTAAATACAGATAAATATTTGGTTAAAAAAAAATTAGTAAAATTGTAAAAAATAAAATGTTAAACTGGTTGATAAAAAAAATGAATCTACCAATAATTAAACTAAAAATGGTAAATTATACTCATAAATGGTTAATATTTATACTGAATCTTTGCTCAACTGTTTTGATAAAGAAATAACTTATCATTTCTTTAAAACTCAGTATATTTACTACTAAGCTTGCCACTCGTCTCGATGTCCCGGTCAATCATTCATTTATCTCGGTTAATAGTAGCCTAGAGAAAATAACATTTAATATTATATAATGATTATATAATCGGTATGGTTACACACAATAATCATGTATTTTTGTGTTAGCCAATAAATATTTAAATTACAAAATTATTTACTTATTTTATTTTCATATAAAAATAAAAAAAGAGTTATTCAATATGATGGTTTAAGTTTAGGGATTTCAAAATCTGGTAACTCTACCTATTACTATTATCCAGTTCGAGGATCGGAAAGTCGAAAGATGAACTTCCACCACCATTCAGTGGCGTACAAACGGGGAGGGTTTCCGGGTTCAAACCCCCCCCAGGGCCAAAAAAAAAAAAGAAAAAAAGAAAATTGTTTTATTATTGATGACGTGTAATATATTCGTAGTTTCATTATTACGCTTTGAACTTAAAATATACAACTATACAAATATTATAATAATTAAATAATTATATTGATAGGTGTTTGAAAAATTTTATTAACTATGCTGTTTTTATTTTCCAACAGCTATTAATTTACTGTAATGTAAAAGTAAATTTTAAATTGGTAAAATAGTTGTATAAAATAATAACTGTTTATAGCAGTTTTTATCTTATTTATCTGAACAACGAAAAAAAAAGATAATGATTATTTTTGTTAAACCCTCCCCAGAGCAAGATCGAATGTACGCCACTGCCACCATTATTTAAATAATAAATTAATATATTTCTATGTACAATAAAAACTGTTTTTCTACACATAATGAACAATGAGTATTTAAATTAAAATTAACATGAATTAATTTGGGAGGTGCTAAGTGCACCCAAGCCCTTACCCCCTAATTGTTCCTATAATCAAACTAGAAACAGCTACTCTTATTTAAAGAAAACAACAGTTTAATCCGTACAGAAATGCGTGCTACGCAATTCATGTTTTGAACATTATAAAATAATAATATAGTATCATACCATAGTATAGTTTATTTATAGCCTTATTGGTTCTTCATAATATAGAGATAGCAGGTACAAGTTTGCAGTTAATAGACATTTTTGGTACATTGATTAAGTTTAAATTAAGTAAACAAATACTATTAACTTAACTCATTACTTATTAGTTAAATTAATCAAAAAAATGCCTGAAAAGGTTTTATATTTAATAATTATATTAATAATCACTTGGATAATTTACTTATTACTTAAATGATTTCCCAAAATTTCCACTGATTTTCCATGATTTCCAAATATTTCCATTGATTTATAAAGATATTAAAAAGAATTTATAACTTTATTTATAATAATTCAACCAAAAGTTACTATTGCCAATGATTAAAAACACAATAACACCCACAATTTAACAATAAAAAAATATAAAATAATGTTTTGATATAAATTATTGAATTTGTCAAGGAAACCCTGTTTCCATACTTGTTTAAAGTTAACATATTTGTTATAAAATGTATAAACGGCTTTTAAATGATTAGAAATGTAAATCAACATTTTAGGTTGATATTGACTTCAAAACATTATATCCAGACTGTTAGGACTTGATGACCACATTTGAAGAAAAATCCGAAAAAATAATGAGCTTGATTGATGAGAAAATCAAAAATTCTTCAAGTCGCAAATTATTAGAAAGATTAAAGAATACTCCAGACATAAGTTAAAGTAAACATTTTTACTCAGAAATAATATATTTATAAGAAATTTATTTTTGTATCTATGTTTAATTCAAGTGAAACGAATACAGTTTTGTTTTATTTATTGCATGCTAATTTTGTACTAACGACTAAAAAAGTTTTCAGATACCATAATGGAAATACTTAATGGAAAAATAAATTAAATCAAACACTCCATCAAAGATTTAAAAAATAGTTTCATGGTTTTTAAGAATTCGCTTAGTGAAATTGAAGAATACATCACTCTACAGCGCAATGAAAAAAATCCTATCCAACCATTTATTTTAAAAGAATTATTAAATTATAAATCATAAATATTTCTAATATTCTTATGAGGAGTTCTTTTTTTAATTTTTTATAAAGGATATCGTTCATTAAATATGTTTACTGTATTTTTTTTATAAATTCAATACCTATATTTTATTAATTAATATTGCAAGGATGAGGGCGGCAAAATACATTAGTCTTGGGCCACAAAACTTGAAATACATCTCTGAGTATATTAGTCCCAATGCATATGTTTTCTTGAATCTAGCATATTTTTTTAGCTTCAATTATTAATGATTTGTACTTATTTTGTCAATTGCTATACTAACATAATAAGTTTTTACACAACAATTTAGAACATTTTGTTTGAATATTTTTGTTACGAAACATCATTTATTTTTTACCAAATATTTTGGAATAAATTACATTTAATTTGAGTATCAACAGTTAAAATATGGGTCCCTTACTCTTAAACTTAAAAAATTTTTAGGGATCATTTACAACATTTTAGGGTATGCCAAGGCTCATGCTACGCCCGTAGCAATCTTCCGTGTAAGACATGCAATCAGCAAGAATTCATTTCAGTACGCAGTTTCTTTTTAAAAATTGCATTAGAAAATATTTCTTTTTAAATTATTTTTCGCAACGCGACACTTGTTGCTCCCCAATGTACACACAACCTTACGTGACGACCATACTACATCTTCTATCTAGTTAAAAAAACTAGTGGCTCCTAAGGCAAAAGTTCTGATTAATGATTACTGAAATTAATGCATTTTGTTCAAACTCGAACATGTTTTTGTATGTAAACATATATAATTTGTTTGGTTGATTAAAAATGTATGTACAATACTTCAATATTTTATTCAAATACCGAACTAACTTATTTAATTTTGTGGAAAAAAGAAAGGTACACTTTAGGCGAAAACCGGTCTTGTCCTCTCGTAAAGAGATGTTTTATTTTACTATACAATTAAACCAGTAGAATAATTTAGTAGGGAGGGGTCGAAACTGGGGCATTTGCCAGTTTCAATACACACAAGTCTTCAAAGAGACCAATTTTATCAACAAATGTTTAATGTGGATCAGCTGACCTGAACCTCTCCTAAATCCGCCCTTGGGCTCAAAGCAACCTAGTTAACATGAAAAATCATGGTAATTACTTTCCTGAATTAAATTAAAATTATGTTATTCTTATCATAATCTTGAAATATTATTGACATGATTTAATAGAACTAGGTATTACCGCTAAAGTAATTTTTTGTTCTCTTGATCAAAATCGAACAAATATGAATACTTTGAAAAATTGAGATAAGTGTTGCAAACGATTACATACACAAAAACAATTAAATATTAAAGTTATGGATTAAAATAGCATACACATTTTCACACGATGGGGGGTACTTGTTATTTAATTTTAAAAACAAAATTATAGGATTAGAAACATTAAATCCTATAAAAGGGGCCCTGGACAGCTGCCCCCTCCACCGACGAAATAAGTCAATTTAAAATAACCATTATTTCGAAAATAATGATGATCGGTTGGTCATAACGAACAGTTAACAGTATGTACACTAATGGGGAAATAATTAAAATTTCAACGAATCGAAAGCGAATGAATGAGAACTCGTCCAGCGTTCTTAAACCGCAACATGAAATTGTAGCTTTTATTGTTTATCGTTTTATTACTACGGTAATGTAATGTTTGAACGGTACGACAAACGCTGTACGTTGGACGAAGGAAAAACGAATAAAATTGTTAGCGAACAGTGAAAGAGTTCTCTAATTTCACACACCAACAGGAGAGCGCACGCGCGGTGTAAAGATAAAACACGGAGTAATAATAATAATAAAAAACATGTCGGAAATAGACGTGAGAATAAGAATGAACCGTGTGTCTGGACGGAGACGTAAAAAAACATTATATTATTTTTAAAACGGAAGACGACGCCACGGCGTCGTTGATGGCAAACAAGTGAACATTGCTGATAAATGCACTCCTCAGTTTTCGCTTTCCAGTGATACTACGAAATAGCCGGCAATATCGCCGGTACCGTGGTCCGTGAGTATGATAACAGACTGGCGCGTGCACCATGAAGACGAACAAATACCACGGATACCGATATATGGAAACTACGTGATAAGAGTATACGTCAAGAACAGATTGTAATAATAATAATATGCATGCGATTTATGAATATTTCATGATGTTACATGACCAAATAAAGGAATCCATGCGCTGCGGCGACAACGGGTCACCGTGCCCACGGTTGCCCGTTCGATTAGTTACCGCACGTGGTGAACATGGAACGTAATAAATGGGCGATCGGGGACACTACGACAGTGGTCCGAAAACGCGAAACGTTCCCCGTCACCGCTTGTTATCGGTTAGACCACCGGAACGGCGGGGGCCGGCGGGTGACCGAAATGGAACGAGACCAAGCGAACGACGGTCGCGACGTGCAACGCGTGCGTGCGCGGTGAGCCATCGGCGCGAGCAGCAGGTTACGGGGACGATGTCGTTCGGCGGCCATCTTGTGTGTTACACTGTGTACCGTTCCCCAACGCACGACTACTCATCCGTCCTTTTCTGATAACCCGTACGCACGCACGCACTGGCTATAGCGCGAGACCCTCACGGCTCAGCACTCGTTCTCTCACACACACAGACACACACACACAAACGTACGATCGTTTACGACGTCGTATAACGCAACGTACGTACGTACACACACGTACTCGCGGACTCGTACACACGCACGCACACGATCTTTTTCACACACACGTACGTCGAGCAATTCGTGTGCGCGTTGCTGGTGGAACCGAATCTCACCAGCTCTACACGACGATAATACAATACACACACACACGATACATGTAACAATATATTCGCGTTGCATATATTTTTTTTTTTTAATAAATCGCGACAATACGCGTTTTGATAGCGCTCATACCGTTCCGGGCGATCCGTTTTTTTTTTTGTTGCGCACGAGACCCATAACCAACACAACCAATATAACCAAATCGTCGTAAAATGGCGTTGAAAAGAATCAATAAGGTAAGTGGCGCGCGCGGTTTTCATATCTCGTTAATTTGCTTCCACTGTTCTCTTGTTCGCCCCGCTCGCTGTGATGCGTGTATCTTAATCGTGAATCGCCTGACTTGATGACTACCGTCATCCCCGACGAGGTTCCCACACGGAATCGGTGAGGCCCTTATAGTTATTTGTTTCAAATCCCCCCATCCGAGGTCCCCGTACTCGTTTTAATGACCCCTATGACTGGTCTAGTCATACCCGTTGTATGCTATCGATCTGTGCTCAATAACTTTCCGATTAGGTTCCCATCTCCCAAAAATGATGAATCTTTTTATGTAGAAATGCTTCATATATTAATGATCAAAATATTTTTACCCAAAAGTCTGATGTGAATGCAGTATCATCCTTATGTTCCACTCTCAGTACTCTACTCGACAGGTACATTTCATTTTAGAATTTACGTAAATTACCAATATTTTGTTATCATTTTTAACAACGCATAAAAATGAACATTGTCCGATTCATTATTGAGCATTATTATTAATGCTAATTTGATTATCTTTGATAATAACTTACAAAATGGTTGTCTATTTATTGACACTTCAACTTTATTTGGTTGGAATAATTTGTAAATATGTAATATCATCTATGTGAATTATTTAAGTTTATCCTAAAAATCTGATCATAATATATGCATCTTATATGCATCCTTGGTCATTTTACTTTTATATCTATTTGACTTCAATTACTATTGTATTTCTGTTATGAGTCATACATTTAATAATTTTATATGATTTTTTTTATTGTTAATACAACACAACAACCTGTAGTTATTGTTCTTTATTTTTTGTCAAATAAATTCTTTAAATAAAAAAAAAATAAAGCTAAAACTCTTAGTTATACAATCATTTTAGTAGATTTGAGGGATACCTTATTACTTATTGCTCTTTAAAAAATTATGAATCCTGGTGCTTAATACATTAAAAATCACTTGTGGTATTTTCCTTCACAATTTTGTATCTAAATTTTGTCCTAAATTGGGTTTTTTTTTTACTTTGATAAAAAAATTGTTTGACTAAAAAGTTGAAGATGTCTAACTACACATTTATATATATATATTTCAATCTTCTATTACTCATATAATATATATTATACAACTATATTTTAGAGTTTACATTAATATTAAAATGTAAAAATGTTCAATTTACCTAAAAAATATAGTTTGATCTTCTTTTAAAAGATTTGATTGAGTATATTGATTAATATTAATTGATTTTAAATGTGTATGAATGACCTACTAATTTTTTATTTAATTTTCACTAGATTCAAGTATGATTATCTAATTCATATTTTTAAATTGGATAGGGATCATTTTCACATATAGTTCTAATTAAATTCTTTATTATATTGAAAGTTGCTTGTTCATAGTAATTTCAATATATTTTATATTGAACACTTATATTATTATTTATCATATACATATAATTTATTTTGATATATTTTTAGGAACTTCAAGACTTAGGAAGAGATCCACCAGCACAATGCTCTGCAGGTCCTGTAGGAGATGATTGTAAGTACACAATTCGTTTTAGCTTAGTTTCCTTTTTCATATAAATTATTTATTTATGAAATCATTATTTTTGATTTTTTGATACATGGTATATAAAATTATGTTAATGTATTCATATTTATTTTTTTTAGTATTTCATTGGCAAGCAACAATTATGGGACCAGTAAGTTAATATTTTGTATTATCATTATTTAGTGATTAAACTTTATTTAAAAATTAAAAAAGTCGTTTAGTGTCAATAAATTCATTAATGTTTAAAGCAATATAGTATATTTTTAAAATAGAATTTGTTATTAGTATTTAACTTCAAAGTTTGTAAAATTAATATCATTTATTTTTTATTTTTTAGCCGGATAGCCCATATCAAGGTGGTGTGTTTTTTTTAACCATCCATTTTCCTACGGATTACCCATTTAAACCTCCAAAGGTTTGTGCATTTTTATACTATTAAACATAGTTACTTTTAAATAAGTTAGTCATAAATTAAATTAACCAGGTTATTCACTACTGTAGGGTAAAATATATTTTTCCTTGATTAAAGTATAAGGTTCTTGTTATTTTTGATTGTTTTATAGCATTATGTACTTCAGAGTTTTAATATTTCATTTTATGAAGCAAAATAGATTTCTGATAAATATTTATGCGTTAAATTTATTAATAATTATATTTATTATAATTAATAAAAGCTAGGATTAAAGAAATTTGTTCTGACAGATTTTATCGATCTATTTTATATTATATTTTAAGAACATCAATTATTTTTCATAAATAAATATATATTAAAAGTCACATTGCACATTGTCACAACTGAAATTTTTTAGTGATGACGTTGTTAATTATTACCTCTTATGAATTACATAAAATATAATTAATAGTTACTAATAAATCATAAATAAGCAATAAAAATTAAATTAATTGAATATTTTTTTCTTCTGCAAAAATTTTATCTCAAATCAGTGCTTCCCAAACTTTTTCGACTGAAGGCGCCCTTTTTGATCCAAGGTTTATTCAGGGCGCCCTTCTCTAAGTCATAGCATGACTAATCATAAGGAAAATGTTAGACCCGATAGTATTTCATGACGACGCGGCACCCTTACACATACATCGCGGTGCACACTTTGGGAACTTATGTCTTAAATCATGCTTTGAATTGTTTAGTCTCTGTATAATTTATAATTTTCATTATGTAAGCAATTTGAATATAATTTCCTATATTATTTAAAATTTCATAAACTTTTATGTAAATATTTTTTATTTTTCGTATTTATATACAATCATGTTTCAAATTCTTGAAATGTTAATCAAAGTAATTATCCTATTATTAACCCACCCAACCATGTATTTCTACGTTTAGTTTTAATATAATGATCAGGTGATTTTATAGTATATATATAAATTTTTTTGGTACTGTAAAATTAGAACCTTGATTATGGTAAATATACATTATTAATTTCAGTATAGTTTATAATAAATTTTTTCATTAAATTATTTTCTTTAAATATTTAGGTTGCATTCACGACTAGAATTTATCATCCGAACATTAACAGTAATGGTAGCATTTGTCTTGATATTCTACGGTCTCAATGGTCACCGGCCTTGACTATATCAAAAGGTAAAACATTTCATCTAAATCTACTTAAATCATTATTAATAATTATTTTATTTCAGTTTTGTTGTCTATTTGCTCTTTGCTATGTGATCCAAATCCAGATGACCCGCTTGTTCCCGAGATAGCTAGGATATATAAAACAGACAGAGAAAAGTACAATGAACTAGCCAGAGAATGGACCCGCAAATATGCGATGTGATGGTTGTTTCAAAATATGTTGCCTGTCCACACGTCATCAGTTAAATCAGACAAACATTCTTTTTTTTCACCCTGTACAACTTCAAAAAGATCAATAATACACTTTCAATATCCAACTCATCTGGTAAAAATAAAAAATGATGAATCACACTATTGGAAAGTACTTTTTAGTATGATTTTGAAAATATTTTATTCATAATGCCTACATATATTATTTTTTTTTTACTTATCACTTTGTCAAAAAGTTCAATATTGAATGTGTAAGTGTCTCATAATATAGAGAACAAATTAAAAATAACATGGTGTTTATTTAGTAGTTAACTTTAATAATAATAATGCATATTTTTTCGGGAAAAAGTGTAATATATACATGTGCTGGTGGCGATTTATAACTGCCTTTACCTACCCAACAATAATTATATAATATATATAGTTTTTCATTATTTATTTTATTATATTTTTGACTAATTTTTTTAATAGTTATTATCTACTTCAAACTCTTCATTTTGTATGCAAATTAAAATATTTGTTATTTTAAATTGCAAATGTTTTCTTTATAACAGTAAAACATTTTATGAGATACAAATTTTACTTTTTAAACCTTAATTTTATTTGGTTTAAATAAGTTTCATTAAGTTTGTTTCATTTTCAGTTTTTATTTTAATTTTTTTGTTAATTTAATTATGACATATAGTATTATAAATTTAATTTAATATCTTTAAAATTTGCAGTATATTTTACTAATTTTATGACATTCTAAACTGTTACCATTGCTGTGATAATTATGTATGATCTAGTTGCAAACAATGGTTCTATATTTCAAACAATTTTGATCAGGATATTATATTATTAAATCAATTTTTAAAAACCTTAAATATGCCAATATGAAATAAAAAAATTATCAAATGCAAATATTTTGATGTTATAAAACAATAAGATTTATGTGGTTTTGAAAATCAGTAATTTCTCAATTAGTTCTTTTAATTATTACTATTATTATTATTATTATTAATATGACTTTTTTTTGTACTGATATGAAACATCCTATTTAATTTTGTATAGTGTTGTATGTTATGAAGTTGAAAAAGTCAGCATTCAAGTTTTGGTAATTTATTTATACACCATGCGTAAAATTTAATGCAAGAATTGTTTAGGTGTTCCTTATTGTACTGTATTTATTTGGTCAATAAATGGATATGAAGATACTATTTTCCCATAAATTTTCTAGTATTATGTCATTTGTATGTGATAAAAAAAGGTAATGTACTAACATAAATATATTTAATATATATTGTTTATTCGCACTTAACATAATTTTATATTCTTGTTTAACTAATTAAATTAGGTATGTTTTAACATTATATTTATTTATTTACTTATTAAAAAAGAAAATGTTAATGAACTTCTTACACATTAATTTTTGTATAGAACATTAAAGAAATTAGTTTAAACTACAGAAAACCGATTAATAACTTAACATACAGAAGTGAAATTTTTGAATTTTCTAATTTTCATTTTAATGAAACTCCAAATTAATTTAGAAAAATTAATTAATTTAAATGTATATTCGAGACAGAAAGTTTCAAATGCAATGATAGCAAAGTTTTTTTTATGGTTTTTAGAAATTTATTTTTGCAAATGCCACTAGTGTTTTATGATTTACCCAAAATAAAAAATTCTAAACGATTATTTTGTTTGTGATATTTCGGAAATGCTTTGTTTTTCAAATATTCCAGTTACGACAAGTATTTATTCATCATCGTTTTATTCGTATACTGTTCTGCTTCATTTTTATTGCACGACACCAAAATAACTTCTTTATTGTGCGCGCACGTGACTGCAAGCTAGGGAATGGGACTTTTCGGCGCAGCCGTTTCAGCGATAGATATTTTCGATGCTGCCGTTTCGGCGAAAAAAAAAAAGTAAATGCATGAATTAATTAATTTTTATATTTATAATTAATTTTTAAATAATATTTGTTTTTTCATTATAGCAATTCAAATTCAAGATTCATAAGCATTTTAACATTAATAATGTCTATTTTGTTTTTTTATTACCATATTATTTAAATTAAAAAAAGAAAAAAACAAGTATATTTTAATTTATATTTAATATATTTTTTTAAATTAAAATTTTGTTTTGCGGGTTTTGAGCTCAGCGAACTCGGTAATGATACCGTCAAAATTGATTGTCGAAGCTAATCCATTCATTTCTAGATAATCATTGGTTAATCCGCATTTTGAACTATCAAAATAACTATATATATGTATGTATATATATATATATATATAATGTTATTTTACAATATTATTTAATGTAAAATAAGTTTTTCTTCTAAAATTTCAAAAATTACAAATAAATGTCAATAGGTCCGCAGGCCCTTAAAATAGCCGGGCCCTTGTACTCAAGGTCTATCAACCCCCCACCCCTTGTGGGGGCCCTGCATACACGTATACAATAATACGTACAAAATACACGTATACGACAATATTATTACTATATAGTATATAGAATTACTATTAATAGATCATTTTGTATGGTGAATGCCGTTATCGCCGAAAAGTCCTAGACCCGTGCTAGCTACGTTGCCCTCAACTGCTATATTCAGCACGAAAAAAAAAATTCTTCGGCATTTATCGAATAGCATAGTAACTATTAATCAGATCGATAATAGACTTAATTTCAATTTAAATTCAAAACAAAGTTTTACAATAGAACTCTTAAATTCTCATTAGAATTTTAAATAATCATTTAAAACAATCGTATTAAAATAGTTCTAAATTTAGTTTTCATAACAAAAAGTGAAATTTTAAACGAGTAAGTATATACTGGTAACAATAAATATTATTCTTGAATTGTTAATAGTTCTAAATTTATTTTTGTTTAAAATTCATTGCTAATATTATGACATTGAATATTAATAAAATCTACGTGTGCCCCATTACCATCAGTAAAACATACTTCGTTATATTATACACAGTGCTCGACTTGAAGGGGGACGGAGTACCCCAACTAATTTTCAGAAATTTTAGCGTCCCCCTACTATTATTACACTATAATCATAACGCTCAGCCAGTTTTAGGGACGTTCTTTTTTTTAAAAAATAAATAGAGTCCCCTTTCTTTAATTTTGTCAAGTCGAGCACTGATTATACATATATATATATATATATATTTATATAATAGTGGTGGATACTAAATCTCTTGGAACGAAATGATTGTGTTCATCACTTATATTAGGTATTAGAGAATAACCGAATTGGTTCCCTTTTGTTTTCAGGTCAAATAGTTACAATTTTAGTTTTTAATAATTAGTAGGTTGTACAAACATATTTGGTACAAAATATAAATTAGATAGTGTAAAATATAAAGGTACCTACATTATATAGTACATACGGAATAAAGCGGCAATATATTGTTATATTGAAGGCTTAGTAAAGTATCGCTGATACCCCAATGGATTGAGATAACAATTTAGATATTAGCACATACATCGCTATATGGAAATGACAATAATGTTAGTGGACACTGTACAGTCTCGAATAACATTATCATTTATATAAATTTATTTTCGCACAAAAATCGATCTTATTTTAATTAATATATTTTATTTATAGTTTTTCGTTATTTTGGAGTTTATGTTCCATTGAAAGGGAATTAAGTTGTTGATTATTGACAATTACAAAAGATTTCAGATTTAAAAAGAACCTTACAGAGGATAACATACATATGTGGATATCTACAAAATGAAAATGTAAAGCTTACGTGAAATGAAATGGAGATCAGGGGTGCAATTTCAGTTTTCAAATAGAGCTGTTAAGGCCACAGTTATAACTATAAAAATTGAAATGTAGTTATAGCGCTATGTTGGAATTATTTCTTACCTTACCTTTAGGGATGAAAAAGAAAATAGCAAATAGCAAAAGAAACTGCTAAATAAAATAGAAACCAAATCTCCCAATAGAACTTGTACTTCTTTTATATCACAGTAGTTATTAGCAAGCAACTTATTTTGTATTTAATATGTTGTTGTATAAACTAGATTACACTATCATCTATAAGCCCAATTCAAATATTAATTAATTCAATTTAACTGATACATCGGGCATCGGCACCAGTATGAAATTAAGGCAGGCCAATTAAAATATGGAGAAAAATAGGGCTATCGATATCTACCCTGTGATACTCCTGATGGAAATTGTTTTTGTGAAGAAGTCTTAAGCCTATAAAATTGAGTAAGAAAATATACATCATTTAACGGGAACCAAATCGGCATGTAGGTCGGGGCTTGGGAACCAATTCGGTACCTGCCGTTAAAAAGTTATATTTCACCTATTGGAGGCCCGATCAAATAAAGCGCAGACTGAATTTTGTAAATTCATCATTATGATAAAAGAGATAGCGACCTTCCTCGGCGGACAAACGGGTCGTATTTTTTCACAAAGTTCGCCGTGGACTGGAATAATTATGAACACAATTTAAAATTCCAAATTATTAATTAATATTATTATTTATTTATTATAATAATTCAATGTTCAAAATTCGTAGACACCTTCCTTTTATAGTGAAAAAAAAAACATTTAAAATAATTATATAGATAAAATAAAATGAAGTGGCTAATAAGAATTTTAAGTACATGTATAATATCCTTATTAACCTTCTTCATCAGAGAAACTGCTGAACATTTTTAAAAAGATGAAAACAGAAAACAAGGGTTAAAAATACAATAAATGAATAAAACTCATGTGGTACATTCTTTATGGTAAATTTTCACACTGATTCGCTAAAACTTGTCCGCGCTTTGTTTGAACTGACATTTAAAATGTTAAGATTTTTTTTTTATTATTAATTAATCTTCAAAATTGTATTATCTTGATTCTAAGCTAAATGTAATATATTTTATTATTCATAATTTTAGTTGTATAGTATTATCAAACTGAATGTTAGGACGTACTGAATATTTATTATGTACTCGTATTACCTATTATTGATTTTATTATAAAATTAATGGTATTATATTCACTGATTCAATTCTTATTAAATTATTTTCCATAATGATACTCTATTTTTATTCGTTATAATATAATAAGAACCTGCTTATGATATTCTATCAGCATCCAATATCTTTCTTATTTGGATGAGAATTTAAGATCATTATGAATCCTGCTCTGAAGCTTAATTAATATCATATAAATTATTCATTTTTTTATAATACCTACCTACTTCAGAATTTGTCACAATATTCGTTTATTAAAACGTTAAATGAACTTAATTTGCTTTATAGTATCATTTTCCAGCTAACATCTACTATCGCATATTCGCGATCTTGCATACTTCATAATTAAAAAGAAATATCAATGTTATAATGTATTATAATATAACAAAACCCGTTGAAGACACTTTCCTTGGGACCCTTTATAAATAGCGTATTACACAAGAAACACAATTTAAATTAAAAAAAAAAAATTGTATATTGAAATGAATATTATTTTATGGGCATAGTCCGTTTGGTTTTCGTTTTTTCTAAACGGCTCCCGTTTTTTAAAAAGGTTAATTCCCAAACGGCTTCGGTTTTTTACAACACAAATTACTTCCCACTTCATACAGACTCAAAAGAGGTGTGGTTAATAATGTATTTTTGTTTTTTAAGGTTATATTCTACGTAAATTATAAAAAATATATTCTGTGAATTAAATGTTAAAAAAGTTTTAAAAATAGATAATGCAATAATAAAATAATACACACAAGCTTTGGCGATTATGATGCTTGCTGAGTACGAGTACTTATAATATTTGTTAACAGAATTGGCCTTTTGGAAATTTTTTTCTCTTTTTAGACCTTGATTTGGACTCTTGGACAGTTGGCCCATCGGAGTTACTTGAAAAATTAATATTATATGTATATTCAAAATTTAAAATTTTTCAATTCATAATTTATATTTTAAATTATATCATTTTAGTAGAAAGTTAAGTAAATCATTTTTTATTCCGTACGTTTTTTGCCCTGATAAAATTAGAATATATTTATTAATCATAAATAAGTCACTATCGGTGGTATCACTAATTCTAAAATGTAATATAAATATACACTTTTATAAAAATATTGTTTTTTTTTTTTTACAAAGTATTCATTTCTAATTCAGTTTCATCCCTAATAAATGGCCTCTTGAAATGGCTTGACCCACAGTTCCCCGACTCTGGATTCGCCCCTGTATATATAATTCATTTTGGTATATATGTTTTCGGTATTCCGTTTTAAAAATAAATTTGAAGTACCTATATATAACGGTACACAGTATACCAGTACACAGTTTATCGGTATACCAATTTAACCGTCAACCGTTTGGAAATTTACCTGTTCGTAATACCTTTTTCGACAGGAGCCGTTTGGGAATTTACCTGATTGTAAAACCTTTTTCAACGGGAGCCTTTTGGGTATTGACCTGTTCGTAAAACCTTTTTTGACGGGAGCCGTTTTGGAAGCGACGTATTTTACAATAGGTACATAATTCAAAAGATTATCGATTTTTGTTTGTTTTAAATTTTTTATGTTTTTAGAATAAAGGAAGTTCTCAATTTTATTGAAATGGTGTAATATTTTATAAACGTTGTCAAAATGTGTAATTTATCTTCTTAGCTCATTAACATGATTAAATGCATTTATTACCTGAATATTCACTCCTCTTCCTTGCTCTCTTCCACTATAGAAGTCATATCAGCCGATGAAACGCGACATCCTTGTTAATATCTCAGAAACTTCTCCAATTCTAGAAAATCTTCGCTTTTTCGTTATTATTACTTAAAGTGAACTATTTCTTTAAATTTTATATCTTCTTATTAATATCTTATTAATATCATTGACAATGAAAGCATTTTATCTGGGAATACAGAGCATATTATCCGGAATTAATTACATGTTAAACCTTGTCAAAATCAAAGGATTCGTAAAAATGCTGCATTTTAGTTTCGTTTTTATTTAGAACACGTTTTTCTTCCGCTTCGTTAATAACGTATACCTATTTAATTTTTTATTTTAAGTCGTTCTTATGTATATAATATTAGTAATTTAACTTCTAGGTTATTTGTATTAGTAATTTAGCTAATATTTTATTAATATTCTTTAAATATAAATTCATTTTTGTATTTCGAAATCCGATATGATTGCTTAATTCAGATTTAAAATAATTTTTTTTTAGTTTAATAGCAGAATCGTGATCTAACTTCATGTCTTTGCATCTATATGAGTAACTAATATAAAGCATATTAGGCGATAAGGTAAAAACATTTCTATTATTATGAGATGAAATGGTGATCTTCGAATTCGTTCGGTTTTCGAGTTAAAGTGTAGTGTAAAAGATAAATAACTTTATCGAAATGTTGAAAAATGATGTCATTGTAATTTTGTCAGAGAAAAAATTAGCCTACAACCCTGTAGCATTTGAAGTTGGTAGCTCTATTTTCCACTAGTGGTACCAAATAGGATTATCATCTTATCGGGACCTTCCGTTTTTTATTTGGTTACTTCTTTCTTTCTCTATTTAGAATAACGTAACGTGTTGGTTTTCCGATCATAAATTATTTTAATTTTGGAGACTTACGTTTTATATTAACTCAACTAGAAACATTTTATAATTACAATGGCAATCATAGATGTAAAAACTGCACAAGGCGTGAAACAACTTGAAGAATTTTTGAGTAATAAAAGTTACATTTGCGGGTGAGCGGTTAACCTTAAAAACACTAATCATTGAACAGTAATATTCATCCGTTTGATGTACGTTTCAGCTATGAACCGACCAAAGCCGATGTTGAAACTTTCTCCGCGTTAGAAGTGTCTCAGGCCAAGACACCAAATGTACTTAGATGGTACAACCACATTAAGTCGTTCTCTGACAAGGAACGCGCTCAGTTTCCTGATCAGAAGTCCGAATTCATTGTGACAGCTGGTAGTTCTGCTAAGCCAGCTGATGATGAAGATGATGTTGATTTGTTTGGATCTGACGACGAAGAAGTATAAAAATTAATGTGTATTTTTTGATCTAAATCTTCCATTTCTGTTATTATATTTTTAAATATTCTATGGTACTGGACTGAAATTATCAATTCCTTAATATTATTTCAAGTTTGTTGTCCAAATTATAAACAACTTAATTATAAATATATTTCTACAATTTTATCATAGAAATTATATTTAACTTCAAGGCAAAAACCTATTTATATTTTATACGAATATATGTAGGTTACTACTATTTATTATTTAATACAAAAAATTTCTTTTGATACATTAAAGTTATTAGTGGTAGTATTGTGGACATTTTTTAATCTCTTCATTTTTTATAATAATATAAAGTTTCAAATAAATATTTTATAATAGTCATCTGTTGACTTTATCTTTAAAAGTCTTATTTATGCACTAATATAAGTTTAATTCTACTACCTAAAGAATATTTCAATGAGGCAGTTTGATTTTTAAATGTGAAAAAAACAGGTTTTGTGTAAGATATCCTCTCAGTTTCTTATTTTAAAGACTGTAATATGACAATAATTTATGAAATGTAACATCATTTAAACATCCTCTACAGCTTTGCTTGGTGACACATGTTCGGAAGGTCCTATTTTTTATGACTGTTGCATAAATCCAGTTGAATTTACTGAATGGCATTAGTTGACTTAAATTAGTTAGACTTTGAGGGCATCAATTGTTTGTGGTTTATTTGCATGGACCTGTGATTTAAGATAGCCCAAAATAAAAAAGTCTAAAGGCGTTAAATCACAATCTCAGAAGCCAATTTATGTAACCGTTGCGCAATATCACCATGACCTCCAATTGATCTCATAGAATGTCCATCGTTGCATGTGCTGTGTGACACGTAGGACCGTCCTGTTGGAACCACATATCCTTAGTATCTATATTTCAAGCTTATGCTACAAGAATTTACCGATAATTGATCTGTAGCGCTCGTCGTTGACAGTTATGGCAATATTTGTTTCATCATGAAAGAAGTACAAATCAGTGATTCCACCAGACTAAAATCTGCACCAAACAATGGCTGTTTGGGGGAGCATTTTATTCTGGTGTATCTCGTGTGGATTGGTATCATCCCAAATCCGACAATTTTGTTTATTGACATATCCATTCATCCAAAAATGAGCCTCATCACTAAAAACTATTTTTTTAGAGAAGTTTGATTCATCTTCCAACTTCCCCAGAACCCAATTAGCTAATACATAGAGTTGTGTTTGGTTAGTCACTTTTAAGTTCCTTGTTCTACACCAGTAGTGCCCAACCCGCGACCCACGGGCCACATGTGGCCCACAAAGATATTCTATGTGGCCCGTTACGAATTTTCTAAAATAAAAAAAAATTTTTAAAAATGTAAGAACATTTTTTGATTCATAATGCCGTTTGATATTAAATTCTTTAAAAACTGAAACCGTTACACGACACACAAGACAAACGGCTATTCCATTAATTTCAATGAAAAAGTAATTTATAGACCATTGAAAATTCGGCAATCATCAATATATTTGCGTTTTTTTCTGTCTGACATTTTCATACGCAAACTTTACAATTAAATATCGATATCATCCGTGTACTTAAAATAACGTACTAATCAAACTAATGTGTACCTTAATTCATAATCTTTTCAATAGACAATAAAAGATAAGAAAATAAGTCCAATATTTAAGATTATTTTTGTACTTTTATACTTTGTGGCCCACTTGAAGATAATTGTTTACCAAAGTTGCCTGCCAAAGGAAAAAGGTTGGACATCACTGTTCTACACTATAACTTTTCATGGTGATTCGCCATACAGTATTGAAGAATTCACAACAATTGGGCAGTTAAAGCTTTAACAACATTCCTAATATAACCGATCAAAGTTTGAGCGTCTATTGAAATACCCTTTGCCTACATTTTATAACTAGAAATTTAAAAGCCTTCTATTATTTTGTCATTGTAAAATCGATAACACTTAATGTTTGCTTCAATTATGAAAAAAATTGGTTTATTTTAATATTTTGTGATTGATTGAAATGTATATTTTGTTATTAGGATGAAGAAGCAGAACGTATTAGACAAGAAAGACTTAAAGCCTATAGTGAAAAAAAGGCCACCAAAAAAGTAGTCATTGCTAAAAGTAGCATTGTGTTGGATGTAAAACCTTGGGATGATGAAACTGATATGAAACAGTTAGAACAACAAGTCCGGACAATCGTCATGGATGGTCTTGTTTGGGGAGCTTGTATGTATCTAATTAACTATGAAAAGTAATTAATTATATTTATATAAAAATTTTAATTTATTTTTGAATTACAGCCAAATTGGTAGAGATTGCTTTTGGCATCAAAAAACTCCAAATTATGTGCATTGTTGAAGATGATAAAGTATCTGTTGATGCCCTTGTGGAAACCATTCAAGAATTTGAAGACTTTGTTCAATCTGTGGATATTGCTGCATTCAACAAAATATAATTTTGTCTAGTTCTTACATTTTTGTCAAATTGTTTCAAAAATATGAAATAAATGAAAAATCAATTAATTTTTATATCATTAAAAATTTGTGTATCATAATTCATTTAGTAAAAAACTTCATATAGTTACTGAAAGAATTGTTCTTCCCAGTTTCATTCAGATTATTTACATACTTTTGATTTGTAAGTACAAGACTAAAAAATAAATAGGAAGTAAGTAATCCTTTAGACAACATTTGTCGTAGAAGTATGGAGTATCAGAATTGGTAATTTCTTATTTGTAAAATTTAAATAAATAATTAAATTATTCGCCAATTATTAAAATACTTTGATGTTTATATTTTGTTAACCTATTATTTTTAAATCATTGAAATATTACATTATTTCAATAAAAATTATTGTAATTCATAGATTTTTTAACCAAAAAATAACAAATTAATATAATTTTAATTTAGAAAAAAAATTAAGTACAAAAATATCCCAATACAATAGAAACATAATTTTACTATCAATTTTTGGTAGAAAAAGATATTATTAAAGTGGATTATATTAAAAATAAATGTAATTTTATGTCCTTTATGCATTACAAAAAACCCGAATTGCATACAAGGTCATGCGTTCGAAATATTTCGTGTTACTTTTATCGTTGATAAAAAAAAAAAAATTAATTATTTTATGGTATCTTTCTAAAATTGTTTGTCTTACCTTCACTGTTGAAAATATATGCTTTATATACTGCGTAGATTCATTTCTCATTTCTTTTATTTTTGTTATTCTAATCCTTGAATGTTAAACGCAATTTATTTGATTTCGATGGTGGTGCTAAAGTTAAAGTATATAATATAGTTTTTATTATGTCAAGTCTAAAGGGGATTTTATTTATTTTTTTTTTGTTTTTGTTATAGTTTTGTTTCTGAATAAGAATATTGAAGTTACATAACTGATTAAGCCAAAATTTATCGAAGTTTAAGGTAGCTATAATTTTTTTTTTTATAATTTGTATTGCTATTGTATTGCTATTTACTATTGTATTTTATAATCATCTTGATGTTTGTCGATGAGTATTCAATGATATCTGACACGAAAATATCTTTTTAATCACTTAAAATATTAAATTATATCTAAAGAAATTATTATTCTATATATCAATAGTTATCTTTTGTTATAAAAATAAATTCTTAATACATAACTAAATTTAAAATAAAAATTATCAACGTTTCCCAAGAAACAATCCAAAATAAATGTAATTACTAGTGATGGGTCGAACCCTGATTTTTTAAATCGAACCAAACTTGAACCGAACTTTAAATTATTTTTCCGAACTCGAACTGAACCGAATCTTCATAATATTTTCTACCGAACCGAACCGAACTGAACCTATTATGATTTTAAGTCGAACTCGAACTCAATACTTTTTATCATGTACATTGTACCTATCTATAAATTAAATCAACCATAATTATTAATTACTATTGTATTTTAAGTTTTCGTATTACCTATTCTACATTTTAACTTTTAAGTAATTGTATTATTTACAATACATTTACATTTTAGATAATTTCTTATTATTATTATTATTTTTAAAAACCAATATTGTGCTCTCTCGTGTTGTCTTGTAGCTTATAAAATATTCATTGAGTATTGAGTATTGAGTGTAATATGACAATACAACCAGTACATTTTAATAATATATAAAAAAAAACCTAATAATAACTATAATTCACAAATATAGAATGATTAGTAGAATTTATAATGTAAGACGTAAGTTGTAAACATGTTTTTATTAACAGCAGGTATTGGAATATTACCAAGTGTTTACCCAAAATAGATTTTAACCTCTATAATAAATATGATAAAAACAAAAATAGCTAATTAATGAATGTAGATACACTGCCTCTATTGGCGATAAACAACTTATTAATGTTTTGATCGGCAGAGGATGGATGTGTAACATGCGACTGGAAAAAAAAACATTATTATAAATAATGCATAACGTGTTCTTTACAGAATATCACTTTCTATTGCCAATAGTCTAATTATTTCTAAATAATCATTATCAATTTTTATTTTTCAAAAATAATTTTTGAAGAATTGTATAAATTTTTGGTTTTCGAACTATCGTGGCCAGTAAGTCTGGTTCAACAAATATTTTCAAGTTCGATTTTCGAACAATAAAAAATGCTTGATAGTTCGGTTCGATTTTTTTTCATACCGAGTTCGAATTTCGAACCGAATCAAAAATCAAGGGTTCGGTTCGGTTCGATTCGAGATTCGAAAAGTTCGACCCATCACTAGTAATTACAGAAATATTTTCAACAAATTGTATTTATTTTGAGTCAACCGGTCACTATAGGCATATAAAATTCAGTTATATCAGAATTTATCTTATTTAATACTAATAATAATAATTGTTAATGTTTGATAAGATACTTATAGACTAAAAATGTTTCAACCAAAAGTTATAAATCGAAATAAAATTTAGTTCGTTATGTCAATTCACTACAATTTTATGTACCTACGATAAGCATATTCTTGTCTATAAATAGGTGTACACATTTAGACGAACAATTAACATATTTTTTTTATTTTTGCTGTACTAGTCCGTAATATGAGTATTTTGTTTTTAAGTATAAAAATCTGTACAAGCATACACACTGATGTAAATTTGTAAGATTCGATTAAAAACGATGAAGATAAAAAGTGATTAGTAGATAATATTCCAATGAATAAGAGTAGGTTTGATACTAAATAAATTGTAATTCCCCCCTATTTCATTAATTTCCACTACTGTAACAAAATTAATTTTATATGTACCTATCAAGTTTTGGAGGTAACAACATTAACCAACAAAATAATGCTGATAAACAAAGCTTTAATTTATTATTTAAGTTTTTATTTAACATCAGGGGCGTGATTAGACATTTTTTTCGGGTGTTCGATATTTTTAAGATCATGTATTTCAAATTTATTTCTCTCTATAAGATAATTATAATAATGTTGGTACCTAATAATTAATTTTATTCTGCAAGATAGATCGATGATGAATTATACAAATAACCCTGGTAAGTGTTTATGATATTAAATTTAAATTATATAACAATATTAAGCAATTTCTTTTTAAATTCTTTAAAATTTCGGAGCGGGAGGGGTTGAACCCCCATCACCCGAATCGCTTTTGTTTAATGTAATAAATAAGATGTGTAATATAGTCTGTATATAATAGTAAAGGTGGGCAAGTTAATGAAAATAATTAACCCTATTTAAGTTAAGTTAAAAAAACACAAATCGTTAAGCTAAAAATTAATAGTTAACAATTCATAAATTTAATTCGAAAAGTTAAAAGTTAATAAGGAAAAAAGTATTAACTTAACTCAGATTAAAAAAATGAATCTACTTTTTTTTAATTAGTATGTAGATCACATAAAAATGACTACGTTCTTTAGAAAGATCTAATTTCCTAAATTATAATATAAACAATTTTATTGCATTTTTTATCATAATATACAGCAGTGGCATCGAAGTGTTTGAAAAATACTATGACATTGTACATTAATGGGTCATTATTATTATTTTAACCATTACATCATTGACAATTCACTACCGTATTTATTTATCTTTATAGTTAAAATTCTTTCTACATAACATTCTGTGTCCACGGCCAGAACCCAATACCCAAAGGTGGGCCACGACCAACAAAATCTAATGACATCTGATGTACAGTATATGCGACCATTTTACTTCACATTATTATTTAATTTTTATAATAATATTTATGTATAAACGACCAATTTCAACATTTTTTAACTTGATAGATCATTTTTAAATCAACTGTGAAAAACTAAACTTAAACTGCCAATTAAACTAGTTAAAATATTAACTATTTAACTAGTCAATACCCACCTTTGTATAATAGTACCTATATAATATAACATAATAGTATAAGATATGATATAATATAATCTGTATGGTATTAGTATACAGTCTGTGGGTGGTCATTTTATTTGTTATTATTTTTTTTTATATTTTTATATAGTATATCATCGTTAATGTTTTATTGTATGTTTATTTTTGGTGTTTTTAAATTTTTCGATTGCTAGTTGTCACTATATAAGTATCGCATTCTCATCGGTCTGCGCTAATCAGATTTGTTACAATGATTAATAACAATGTTTTTTCATACATGTTAAGTATAATTTGTGAAATAACTATGATTTTGATCAAATGTATCGATACAACAAATCGTATTTACTCGTCGATACGACAAATATTATATATTTGTTTTACTAATGAACACAATTAATTAATTTTAATTAATAATTAATAAATAAATGTTTAAAAAAATTAAAAATAAATCCCCAAAAACTTAACATTATATAATTTTCAATCAGAATAAGAATATAATAAAACAGTATAATTACTATTTGGAGTTTTCAATACTGATGCGCCAGGTTTCTTATCTTTGTTATGACAATTTGGTTGAATAGTATATCCAGTTGATGTAGTAGACTGAGTAGGTGTAGTAGACTTGGAAGGTCTAGTAGGCGTAGTAGACCTGGAAGGTCTAGTAGGTGTAGTAGACCGAGTAGTCGTAGTAGTCCTGGAAGGTCTAGTAGGCGTAATAGACCTGGAAGGTCTAGTAGTCGTAGTAGACTTGGAAGATCTAGTAGGCGTAGTAGACTTGGAAGGTCTAGTAGACGTAGGAAAGTTAGAACGCGTAGTAGAATTAGAACGCGTCTTCTTTGCTGGAACCTTAACTCTTGACTGGTGTTTCTTTTTGACAGGCTTCTTCAGTTATTTTACATGAAGTAAATAAATTGTTATTTAATGGTAAATAAATATATGGTTAGTAAATAATAATATGGTTGATGGTAAATAAATAGTTATTTACACAAAAAAATTTGGTATATAATGTTTGTTATAAGCATAAGTACGTCTTGGATGGTTAGCATGCATAGTTAGTCTAATAGGCCTAGTAGTCATAGTAGGACTACTACGTATAGTAGGCTCAGAACGTGTATTAAACTTAGAACGCTTGTACTGAATTGGGAAATTTTGAACTTTGGTTTTTTTTACAGGCTTATTTATTTTTTTACAGGAAATAAATAATTTTTTTCTTATACTAAAAGTGTGAGTACACAATAAAATAACATTTACCTTTGTGGGTCTTTTCTGTTGCTGGACTATGTCGTTTTTCATAAAATATTCTTCGTATAAATTTATTGCCTCGAGTATAACAATTACTCCAGCAATGATGATGTAAATAAGTGTTTCAGCACACAATTCAACAAAAATTTTCACTAAGCTAATAACTCGAGGGCTATTTTTGAACATTGACCATGCTCTGAATGGACCAAGGATTAGCTATTTCAATTGATTCAAAAATAATACGTTAAACATGTTTTACCACGATAATTTAATAGTGTATTATAATATAGATGTATCGATAAAGCGAAAATTTAAAAAACTGGCTTTCAAGTATTGGAAGTATAAATGAATGATGTTACAAAACTAAAAGATAGTTTAGTTTTATTTTTAAAATTTAATATACTTTCTTATATCTTTCTATTTTTAAAGTAGCTTAATTAAGACCACATTTATCTAGATAATCTCAATCAAAACAAATAAATCTTTGGTACGAATTATAAATATGCTTATTTATACAAATATTAAATTTGAAGTTCAGAGTAAAATGCGTAATAGTTACGTTAGTTACGTTTACGTTTACTACATAAAACTTACCATTTTGACAAAGCTGAATAAAAAAGTAAAAATGTTCATATTGGTTAGTTATATGTAAACTGTATTGAATTTGAAGTTCTGCCGAAATTGTGTAACTTTTATTTAAAATTTAGTAGTTTGAATTGAAATAATTTTTTGTTGATTTAGAAAAAAATACTGTTGTCATTAAACTTTACTAATTATTACTTAAGCAACGGTACGATTAAAGAATGATTTAAAAAAATTAGCCAGAATAAATATTTATTTTAATTTAGCCATTTATTAATAAAAAAAATTGAGAATATGAAATGTCCTGTAACGTAGTTTTGCTATGTACAAATAATAGACTTAATTAATTTAATTTATCATTAGACTTAATATGTATTAACCAATTCCATATTTGAAATGATCAGTATATTGTATAAAAATAATAATAAATTATAATAAACAAACAGATTTACAGACATATTGTGTCAATATTTGTAGAATTTTTAATATCTGTAGATATGAATATAAACTTGCAAAATATCGGATTCTAAATTATAGAATAACATATCTTGTGTGGGATAATAATTCAGTCCCCACAAGTCTAATGATTATTTAAATACATTTCCCAAATCATGTAGAAATTTTTTTACGAGGAAATTAATGTAAAATGATTAAATACCACTTAAATATACTACAGTATATTGTATGCGATTTACGATGATTTTTTTGTCTAAAATTAGTTTTATTTAAAGTTTTTAAAATATTTAATGCATTTAGCCATTTATCCTACTTTTTATTTTTTGTTATTTGTCATGGAAATTGTACAAAATCTTAATTTTTTAAAGTTTCATTATAGCCAGTGGAACTTTCTTCTGCGGTCCTCTAATTATATATCATGGTGTTTAAAATTTTTAAATAAATAAATAAAATAATTTTAATTAAAATTAATACTATCACACAAACATTGGAACGAACAACACTTGAATAATTTCGTATGTTGTACAATTTTAATCGAATCATCCAAAACAGCTTTATACTTGGAAGCTATAAAAATTAATTTTAAATTATAAAAGATTTTTTTTTTCGAAGTATTGTCAGTACAATACTCACGTCTTGTATATATATTTTGCACTGAAAATGATTTTATTGTGTACAGAATATAATATTTTCTAATAAATTTGGAAAAAAATGTAACTGAAAACCTACAAACTGAATTTTAAATATGATTTTCTGACTTGTACGTACAAGATAAAAAAACCAATTTGTTTAAGAACTAATTCTCTGTAGACATTGACGATGTTGTGTCATATTTAGAATTGCAAAATAACGCCGTTCTTAAAATAATTTTAAGAGAAATTAATTACCTAATAATATTTTATTAGTCTTTTTAAAATAAATATTAAATGTAATTATACGAGTATATATTTATGTCCCTTTCCAATTAAGAATTAATAAATAATTTTTTACACTTTTAAATTTTCTCTACTAATGTATTTTATTCAAAATTAATTTATGAGGTCAACATCGCAGTATGAAACTTGTATTATGATTATTTTCGATTATAAATGTATTATTATTATATATTAAAATTGTATTTTTAATAACAGTTATTTTAATGTTATATGTGGCTCTTAATAAAAAGCTGAAATATGGTCCGTGTAAGTAAAAAGGTTGTCGACCCCTGCTTTAAACTATTGTCATAGGCAACTAGAGCTTACATTTTAAGATGGCTATAAGTAATAAGATATCACAGACCATAACATAGTCCCACTGATTATTTAAATGATAAATCTGTTGCTTTTGTTGTAAATGAGTTAAATAATTATATGATGCGGATTTATACCCCGTGAAACATTCCACTCATCTTAAACATTATAAATCGAATACTCAATACCTACAAATATGTTTCTGTTAAACATTAAACGAACATTTTTTTTTTTTTTTTTAATAAATTAGCTGACTTTGTAGATTACATTGATAAATATTTAATTGATGCTATTTAATGAGTTTGTTTCTTATTAAAAATACCAAGTAAAGTAAGAAAATACTTTGAAGTTTGAATCTGCATTGAAGTATATATGTGTATCAGATTTAACATTATGTGAAAATGAATTAATTAATATAGTTTGTGATTTGATTAAACGAAAATAATATTTGATTTGTAATACCTCTATTTCATTTAGAAAACTGTATTGTTGTATTAATGTACTATAATATAAATAATATCAGAAATATAAAAATTAATTGTTATATTATTCTTCATTTATTATTAATAATAAATTTAAATATTATTTTATGGGTAACTTTTATTATAACAATAAATTTATTATTAACTACACAATACTCGCATTTCTAATAACATATTAATGACATATTCATATATATATATATATATATATATAAAACATTTTTATAAAGTAGTTGTTTTTGTTATTATTATCATCGTTATTATAAAAAGAAAACATATACAATATGTGTACACAATTTTATGCAGGTAAAATATTTAATACTTAAATGTCAATAAGTTTTAAATTAAGCCATATCTTATAAAATAAAGTTCCAATTGCACATCAGTATTATCCAAGTTTATTTATTTAGGACATTCGTTATATTTATTCATAACGAATACAGTCAAAAATGCAAAAAAAATCTATGTATTAATAATGAACGATTGGGCATTCCATTACAATCTATTCTATTTCTGAATTATACTGACGGTAAAATAAAATGTGAGCATTTTTAAAAAGTTGTATATGATATATATATATATAATTATATACTAAAAAATCGTAAGCCCCCGTATAATCAAGTAAATTTTAAGTGAGTAAAAAAAAATGGTTGAAGAGTTCCAAATTTAATATTTTCTGTTATGATTATATCACTAACCTAACCACTTTCACCCCTCTTGCGGCACCCATGGTTACAGTATTTCTGATTTTGAAGCACAAATATCTATTATTAAAACATCTTAAAAAAAATTAAACATTACAGTTAATTTTTTCAATTTATTTAGTAAAATATTATTGAAAAATGTTATACTATCAAACTCATTAATTATTTTGTAATATGGTTATAAAATAAAACGAAAATGAGTAAATTGTTAACACTCATATGAATGTATGAATGAATAGTATTTAAATAAAAATAAATAAATGATTATTGCCTGGGAGTATGATTATAATTGTAATGTACGACCGGTTTAGAATTAAAAAATCAATAAAATTGTGATTGATTTATTGATTAATCGGAAATAAATGCACCTAGTTTTACATAATTTATATTATTTCTTCCGCCATGCAATGTAAACATATTTTTTTATGGAGGAATTGCGGAGGAACATATCAGGAAAAAATGGATCGCTAGAAAAAACATACCGCTACACCTGACCTGAAATTCCTTGATGTTTGAACACACAATTTTAATTAGGTTCTTAATTAATACAGCACAATATATATTTGTAAAAATAGTGGTATAATATAATTTATAATATCTGTTATAATATCTATTATCAGTATTACAAATTATAAATGTTCGTGTATAAAACAAAACATTTTTGCAATGAAATTATTTTGGAAATACATTTATTACGTGTTTATTATAATATAGGAAGATAAAATTTATTGTAATTCGTAATGCGTTTCATTGTATAAAAAGAACGAAAAACAAAATAGTATTATGCTTATTCGTAATGATGAATCAGGAGCATATAAAATAAAATATAAATTATAAAATTGACAAAAATATGAATAGGTACTCCTTAAAAGAATATGTATTGGAATTGAAGTGAATTAATTATTAATTACGGGCGATCGTCGTTGAATGGGCTGCCGGAACAGAAGTATTTTTTTTATTTTCGTTACCGTTTTTTGAAACGTTATTTTTACCTCCTTTTTTCACTTCTTTCTTATTGGACTCATTGATGACAAGAGACAAGGAAGATAAATAATTCTGAAATATGTCAAGTTATGTTCGTATTAGGTACAATTAGTTTTAAGTAATAATAATAATAAAAAATGTAATAAATAAATAAATACGTTTGCAAATAATTTACAATATTTAATATTTATTTAATTCCAATATTTAAAATCTATTTATTCTTCTTTTTGGTAAACACTGTTATTCAAGTTCGGGATACCAGGTAAAGATGCAAATACAGTACCGTATACCAAGTACAGATCGGGTACTGATATTGATGCCGAGTACTCGACTACTGGGTAGTTGCCAAGTACCCGGAACAACTCTATTTTGCAACCAGTTGTTTCACTACGATCTCTTACCTGTATGATTTTCCTCAGTTCTTCTATGAATTTCTTGTATCTAGCCAATTGAACGTTGGTAATGTCTACAACCATACCTTTTACATTTTCCAAGTGGGCGTACTGAAAACATTAAATTTAAAAATTATTCTAATATACTCGTGAATATATATTATGCACTTAAAAGTTATAATAGCACGCCGAGTGCTTTAACAATCAATTCATCAGTTGCTAAATTAGAACTTCAAAACTCGATGTTATCATAAAACGCAATTGTACACTATAAATTCCGTACATTATTACATAATTATATCCACTGACAAGTGATTACAGCTGAATTTGACCTTTGGTTAAATACTTTGCCTCTTGGAAAAAATATGTATTAATAGTATATTGCACAGAAAGACGAATCAAATGTCTACTGAATAATCTAATAAAAATATATTTATGAGTCATACTGTGTATGTGTCCTTAAAGTATAAAGGATTCAGGTGACAACAAAAACCTCAACCCCTCTACTGAAACGCCACATAAACGTTTACAATTGGATAGTATAGTTATATTTCTATTAAATCTGAAGACATTTGTTGCTATTGCAAAAATCTGTCTTGAGTTAATTTAGATGTATTCGTTGTTATATGATGACTTTATAAATCAATCGAATAAATAATAATAACAGTCAATATTAATAATAAGTTAATCTCCTACAAGTCCATATTTTATACATGTTTGTAAACGTTCGTTGTGTGAACCGTTTATTACTTTTATATATAATACCTTAATGAATTGATCAGCTAAAACTACGGCCTCGTGAACAGCGTAGGAAAATGCTTGTTTTGCGTGCGTGGGTGTCGTGTATATGTTTTGGACCGCAAAGTTAGTCAAATGCACAAAACGCCTTGCGCCTTCCCTAGATAACATTTCGATGAGTTGTTCTATATTCGCTGGTGGCTTTTGATTTTCGGGTTCGTCCTCGCTCAAATGTTTCCAAATAGCCTTCATTTTCTCCATGAATGCTTTGGGGTCTTTGGCCAACTAAAATTATTTATACTTGATTGGTTTCAGTTTTAAATTGTCTTAGTCACAAAAATCACATAAAAATCAAATATGCGTATTTAATTCTTAGTAATTTCTGTACATTTACAGTATTGTAAGCTCATGAAGTAAATAAATTAACCAACAAGTTAAACAGAATTTAAGACGTTAACTGGATACAGGAATGAGGGGAGAGCGCATATCCAACTGCAAAACCAACTATAAGGTTGAATACGAGACGAAGTAGAAGAAGAACTCTGATTATGGAAAATGTTTTACTAAATTATATTAAATGTAATTGGTTATTTAATATTATATTAAATTATTTTAGATTTATTTTTCCAGTGAATTAAAATAATTCTACTATATACTACAATCGGTCTATTTACGTATTTAATTTAGAAATCGTATCTATACTTGATAGTGTTCATTGCGTGTACATTGTACATACATAGAAGTGTATAGCAAAAATAAAAATAGGTGTTATTTTTCACACTTGATTTTACAGTTAGTGTAAATTGTTAAATAAATGCATGCAATAATATATTATAATTATTCCTACATTAGCCTATTATTTAATTTTCTTTGGATTCTTAATGGATATTATCATTTTACTAAACATAATAATATTGCATCTGTATAAGATTTAATTTTTTGTACTTAACACGTTAATTTTACGTTTTTGTTAATGTATTAGTGTATTATGCTATAATATATATGCAACGCTTCGGAAGAACCTCGTAGTTGACAAACCACTGCAGAGCGTGAATTTAATGCGTTCGCTATACTATACTATACTCACGAGATCTGCGAAGTAAACGAAACATTGAACGGTATCGTATCCTTGTTTTTTTAGCAATTTTGCCTCCGCGATCGTCCTGCGGGTCAAACGTCTTTGCAATTTCCTGGAAAAGTGGTTGACATGCCTAATCGTTTTCACTGTCTGACTAGACGGTTCTACACCTAATAATAGTTTCCGTGATAATTATTGACTAATGTAATTATTATTATCGTTTTTATTACTTGTCTTATCAGGGACATCCTCGCCTGGATCCTTGTCCGGTAAATATTTATCCACGTACTTGTCGGCTACGCTCAAAGCATCATCCAACATGGTAAGCTGCTTAACAGAATCCGCTCGTTTCAGCACCGGTTCGACTTTAGCCTTGACAAAAGTCTTGGTTGTGAAATAGATCTGTGGACAAAAATACGACGAATGTCTTTAAGCCAACGACGGATGTGTTGTATATGAGTTCGAACGGAATGCTAGTACGGTATATATTCTTATTGAAATCGTGCAACTTAATATTTTATTCTTTATTGAATTATAATAATGTTATTATATAACACACCTATCTAACTCGTTATTATTAACTAAAAGTCTATAGTACACATATACCGCAACTATTTACTTGAATAATACAACTTGTTATTGCGGTTTACTATTAATTAGTAGACAGATTAGTAGACATAATTACTTATATCTGTGTTTTTTACAGTTTATACACATATAGGTCTTAATTAAAAGGCAAATCTTTCATCGTCTGGTAGTATATGTTTATGATCTAACGGTTCCGATACACGAATCATAATAACATTATACATACGTGTACTTTTTCATTTAATGTTCTATGAGTATTTTATGTGTAAAAGTAATAATTTTCCAAAAGGCGGTAGGTCACGGTGATGCATCCGCTCTGAACGTGTTGAATTTTCATATAATTTAGAATAATACATTTACGTAATACAGCGTCGCCGATAACAATACAACGGAGCAAAGTTCCAGGGAATTGTGAAATCAATTATTGTGTATTCTGAGAAGAACAAAACTATACAGCTTCTTACCTATTTAAGCTATATAATATATTACCAATAATACATGTTTTTGTATGTACCAACAATGAGACTCATGCTGAATTACTTACAATGATACATTAAATACAGTGGTGGTTTTTAGGGTGGCGAAGGGGACGATCAACCCCCCTTGGATTTTTTTTGTGTCAACGATTATGTTATGTATGTCATATTATTTTCACAATATAATATGTTCAACATTTTTTTGTAATTATTTATTGATTTTTTTTTTTGATATCAGCATGAACTTTGAATTGATAACAATGGAACAATATGCTTTACTTTTAATTAAAATTTCACTAAAATATGCTCAAATTGCTTTAAATTTATAACTTCAGTTATGCATTTATTGTTCATGTTTTTGTTTAGATTATAGCCAAATCAATGGACTTTTTAATATATTTTTATATAACATTATGTACATGGTTAGAGGTAAGTATGATTCAGAGGCTGTTATTTTATAAAGATTCCAATGAAACTAAATATTTAAATTATGAAATAAAAAATGAAAGTCATATGTCAATTAACTATTATAGGACCATAAACAAATTGTATTCTTTATTTGATATATATAATTATGGTAAGTGCCAAAAAAAACCAAAAAATTTAAAATAGCCCCCCCCCCCTTGATATTTTATCAAAACCGCTACTGATTAAATATATAATATAATAGGCGATCTATTTTCAATAATATTTATTGATAAATATGTATTGTAATTTATAGACATATTATGTGTATATTCTATACTATTAAACTACAATTTGGTATTTAAGTATTTTAAGACTTTAACGAGTGTTTGTCTCTGATAGATAAGCGTATTACTTTTACGGTGATTACAAAAATATTTTTGGTAATTATCATGAACGTTGTGGCGATTCTCCTCAAAAGTTTTAAATATAATCACTACAATTTTTATACCAAATTATGTTGCGGCCATGCTACCGCAGTTGACCACTATTAATTTATTATTATTATAAATTATATTTAATAAATATTATTAAAAGTATATTAAAATGCTGGAAATACATTGATTTACTTGGTGGTGGGGGTTTAGCTCTTTCATTTAAAAATCCTTGTTACACTATTGTTGTAATGTGATTAATTTTTGGAATAGATCGCTTTGAGTGGTGTCGCATACAGTGTGTATGATACCTATATTTTGGCTAACAATTGTAATTTTGCTCGTCTTTGTTATAGATTAGTATACGTATATTGGTTTTTTTATCAATTAAAAACACTAGCAATTTGATGAGTCGAAAAGTTTATGTCGGAATTATTATTACGTAACTGTGAGTAGGAAAATCAGCATTAAATGTTTACATATTACACATCATAATAAAATTACAATTAAAGATAATATAATATTATGAAAGTCAATCAATATAATAATACATTGACTTGAATCATTCAGAATAATGGTAGGTAGTTAATAAATACTATTCTCATCTACAGATAGAAAACTCAAAACAGTAAATGTGCGATTCCCGTAACAATTATTTAGGGAGGTCACAAATTCAAATTATTATTATCAAGTATTAATGAGCTAAATTTATGCTTAAAGTTAGATTTTATAATATTGGATTAATGCATGGTAAATAATAATTGCATTATTTAATTATAATACAATATATTCTATTCTATATTAATCTAAACATCTAGGAACTGTCATAAATAATATTCAATCCTAGATTTTCTAGAAATTTAAAAAAAATTATAAGGGTAATAAACTAATAACCCATTAAAATTTGTACCGACATAGATTACAAATATCACAGATAGGTAAAACATTTTTTAAAAAAATGTCATCTCTATCCAAAAGAGATGGTAAAAATTATGATTCCTGAAACTAGCATCAATTTCAACCGTACTTAATTATGTTATATTTTACAGTTTTACAGTTTTAACATTTTAAAAATTAATTAATTTCGTTTTCTGATTTATGTATTAAAAAATAATTTTAAGTATGTTTTTCATATAAATAATCTACTTAGCATATTGAATTATATATATTTTTTTTAATTCAACAAGGATCACATTAAATAAATATAGAGTTCAAAAAATTCACATATATAAGATGTGTGCCATTAACGGTCTATAAACTGATATCGGGTGTAAACATTATCTAGTGATGTATCGCTAAAGCCACCCAGTTGATCTCGGTGGATTATAAAATTCTAGACTCCATAATATACACATTAAATAAAATGTCATCGAAAATTAACTTTTTAATTACTTGACAGAACATAATATCCTCGTGGAGTATAAAAACAAAATGCTTTGATTTATCTATAGTTAAAAATATAAATATAAATTATAAAGATTAGGGTCTTAGTCCTAAGTGCATATGAATTTTGATAGCTACTTTACTAATTCATTGGTATATACTAAATCATATTGAATCAGTATAAAATTGGGGATTGGGGAAATATTAAAATTAAAGAATACGTTTAAATTTACAAAAAATAAAATTTAATAATAATAATTAAAATTTCTTAGTTATAAGTCTTATAAAAAAACAACCGAGTAGTTCCTGAATGTATACGCGTAGACATTAAAACATGTATTGTGTAAATAAAAACACTCACCTCTTCAGGAGTGTAAGTGACCATCGGAATGTTATGTTCAACCACATCCAATGACTTGCACATCAGATCATCAATCCTGTTGATCGGTTCTTCAAATTTTATTACCAATGGGACGGACAAGTCGACAACATTCAATACGGTCTTTTCTGCGTTATCGAGACTGTATTCGATGATTTTGTTTGACGTCTATAACCAAATTACCATTATTTAAATAAAAACTTATACGACTTTTAAAATTAGGATAAATTATAATGACACTATATAATTATTTATTTATGGTGTCGGATCGCGTGGTTTTTCTTACGTACTTTGACTTTAACGTAGACGCACGTCGCTTTATTGACGCCCGATGAGACCACTGGCAATTTCATAATCCTGTGGATGGCCACAAAGTGAGGGAAATCCCGATTTTTTGAAGCTGTCATAACGATATAATCGAATCACGGAAATATATGAGAAAATATGTGCTCAGCACACTCGTAAAAGGGAGTAAACGAAATATTATAATAGGTAAAAATATTTGTATGTTCTTCCTCGATTGAAACCGCGCGACTTAATGAACTGAAGATTTTCAGAAGTCTGTAGTAAGTGCTTTATATTTATACATACACGCATACACAGGTTTACGTACATAAACCATTATGTACAGGTGTGTGGATAGATAATAATATATATTTATACATGCGTAAGCGATGTATGATGCAGTAACAAACGACTAAAAGATTAGTAACCTTTGAAAGGTTATCGACGAACCGAAAGAAACATTATTTGACTACCTATTTATAACGTACGAGTAGTCTGAAAACGTCCAGTAAAAGTTATACGAACACCGTGTACATTGGACCGGTGTCTTAGTAATATAATATATAACGAGAAATGAGAAATAAATGAATTAAAGAGGTTATATGAGTAGCATTTATAAAATTACTAAAATTACAGGCAGACACGTAAGCGTATTTACACGACGAATATTGTCATTAGGTCCAAAAGTCTACAGTCTTTTGGTCGAAAACAATGCACGTGAACCAATCACTGAGCGATTTGTGTCGTTTTAGTTATGTATAGCTAACCTTATTATTAATATTAATAAATAAAAACGGAATGATGCACGATTATTTCAAAATAATAGCTGACTAACAACAATATACGTAACTACCAACCAATAAGATTATCAATGATATTCGTTTGACATAAATAATTTAATGCTGATTAATGATAAAATTACAATGTGTATATAAGCTTTTTGTAATGAAAAATCGTTAAACTATGTCAATAGCATTATTAAAATTAATTAGTTTGATATAGGTGTTTTCCCATATATTTTTTGTTCGTATATGTGCATTTTAAAATAAATTTTAATAACGTTCCACATTTGTTTATTAGTTTGCAAATACTTGTTAGATTTAATTATTTTAAAACGTATTTTAATTTTTGCTTATTGATTATTGGTTAGTTGCAATATCATATTCTAGTTTATAGTATAATATTAGTAATTGGTAGTAGACACATTTTAAACATAAAACTAGTAATGAAAAGTACTTGGATAAGCAGTTATGCAAGTAGATATTATTTTGGAGGGGGGGGGGGGCGATTTATCTCTTTCAAAATGATTGGAGCTTAAATAATATCCAATAAAATGGTAAATACTATAAATCTTAATCCGTGGTTACTACAGTTAAATATTTGAGGAAGGAAAGCGATCAATCCTACCAGGGTTGAATCTAGAAATATGAAATGAGGGAGGGGGATAAATTTGTATTCAAAGAAAGACAAAATATAACATAATTTTAGTAAATACAAATTAGGATAGTATTGATGTAGTATCGATAATGACACTAGTACAGTATAGACATTTAGAGAGAAAAAAAAGACTGAGATGGTTTAAGCATGAGATGAGGTAAGAGAAAACTAAAGCAAATAAGAGTGGTTATGAAAACTCGGTGAGGCCTCGTTTTACGATTAAATTTTGTACTATCCACAACCGTGGTCCAAGTACACCACAGACTTTTAAGATATTTTTTTTGTCAGTGAATTAAACAAATTACGCTTATCTTTTTTACTCATTGGGTATTAAATTGTAATGAATATTACCCAATATAAATATTGTTTAATGGGTAACGTTGTGTACCCGTCACTACCTAACTACGCCGTGTACCCCCGTGTAACCTCTACTACATTACTGCAGACTACTAAACAAGTTTCTGATCCCAAAAAGACAATGTTATAAGACCTATAATAATTTTAGTCAAAATAAATATAATTTATATATAATAATATATATAGCAAATAAGTAATAACACATAAGAAATCGAGTCGTTATCAAATCTAAATTGAGTAAAATTTTTAAAGTATATCCCGAAATATTTTTTATAAATATTATGTAAATTTAATTTTTTAATAATATGCTATTATAAATATTGTGGACTAAATTTTAAATTTGTTAAATATACCATTTTTGTGCACGGAAAAAAATTTTATTTGGAGAACATATAGTATTGCCTCCTTGAGGTGTTCTCTGGAAAACGCTCAATGATACTCAAATATTACAATATTATATAATATAAAATAATCATTGTCAACTTAAACTAGTCTGGACGAAACGAAAGTCTTATTAAAACAAAATTTGAGCAAAATAGGTCACGATTTTTTTTATGCAAAATGAACTACGCTTACGCCTGAAAATTATTATTGAAGGAAAAAGATAAAGGAGAAAACCAAAAAAGAGGTGGTTGCATACGATTCAGAATGATATGAGGGCTGTTGGTGTATGCATAGGGGATGTACACAATCGATAATGGAGGTTAAAAACAAAGATGGCCGACCCCAAATAATTGGGAGAAAGGTGAAGGAGAAGAAGAAGATATTAGTTAAAATAAAATTTAAAATTATAAAATATGAAAAATTATTAAGTTCATAAGTCTTTTGGTCAATCTTTAATTAAAGACATAACTTTTAAGAATATATTATATACTTAAATAAAATATAACACGTTCAAAGAGGGGGGATAAACCCCCTTAGCCCTCTCCCTCTGAGATCCACACCTGCCTCCTACCATCCCTTAATTACATGTTTGGAGACAAGTCGTAAGAATCTAATGAGAAAATTTTATGTTTGAAAATATTAATCGATAAAGTAAAAACTGAAATATTTAGTACCTAGTAATAAAATGGTTATGGTACTATTATTGTATAAATTGAATTTACGATTTTAATTTAAAACTAAATTCATTTGGATCAACACTATGGGTATAACGGGTACAACATCTAATTAAACGGGGTTTTTCATTTAGTTAATGGACTCTGATATTAAAAAAAAAAACCTTCAGTTACTATAATAATTACATAATAATGTCCAATTAATGTTAATTATGTCAAAAATAAAACGTATTCAGGTTATTTAATTTTAATTTTATAACTAACAACACGGGACGAACCCAGTATAAAATGAATTTATACAACAAATAAAAATAATTAGATTCAGCACATGATTCGTACATAGGAGGGTTGAAAAAATTAGATAAAGAGAAATATAAGTATAAGTATATGAAAGTTTTGTACTCTGTAGAGTACATGTCGTTTAAGCGACACCCGGTATTAACAATGTATATTTTTTCATATAGAGAAGAAAATAAAAGAATGGATATAACGGCTAGGTATATCAAATTTTTATTTCACAGCTTATATACTTAATTAAAACGTATTATTCTTAGCTTGGAAGGAATCGTATAAGATAGAAAAAATACAAGATACAATTGATAAATAAGCATACGCAACTAGAGCCCAAATATTGAGAGTGTTGAAATTACGTAGCTCACACTAACTCGTGGGGGCTACGTCCGATCTTACACCCCCTCCCCACAGTACTATATCTCAATTTAATCATTAAATGTACCATAACAACATACATACACTAATATTTTAATTTATAAATATTATACAATATACAATATATTCAATATTCACACTAGTATTATCCTGCGATGACTAGTGGAATATTTTTCAAGTATTTATGACGATGTAATTAACTAATAGTCATAAACAATTCATCTTTCTGATAAAAGCATCAAATAAAAATAACTACATAAAATAAGAAAAACACTAGTTTTTCATATAATTTTTCAATTATTAATTTTTTAACTGGGGGTGTTAAATTAGAGCCTGTGGTGATATAGCATCCCCCCTAGTTGTGTTTATGTAAATAAGTATTTACGTTAATATAACAATATAAGTTTACGATGTAACACGATAAAAAACAATACCTACTCATATACTTCAATGTAATTATATGATATATAACTGATGTGTACCATTATTAATGTGAGGCAACTGAACGACTAATTTGTTGTAGGAATAAAAATGATTCACCATCAGATGAACACATCGATGTTATCTATTTTATTTGTTGGATTTGTAATACGGTCCAAAAATAAAAGCAGAAGGGCAGAATATGTTAACAGATAATTTATAACGTAAAGTAACTTAATTACATGATTTAACATCAATTAAATTGTTATTGAATTTAATATATCTTTTTAAAATATAATAAAAAATAATACCATCAGTTATACAAAATGTATGTAGTGTTAAAACGTATATTATTATTCGCTATATTTTCTCGTTGTTATATAGGTCATATAAACACATTTTTATTCATATCTAAGCATAATCTATCCCCTTGCAAAAATGCATTTGTTTTTGAGGTAATAAAAATAATCAAAAATGCACAATGACATGATGACGATCATAATATTTAAAAGAAGGTGGGTCCAATTTAATGAAAATTAATGACATCGTAATTTTGTTTTAAAATCATTACATTTTAATTTTGCTATTCATTTGTATGATTTAAAAAGGATTCTGTGTTTCTTTTTCGATTCCAAAATTAACATAATCGGTAGGTACATAAACTGCAGATTGAGACAAAACATATACCTAAAAATATTTTTCAACCCAATTGAATTACCCAACTACACAAAACTAAATATGTTTAATCACTATACATTTATTATAATTGATTAGTAATCATATTTTTTTGCATAGGTATGTACTTGTTTGCTATAGTCCCACTTTTAACGTTAATTTACTAATCACTATTTTGGTGTTTCCCTCATTGTCCCTACAATGTATGTTACCACTTTATCGTAGTAGGTGTTTTATTTTAAACATAGAAAATTGACATTTTACTCCATATTAGGCCTGATGCACATCAGGCCCATGCGCAGCAATCTTCCAATGTGGGTGGAGGGCGAAATAATATATTTTATGTTAATTTATGAAATCAATAAAAAAATATACGTTTGAATATCCATGATCAAAAATATCAAGATCGAATATCAATAAATGTCAACAAATTTGTTTTGTCACAACTTTACCAAGAAACCAAGAAAATTGGATTTATTGTTTATGTAAAATTATAGTTCATACCAATTTAAAATATTTAAAAAATAAAAAATTAGAGTCAGTTTTTTAGAACGATAAATTAATATTGAAAAATTGTACTTTTTTTACTTGCCATTAAATAGTAGACTAACATATGTAAACTATATAATATATTTCCAAATTTTCAATTTCTTAGTTTTACTACTTACATATTCTCGAAACCCACTCTACGTCATTGAAATATAGGATATATTGATATTATCGAAAAAATCGACACATTAAACTATAACTAATTGGAAATATTAACAATACAATGTCGATAATTTGTGGATAACAATTTTGCATTTAAAATTTAATTGGATATGGCACACAATCGAATCAGCTTGTGCAGTTTGTTCAGATTTCAATCTGTTCACGATATTCACCGTTGTTGTGTGCGTTCATTTATTTTTATTATTTTTCTAACATGTCTAGTGAAATGCGTGTAAAAAAAAAATGGTAGAGCATTTTTGGTTTTCTTTCCATAAAAAACTCGTGATATAGAGCGCTGGAAATGTACAATGCATGTTTGTAAGACTTATTTTAAACGAAACAGTATTGGCGAAATATATGATGAACATCTGGAACATAACCACTCATATTTAGATGACAATGTTATAAGGAGGGAGATAAGTAATAGTTTAAAGCGTTAAGCTCAAGAAATGTTGCACAAAAAGCCAGCGAAATTTTTTCGAAGTCAACTTGAACCGAATGATTTAAATGTGTTGACGACACAAGATATCAACGTTATTCGTACTCGTAAATCTGTATATTATGTTCGTTCAAAATCGCTACCAAAATTAACTAAATCGAAGAAGCTTAAGATAATTTACACAAAATAGATATTAAAACTTTGGCGGTTGAGAATTTTTTATTTTTCAATTATAAAGCGTCAAATATTCTTATCATTACATATAACACCGACTTGAATATTATTAAGGAAAACCGATGTATTTATAATGATGACACATTCAATTATTGTCCAACATTTTTTTATCAGATGTTCACTATTCATGTTTTACATAACGCATATTATCTTCCCCTTATTTATTGTTTTTTACTAGATAAAATTTCTGTAAACTACGGAAAATCTTTTTCAGCGTTGTGTGATCACTTAAATCCAGAAGTTGTTTTCGTAGATTTTGAAGAACACATTATAGTCTGCATTACAAATACGTGGCCATCGGTAAATATTAAGGGGTGTAGATTCCATTTGGATCAAAGTTGGTGGCGGCTGATTCATTCAAGCGGATTGCTTCAGAATTTAAGGACAAAGATTCTGGAATCGGAAGAACGCTAAAACATTTAAACCAAAGGCCTTCCTTACCTACCACCGTTAGAAGTCTTGGATTGTTTCACAGATAATTTAATGGCTATCAAACCAAAATACGATAAAGTAAATAAAGTTTTCGACTATATTTTTGAAAATGTTATATTGTCAGATAGTCGTTTCTTTCCTGAAATGTGGCCGCGAGTTGCTGCACAGAACCGCAGCGTCACCGTGCGTTCGTATAGCCAAACCAGTTGTAACATAAATCGCAAACGCAATACCGCAGAGCCACCGCGTGTTTATAAACCGCACGTGTGCATCAGGCCGTAGACGCTAGTTAGTTACCCACGAATATTGCAAAATACGAAACATTTGTAATAATTATTTTTTAACTACTATGGAGTTTGGTTGATTCCCACACGAAACATAGTAGTAGGTAAGCAGTTTCAAAGTAAGTTCTGACACGAACAAAAATATACTGGTACGTTAGTTCCGACGGGAAAAATAATATAAAATTAGACAATAAAAAATATAAAATTAATAAAATAATTATAACATAATGAATTTCTATTCTTGCATAGAAATACTATATAAATTATTTCCCTATGAGGTGCTGAAAATATAGTGGTACCTACTTCTAATGTATGAAATCGAATTGCAGTTGGATTAAAAAAAAAACAATGGTTAAACTACACTAAGATTAAAAAAACATTTATAAAAATATTCTCATTTTTATTTAGTGATCATTTTTTGCACCATATAAAATTACATTGTAAAAGACATATACTCGTAGTATAATAATCAAAACGAAAATTATTAAATTCTAGACTACACCTATTGCGTCCACTACTCAAATCTAATCTTCCACTAAAAAATAAACTATTAATATATAAATCTATGATACATCCCGTTTGGGCGTATGGTGCTCAAATCTGGGATTGCGCCAAGCCAACCCAAATAAAAAGTATCCAATCATTCCAATCAATTTGCCTACGCCAAATAACTTCTGCTCCTTGGTTCGTCAGCAACCACTCTCTTCATAAAGATCTAAATATTGAGACAGTCGAAAACCTAATCATAGCACACTACAAACAATTCCATTCCAGATTATCCCTCCATTCCAACCCACTCATTTCAAATCAGTACTATTTTATGCTTCCGAACGACCCTCCACTTCGTCTCAAAATATGCTGGTGTCGTGATCTCCTGATCTAGGCACTTAACCCAAATATACTAACAAAAGGGTCCTATAACTGGATGGCTTCCCTAATCACGTGATCATGTTTGTTTTATGTTGTCTTATAAATTTCCTTATTGTGCAAAAGACGCACAGATTGTAAATGTTATATTTTCTTAATAAAAAAAAAAAAAAAAAACTACAAAAAAAAGTAAAATAATAATACTTTAATTTACATTCATTTTTTATGATCACAATTTTATCTAAGATACAAAACATTTAATGAATTTTAATTTAAACGATTAGCTATTAAAAATACAGTAACATTAAGTATATTATAAAATATATGATATACATACGTCACATTTTTTACTTAAGTGCAATGGTAATCAACCATTACCTGTATTTAACCCGAATGTAATTCAATTACCTACTTCATTTTAGGCATGAAGAGTATTGATTATTTCAAAAATCTTAATTAATTTAAATTTCAATAGATTTAACAAAATTTAATCTTGGCAGGTTACATACATTTATATACTTAAACCCGGCAACGACGGGTAATTCAGCTACGTAAATACGTATCAACTACGTATACTAAATAATAATATTAATCTATTAACAGTGGTGTATTTTCAAATTTTTTGTGGCGGGGATCTAAATATTAAGTACCTATAAGTTTATAATATAAAAAAAACACATACGAGTTATAATGTAAATATGTAATAACTATATTATTTATATTAAATTATGTATATTTCACTACTATTATGATTTATTAATACAAATTAATAGTCGGCGTACCTACTAATATAATCATATAATAATTATTATTATGTTACGTCGTTATCGTCGTCGGATTCGTTTTCGTCGTAATTGTCGTCGTCGGATGGCGACGACGCGACAAAAATAACCAAAAGTTAAACCAAAGTAAAAACCCATAATATAAAATTAATATTCTCTTTCTCGGTACCTACGTACCAAGTTTTTTGACTTTTTAAATTTTTTTCTGGGGGGGGTCGAGACCCGGGAACCCTCCCCGTAAATACGCCACTGTCTATTAATATAATATATTTAGAATAATTAAAGTTATAAAAATGTTTCAAACAAATTAATATATATATATAAATAAGAACATAAAAATGTAATATAATATATCTAATATATCTCAACATATTAGTAAAACAATCAAGAACAAAATTAAATTAATAATAAAATATCAGATTACAGGTTAAAAAAATAATATAGTACATATGGTTATGTATATACACAAAACATAAGACATAGGTACTTATTAATTTGTTTTTGTATTTAATATATATTTATAGTTGTGAGACAATCAATTATATATAATTATTAATAATTAACTAGAAGTAATAAGTGAAAAATTATTATTTCTAGATTTTGATACTGCAACTCATGTCAAAAGAGTTGGCTTGATCCGAAGTTGTATATTTCAACGTACCAATGATGAATGCCTATCCATCCTATTAATCCATTTATCAAGACCTTTTATCATTTTTGTATATACATAGGCTTAAAAACGTTTTCCAATGGTTAACGTACAACGTAACTAGGTGAATATCAAACAACTAATTTTGATTGTATAACACATCTATCATTCTAATTTCGTGACTACAGCACAGGTAATATAATAATAAAATATATGTGTTACCTATACGTCTAATTTTTATCCTTACTTTATTATCAATCAAAATAATCTATAAATGATAAAAATAACAGTAAAAATAATTATATTTAAACTACTAAGTAAATCTGTAATAAAGATTAACAAACAAGTTATGGTTCACATTTTTTTGTTTATCATCCCGATAATACGTGTCTTATTTAATTATATTTTATTAATCCAAGTAACACAAACTAAATTGTCATAATCTCTCGAACATAATTTTAAAATTACTACAAAAAACAATACACTAATTGTTCAACAAATGTTTTATTTGAAATATATTATCTAAATAACATAATTAACAAAGTAAAATAAATTATAAAACATAAAATTACAAAAATTATTGAAATCAAATAACATTATAATATAACAATTAAAATAAAAGGTACATATTTATTACAACCAAATGAATAGTATAGAAATTCTGTATGAATCTCAATATACTAGAAATGTTGATAATAATAATAATAACAATAGTAATAATAATAACTATCCTTTAAGTAATAACACCCTTATAATACCACCAGTATATAATTGTATAATATTTTGACTCATATAAATATTACGCATTAGATCGAAACCACCGTAAAATGTTAGTGAGTGCATTTAAAGGCTCTGTGTATTCGTTCTAATCAAAACCTAATTCTGCGTCAACCATCGCTTCTTCCGAAGTCTTGGTTACCATGTATTTCGGTAACCATGTTCTTAACGTTGGATCATACATCGGTATAGTTTCCTCGCTGTACGCCCCTTCCGGTCCGTATGGATCTACGTCCGGCAAGTCGTGTCTCGATACTTGCTGGCTACTCGGATCTTCAGCATAATCATAGTCCTCCACACTCTGCGCCTCCGTTTGGTCATCTTCTTCTATGGACTCTGCAAGTTCTTCGGTGACGGGTTTTTTGTGAAGCCTGTAGTTTCTATTTCTGTACTGCGGCCGATTGTGAGACTGCTGTGCCGTAGGCTCATAATCAGAACTGTACAGTGGAGCATATACGTGCGTTAAGGATGACGAGGCAGGTGACTGCTGATTATTACTCAGAGTAGATACTCCCAATCCTGTAGTGTTTTCCGCCTCTGGGCTTGTGTTGAATTTCTTGGTTTCGTGGTAGGATTGTTGCCGTTCTTTTGGCTTACTATCTGTAATGTACATACATTCTTCCGTTTCCGATCCCTTGTCGTCTTTGCATTTATAACACGTCATTTTGTCTTTAAGAGATTTTTTACAATTTGACCTATCTTTGTTGCGAAATTCGCCCAACATCTTGTTTACTGGGCTTTCTTCTTCAACCGAATCGAAATTTATCGATAAATCTTTTTCACCGAGCAATGAAGATTTGGTTTTTTTAAAACCAATTTGCCCATTGTCTAAGAATCCAAAGTCTCCGTCTTTAGACGAAAACTTGGTGGCTATACTACTCTTACGGTTTGAGCCTAATTCCGGGAACAGCTTTTTGAAATAGTCATCGTAGGTTCGATCTCTATCTAGTTGTCTTTTATACCGAGGACTACCGTACACGTTGTGCGTTGAATAATCATATGCATTATTATTAGGATCTTCTTCATATTCACATTGTTCGTACTGCCTGTTAGACAGATTGTCTTGGCACACGTGACATATATTTCCCTTTTTCCTAACTTTCCGACAAGTTGACGATTTTGTTGGTAATGGTGGTATTTTATATTCTTCACTTAAATTTTCAGCTGTTTCGTAATTTTCCGGATCTTCACTATCATAATCAGTTACTGCATCAGCATTATGAACATACTCTGGATCCTCTTCAGATTCTTGAGCATTAATATTTTCGTATTCATAATCTTCTACTTCTTCACCACTTTCTGGTTTTTTTCGCTTCCTGTTCACAATTCTTCTTTTGAATCTGTTTATTTTAAAACTACTCATTACATCTGGTTCTGGTTCTTTTTCGTATTCTTCACTTAAAGGATCTGATTTATACGAACATTTTTCATATGAACCACCTGATACTAAATCTTTACACACCATACACGACATTTTTCTTCCTATAATATCATGATCCTCAATATCATTTGGTGTCATAGATTTACTCCTTTTCTGACACACTTGTCGCTTTTTAGTAGGAAACCGTCTCGATTGCAAAGGTCTAGGTTCATCTTCTTCAAAGTCTTCGTCTGAAATACTTGTAGGTCTATTATCGTAATTATTATATGCTAATCGCTTATTTTCTCCTTTTACCCTTAATGGCCGCCTGTTACTTCCATGAACTCTAAGTGGTTTAATATCATCATTGAATAATTTTGAAGGTCTTTTGTTTTCAGCTAATATATTAGAGTATGGATCATTAGAAAATTGCCTTGATGGTTTTTTTCTATACGCTGAGCGTGATGTATAAGGCTTCTGATAATTATTAGAAACTACTGGTACTCGATTAGATCCATATCCAGTAACTTTTTTTGTTAAAGGTGGTCTATTTCTAAACTGATCCTCTGATATATCTGATACATATTTATTATGCATAGGTATCCAACCGTTCTGAGGCTCATAACTATCGTAATCAAGTTCAAAGGGTTGATGTCCTCGGAGTCGCCCATAATTTCTACTTCCACCACCGCCATTTCCACCACCACCTCCTCCATTACCACCACTACCACCACCACCACCACCACCACCACCATCACCACCACCACCACCACCACCACCACCACCACCACCACCACCACCTCCATCACCTCCATCATCTCCGCCATCATCACCATCACCACCATCGCTTCCATCATCTTGATGTTCTGGAAAATCAAAAGGATAATTTGCGTAATGTGAAGGTTGTGGTGATATGAAGTTTGAAGGTCTTAATGGTTCATAGTTGAGCAAAAAAGTGGGTTGTACTGATTGCTTTTGAGGCAAATTAAACTTATCGTTATCAGCTTGGTCAAAGTTAAAATTTAAACCAGATATTTCTTCATCAATGTTTCCTTGTAATTGAGAAAATTCAGCAGTCGGTTGATTCGGATGTATATATGATCCAAAATATCCATTTTCGGCTATTTTTGAATCTATGGACGTTTGAATAGTCTTGAATGTATCTTCAGGATTATAATCATTATTAAATTTTGACGATTTGATCGGGGAAATTGTGTTCAATGTAAGGAAGATTCCGATAGTGGCCGCTTGAAACATCTATAGAAAAACAATTTACTATGAGTAAATAAAATAAATTGTATTAATACATTTACAAGTACAATAACATATTTAAATAACTGCTTATATTTTTTATTTAATTGTATACCCTATAGTATTCGGTATTCAATCGACCATTAAAAGTATTAAAAGAGGTCAATGAATTACACGCTTCATCAGTTCTCTATCGTAATAAAACGTAAGATTTTTTTTATATAATTGTGTAACATGCATAATACGTGTAAATATTAAATACGCATAAATCCACCTTCTAAAACAATCATTCATCGGAACATTTAAAACCTATTTATGCATACAAACATACACAAATATATATATTAACTCAAAGAAAATTTGTGCTAGGAATTATTTACGGATATTGAAGGTCATGTATGCAAAAAAAAAAAACCAATGAATCGATGACATTAAATCATAGGTTATGAATCATACAAATAATTAAATTCCCTATCAACTATAAATATAAGTATTATAAAGATGCACACACTAACTTTAATAATTCACTATTGATATTACATTTTTAGTGTATTTTAGAGAGTTGACTATATACTTTTAAATTAATTTTCGTATAGTTATACTAATTTTTAGTTGATTAATTTATCAATAATTTTCATCAACACTTAAGATATACTTTACTTCTTTATGAATGTACAACAAAGTTATGAAAAAATGATAGAACTAGATTTTTTTTTAATCACTTATAGAATATAATTTATAAAATAAGTGAAAAGTTTGTTATACACATGACATGGACTTACCCTTACTTTTATGTTTGCTAGTTATTATTTGATAAAGAAATAATTAATAAATATTATGTAAATCATTGACACAAAATCAACTCAATTACCTGACATGTGACGTGTACAACGTTCATGGCGCTCAGGACATACAGCTCGGTGATATGTTAAGAGACATAAAGATAAGTGCGCGTTCACTTCGTTCGCAGAAATCACATTAACATCTATCATAGTGAACGAACGGCGTTAGGGTGTTTTGCGAATCACATAGAAGCGCCTCCCACTCAGCTCTTGTTAAACACGTTTTGTTCGTTGTTTCGGATCCAACAGACCACGTCCAATTGGCACCGTGAAAATCATACCGTTTGATTTTTTTTATCAGATGAAGTATAAGCGAAATTAACGAGGAAAACGTAATAATATAAAAAAAATAAATAAATAAATAAATAAATAAAAAATAAAGCCAAAAAACCAACTGTATAGCTGTGATATTCAAATACACATATAGTGCTTTAGTTACATGATAAGAAATTTGTTCAGAGGAAGTATTTGGTATATTGTTGACTTGCTAAGACTACATAGATCATTATAGAAAATTAAAATTGTTTTATTAAAATGAATTTATCTTAAATTATGTAAATAATTATTGAACACATCATTAGCATAGATAAAAAGTGAGGATCGAGGATCCGAATTCACACAAAAATAAATGTATGTATGTTTATAACATATAGCATAATTTTATTTAAATCCTTTTTTTCAAGCGCCATCAAATTTGCTATATATTTTTGTTATGGAATATCTATACATACTCGTATGCCATTGAGTATATAGATCAAATCTAAATTAGGAGTAAGCTATTAATATCAAATTAATATGCCAAGATATAAATCGAACATTTAAAAAAACACATTTTTACGTATATATGCTATAGTTAGTAATGAATGCTCAAATTTAAATTTCTAAAAATACAAGAAAGAATCAACGAATAACCAAAATTTAAATTGATATCACTTTTAAAAATAATTATTAGGAGGGTGACAGCTTATTTTGTTGTCTTTATTTATCCATCCTACAATATAGCAAATGCACGCTACTTTTTTTAGTGCTATGTAGGTCGTTGAGGTCATTTGCAAATTGTAACCAAGTCTCTCCGTATATTCCCATTAATCGTATCTTCTAATTACTTTTATTCATCCTTTCTTCACTCTGTCCAACCATCGCTGTCGAGGTCTTCCCCTTGATCGCTTTTTTGTTGGGATTCGGTTCAGTATATTTTGTATTTTACTTTCACCAACCCAACAAACACGACCAGCCCACTCTAATCGTTTTGCTCTTAGGAATAATGTAATATTTGGTTTGTAATACAACCTTTATGGTTCATCGTTCTTCCATCTATCTACTGCCCATTTTAGTTTCGAAAAGATCCTTGAATTTTCTTTAAAATTTTTCTTTCGAAGATAAATAGTTTCTCCTTAGTCCCCTGTGTAGTGAACTATGTATCGTATTCGTGTATTACTATCGGTGTCAAATAGGATGTATAAAGTTTTTCTTTTATGCCTTTGGACAATATTTTGGAGCTGATTATCTTGTTCATGGCAAAATAGCTTTTGCTTGCATTACTTATTCTTAATTGGATTTCCTTATACATGTTATTTTTTGTATTTATGTTGACTCTCAGGTGCCTAAACTCATCCACCTGCTAGAAGGTGTAGATACCTACTTTAAATACTGATTTTTTTACTATATGTCAAGTCAGTACTAGATATTTAGTTTTAGTTTTATTGATAGTGAGGTTAATTTTATGACTAGACTTGATTAGTTCATCAATGACCTTTTCATAGTCTTCAGTATCTTTTAATATTACGATGTTATCTATGTATGCAACCAATGGATTTTTTCTATTTAGCTTCATTTCGTATTTCACTGTTACACCTCTGATTACTTTTTTAGCATCAGATTAAATAGTATAGTAGACATTACATCACTATGTTTTAGTCTAGATTGAATCTCAAATGATGGAAACAACTCACCTTGGTACCGAACGTATTAAGAAATTTAAAGAGAAGAATATTTTTGGGAGCATACATAATATATCATTTTTGTAAAATATTGACTAGCAAAAAAGTTGAGACTATTTGAATTAGTAGTTTGATTCATATAATCTAATTAAAATTTGGTGTCTAGCATTGTAAATTATAGTATTTAGTTTCAAAATGAAAATAACGCGTAGCCATGTAAGTAGATCGACCATAATCAGATTGTTTCAAATGTTCTCACTTTAGTAATATTTATAGCATTATAAATGAACTTTTATTTAAACTCATATTTTCTATATAATTAAAATAGAAATTTTAGTTCATATTCTTTTTCTATTGAAAATATTTTATTAAACATGTATTACTACTATAGATTCAAAAATGTGTATTGTATATTTTCAATCATAATTAATTTAAAATCGTAAATGTCGATCAAACATTTTAAAACTTGAATGGGTTTAATTAATAAAAAGTTAAATAATTTTAAAATTAATTAATAAATAATGTATATAAATTTAAAAATGTACCAAAAACTTGTAATTATAAATTATATTTATATGGGATAAAACAGTTATAACATACAATTATGTATTATTACTATACTTGTATATATTTTATAGTAAATTTAATTGGATATATTCAATTATTTTTATTAGTCTTTACCTAATTTTTTTGTGACGAAATCGATAAACTGATAAAAACATTAAAACTGAATGTATAAAATACAGAAGTATTTTTGGGAGTGATTAAAAAAGCAAACTACAATACATAAATATTGTAATAATTCTTAAAAAAACAAAACATATTATGGAAGTAAAATAAATTGTAGAATTGATAGAAACGCGTAATAATAATTTAATAATATGTTTTAATCTGTTGTAGTTATTCAGTTATTTCAACATTGGGAATTAATTATTATATTAATCACGAGCCTCTGATAATCAAAAAACAATAAAACTGCATAAAAAAATTAATAACCAATATTATTATCAAGTGACTTATTTGGACGAAATTAATTTTAACTATCCAGAAAACTACCGTAAACTCTTAAATGGTTATAGATTTGTCAAAGTTAGGACTTTTACACTTGTTGGATATATTTTAGAATAAATTTGGTTTAAATTAAATTAAAAATTTGGATTATATAAAATGGACTGTTTGTAATTGTACTTGGTGGTACATCCTAGGCTATGGTTTACCGAGTTCTATCGAAATAAAAATTTGTAATTTGGACAACGTCTAGATCAGTGAGGAAGTCTGGGATAATTTGGTTTAGTACACTTATACAGTCGTCTAGGAAACCTGCCTGGACACATTTCGTAGTAAACGCATTAGCTGAGTTGTGCTCAGCGGTCGTTTTCCTCTCGCGACACGCCAAATGTGTGTACACTTGCTAAATTTAAGTAAATAGTTATCTCACGTGTAACGAATCGAGGGTTTTAGCGAACTCTTGATGTTAAGACGAGCCCTTGGATTTTAAACAACCGCGTATAAAGTATTTTCATAATTAACACGCGTGATTTACACAGTGCGCGTCCAAGGCTTCCAACAGCGGGTAGCGTACAGCAATTTTTCTTTATAGATACAGCGTAAACGGTGTGATGAATGTCGTAATGGCACGACGCTCGAGCAGCGTATTTCATTCGAGTCTGCATTCTGCACCGTGTACACCAAGACGTATTTGAGTGTTCTGGATAGGTTTGTTGCGTCTGAAGCATGTTCGACGGCACGCGGAATGGGTTATTCGACGGGAAGATGGGCACAAAATCTCCATTACGATACACACGTAGTACACATGTGTATGTTTAGGTGTTCAAGCGAATTTTTTAATGCTAATATAATATTTATAAACGTAAATCACGAGCAGTAATAACTAGTATTGAACACATTGGTTTTGGGGAGTTAAGAACGTGTAGCGACACAACCGTAGTGCAATACCAATAATTTAACCGCTAACTGGTGTACACTATGTACAAAGATGTAAACGCAACTTAATAATAATAAAAATGTATAATATATATATATATATACCTTTAGTGTAAAACTCGGGACGATACCGCAGAGTTGCGCGCTTGATTTTTTGCGTTTTTTTTCTCTCGCCGTTTCTTTTTTCGACACTTATATATTATATTTTAAAATAAAATAATATAATAAGAACTAGGTTAACTTAACGGACGGCGACGTCGTCCGTTGCGCAACAGTAAATAACCGATCTGTAGCCTCTCTTCCTGGCCGCGACAGCGGTAACCAAACCTACCGTGCGGACACGGTTTTTTCCTTTTTCTCTCTTCATGTACCGGGTTACCGCGATTCGGATATACCTATGCCGGTGCCAGTGTTAACCAAACCGTTCCAATGACCGGACCGCTCAACGCGTCCCCTCAACGATAACCCTCAAGACGATTGCGACGACGGCAATAGTGTTCAACGCCCTGCGCAAGTAGCTGGGACGAAAATATCGAAAAAAGGGGAATAAAGTGGCCGCAGCAGAGTTCTTCACACACACATTGGACGAGATATGAATTATGCAATATTGTTCCGAAACTCCGCTGTTGCCGGCCATGTGTGTGACGCCCGTTTCATATGGGTAAGATTCAATCGCGGCGTGTATAATTTATATCATAACATCACCTGTTTAATAAAACATCATAAACTACGATGTATATTATTGTTAATGTGTCACTTACATAATACTTATATCTGTTTAAATCATCCGCCACGATTCGTTTGAATAATAAGTTATTTTATTCACCGTTCAAACAGAAAATATCCAACTAAATGTGTATTAAAATATTTTATGACCAAAGAACTAATCTAGGGGTATCTTCGATGGAGGCCAATAGGTTAGACACCATCCCCATGCTCTTTTTTTCTTCGAATTTTTATTGTTTATTATTTATATCATACTAGAATAAATAACATAAATGTGGATACAAATATGAAGTTCGCTCCCCTCCTCTCTTATAAAAAAAAGTCTAAGGACCCCATTTGCAAAGGGCGTATAGTTTTGACCGCGTGAAGTAGCAACGTATTTATATATAGTGCGTATACGTGTTGCGAACGTTTTTCATTGATTTATATTCAACTGAAGCGCTTTGTTTCGGAATAAATTCCTGTGGGGAAGAAGATATTCACAGAGCTTCGAAATATCACAAAGGTATGATAAAAGGGGAGCCACTAATATTTGACTAAAAAACATAAGTCATCTCTTCATTATAGTACTATAATACTTGTAATACTATTCATAGTAATTTACACTACCTTCTTTATAATTAACTATAGTAAATCGCTTAATGGTATGCATAAGGGGAGACTTGGGTGTGCTTAGCACCCTCAAATGTGTTTATGTTAATTTACATTTAAATAGTCAATACTCATTATGTATAGAAAAACAGAGTTTTTAATGTATAACATTTATTATTTAAATATTGATTGTGGAAATTCGTCCTTCGTCTCTTCGGTCCTCGAACTGGATAATAGTAATAGGTGGGGTTGCCAGATTTTGAAATTCCTAAGCCGGGATATTATATTGAATGACTATTTTTTTATTTTGATATGAAAATAAAATAAGTATATGATTTTGTAATTTAAATATTTACTGGCTAATATAAAAATACATTATTATTGTATATAACCATACTGATTAGATTACTATAATATTATTATATAATAATAAAATGAATTAAATTAAATAAATAAATTATATAATATAAAATTTAATTTCTCTCAACTTCTATTAACCGGGATAAACTGAATTATCGGCCAGGACACCGAGACGAGGGGCAAGCCTAGAAATAAATATATTGAGTTTTAAAGAAATGATAAGTCATTTCTTTATCAAAACGGTTCTGAGCAAAGGTTCAGTATAAAAATCAACCATTTATAAATATATTTAACCATTTTTAGTCTAATTATTGGTAGTTTCTTTTTTTTTATCAATCTATTTAACATTTTATTGTTTAACAAAGAAATTTTTCATTTTTTACCAAATATTTATCTGTATTCAAAGTTTCATTATGATTGGATGAAACTTTTTTAATAAACATTTAATGTTAAAAATTGATGTAAAAACTGTAAAATCCGTAAAAATCGTAGGTATAGTAATTTATTTAAACGCTTGTGAAAAAAATTTCAAAACTAACGATTTTAAAAAATTTTTAGTATCGATAAATCAGTACTCGTATATGAGTAATGTCATATTATATTTTCACTTAATATCCAAAAATCAAAATTTTTTTTTCATAAAGATTTTCAAAAAAATTAGGTATTTTTATGGTTCTATATTATATTAAAAGCACTTTTTTAAAATTCGAATACGAAAAAAAAATCTTTACTATAGGGTAAAATTTTCTAGCCACATTATTTTTGGAATTATGACTAAATAACTAAAATCTGAAAAGTAAAAGTCTCGTTTACAGCGTATTTTTACCGTTTCACGACTATTTTTCCCTATGCCTAGAATAACTATTAAGATTTTAAAAAAATGTCCTCTCTTGAGTACCACCGCATGTCAATTTCAAATCTAAAAATTCCTAGAAGAAACTTTTGGACCAGTATTTTTATCCGAAAAAAGTGGTAAAAAAATAAATAAAAACCTCATTGTGAAACCAAATGATCCTTCACTTCACTTAGAATCTAAAAGATCATGTAATGAAACATTTTTGACGAGTAATACGTTATACGTGCATTAAAAATTTAAAATCAAAGTAAAAACTTAAATTGAGAAATATTTTAGTAATTGTTGAATTATACGGGTTACGGGTTTCTATAACCATTAAAGAACATAAAAAAAGCTAGAAAGGCTTCATCACCCTCAGTTTTTTCATTGAAATTGCGTCCCCGAATATTATAATGTTTAAAATTAAAAACAAATTAGTGTTACTTCAAAATAACATAGGTAACATTTATTATTAGTGAATTAACTGAATTATTAATGAAAATAACTAATGATTTTACAAATAACAATTGTTGTACAATTATGCGATAGACACTTTATGTGCTCCTGTTTAGGTATTAGACAAAATAATAATACCTACTGTAAGTTTTTTATTTGTTTTACTAAGAAAAAATTAAAAACTGAATTATCTAATCCATCAAATGCATTAAGAGAATCAAACATTAACTTAGTATTAAACGTTCTGAACTGAATTCAAATTGTTTTCAGGGCCAAAATAAAAATAAAAAAATAGGAGGAAACATCGAAAATGTATTATAGTAATTATAAATATAAATATAAATTACTCAAGAATCACTTTTTATTTCCATACTCTCAAAATTATCAGAGTATTTGCAACCCCCTGCATACTACACTGTTTATTTAGTAATCCGTCTAATAATTTTGTGTTTTTGTGTGTGTGTGTATATATATAGCTAATGTTAATAGCCGCCATCACAAATTGCACCAGCTTAGAACACGCTTCGAGGTCCAAATACTATACTAGTGGCTATTACCCGCAGCACTACGTTCATACCGACCCTTGGATATCGCCGTCGATGAAAAGTAGGTGTACTCACACATATAAACGTGTGTGTATATAAATATATAATATAGTATAATATAGCATACAAACGAGTACGAAATTTTCTTACACAAAAATGAACGCACGTGTTGGTTTTGTTTTTAATATTGCATTATAACTCGCACAACGTTTACCACAATAATAATAGTCCATCTAAAAGTATGTATATAGTAAAAAAATATTATTCAGATATTCATAAGTGATTTTCCACACTAAATAAAAACAATCGTATAGGGTCAAGAATTGGTTTTTTGATTTTTATTATCTATCATCCAATATATTCATAATTTATATGTTACGATTACTGTGAATGACAAGAAATTATTGTGAATTATATAGGTATCTATAATTTATATTCTATATAATATGAAACAGATGTTTTAACATAGAAAGAACGTGGTATTTGTGCCCCCTCCAGTAATAACTGAATGCCACCCAATGATGGATAATCATAAAACTAACACATACTCATAACGACCGATGTCAGTGTCAATTAATAATTATATATACCTATATGCAGTGGCGTCATTCGGAAAAAATATCAGGGGTTGAAAAAGTTACTCAGGATGCACCAAAATTTTTAAACAATGTTTTAATATAATCTTATTATTATATTCTATTAATATAAAGTACATTATAAATCTATATAATTCTTCTTATATATAAATACAAGTTATTAAAAACTATTAATTTAAATTTTTTATAATTAATATATAGCCACAAACAATATTTTTATTTACATTTTATTAAAATGATTTTAAATCACATAATCTTTTATAATTATAATATAATTACAACCGATATTATATAATTTATTTTTAAATTAAAACTTCTACATCATCATATTGTTTTCGATGTTATTATTGTCTCAATTTTCTATTATACTTTTATGAATATAAGCTATGTGCTTATATCACATTGTTAATACTTAAATTTATCAATACTTAAAATTCGAGAAAAATAAATATTTTTCATGTTTAAGCGTCAAACACGTGAATGCAGTTTTATGAATATTCAATAAAAAATTGGATATAAATTAATTAGAAGAAAATATGCATTCTTAAAATTCACACTTTTATAGTTTATTTTTTATTGAACAAAATTCACACTAGAAACCAAGTATTTATATCCTTTTGCACTCAATGAATGAATTAACAATGTTTTTAAATTTTCTCTTTTAATGTATTCAGTGCCGCATTTATATAACAGTCGTCCAAGGACAAATATTTTCATCCCCCTCCCTCCATAAAGTAAAAATAAGAAACAATATCACTAAATTAAGATATAACTTATAATTTAACTAAGAATGGACTCAAAAATTTAACTATAAATACTGTTTTTACAATATAATTAGCTACTAGGAATGAAGACAAAAACACATTTTAACGTGCATCTAAAATGTTGACCCCCGGGGAAATTTTCCCCTTCTCCTCTGCTTAAATGCACCTTTGAATGTATTCCATTTAAAATTAGTTAATAAGATCAATCTTGCAATGTAAAACTTATAATATGATTGTACTATCTATAAATATATTAGTATTAAGTACAGAGGCGGATTTATCTTTTTTACGGCTATAGGCACCAAAAATTTGCCGCTCCTATAATAGGTGAAAAAGTTACAATACCCCTCCAAAATACCTACTCTAAATATTTAATATATAGACAACAGTAGTGGACATCCATTTTAATTTTTAGACTATTTTTTTCGCCTGAAGTTATTTAGCCTACTTTGAAAAAAATGTCAATGGTTGTTCACTGAATTTGAATAAAAACCTACAAAATAAAATAAAATATATAGTATTATCAAAAACTGCTTTCTATATAATTGTTTACTATAATATTTATAGGTAATGACTATAAATTATAATGAACCAAAATAGATTGGTATACTGAATATCATATACGATGTACTATATGTTTGATCGTTTGATGTTTTTTAATAAAACACTACAAAATTTGCCGCCCTAGGCAGCTGCCTACAATGCCTAATGGGAAATCCGCCTCTGATTAAGTAGTATTATGTGTTAAAATTTTTAGTAGGTAATATTTATTTTAATTTTGTGTACGGCCCTCAATGAAAAACTGATAAAAAATATGGTCCATGTAAGTAAAAAAGTTGTCGACCCCTGCTTTAAATTATTGTCATAGGAAACTAGCTAGAACTTATATTTTGATGGGGCTATAAGTAATAAGTAGGGACCGGATTTATATGCACAAAAAATTCTCAAAATATGCTTCTAAAAATGCTGTAATATGCTATGAAATATGTATTTATTTTTAAATATGTACTTAAATATTCACTTAAAATGTTGTTTAAAATTATGTACAAATATATGAAATATTTTATAAATAAAAAATAAGTATTAAAAAAAGTATAAAAAAGCTTTTAAAATATTTTGTCGTCGATACTTGAATTCTATATTATTTGTCTATATATATGTTGTATATAACTATAATATGAGATATGAGTATGTAATCTTATCTTTGGAAATAAAGACCGGTCGCAATTTTATCGATATTATGTGGTTGTGAACATGAAAATACAACGAAAACGAATATATTTGCTATTAATAATAATATGCACTATAAAACTACAAATTGAATATTGATTATTGAATATTCATTTAATAAGAAAAAACGTTGAAATATACAAAATATGCAAAATAAAAATAGTGTTATTTTAATAAGAAATATCTAAATCGGGGACAATGCTCATCAGATTTCAAAAAGCTTATTCCAATACATACATTATTATTATTTGCATATAAATCCGGTCCCTAGTAATAAGATATTACAGAATCGCAGGGGCTACGCCTCCACCATCATCTACTAATTTATCAATATTTCTTTATTATAGGTTCATATTTTAGCAAGATTATCCCTCATAATTTATCTCAAACATATCTATAGTAATTCATATTGATAATACACAGTGGCGTAGCCAGGATTTTTAAATGGGGGGGGGGCTAACCACTTTTTTTGGATAAGTAAGGTAAGAGAGGATATGATAATTCACCCCCTACCCCCCCCCCCACAATCTACCACCAAGTTTCTAAACGTAATTCAAGCATTTTAGTATAGTTTTAAAAATATTTATTAATATATAATTTATAATAATAATAATAATAATTTTAGTTTCAGTATTCAGTCACTTGCTCCACTCTGACAGCTGCATCTTAGGCGAATTTCTGGCAAATTCAGTTATTATTTCACTTTCATCGAATTGCTCTTTTATATTTATATTAACCATAGCTAACCCATTCAGTCTGTTTTCCTACATGATGCTTCTTAAAAAAATTTTTAAGCGATTAAGTGCTGAAAACGTTCTTTCCAGAGTGAAAGAGGTAACTGGTAACGTGGCGAATAATTGTAAAAGTATTTTAATGTTAGGCCGAAAATCGGTGCGATGAGAGAGTGAATCAAGAGCAGAATTCGGTTTTGGAATAGTATTTTGACTCCATTGTTGCCTCTATATGAACAGGTCAGCTCTGATTGTAGATGAGGTATCATCATGGAGATCTTGGACATATATTTTAGTAGGTTTTATAATATTTTTATCGTCATACATATTTAAATTGGCCGGAATAAGTCCTTCAAGTGGCATAACATCAATAAGCCTTTGATTAAAACGAGCATCCATTGATTCTATTAAATAGTCAAGATACATTATACATATAAACACGACCCATGGGGGGGCTAAGCCCCCTTAGCCTCCCCTTGGCTACGCCACTGATAATACATGTGTACACATTTCAACTCTATAATTTAAATTTTATTTTAATACATATTTTCTGACTTAGGAAAGACAGCACGTACAGTACACTTTTAAAATATATTCATTACTATAGAATTCTACGATTCTAACTAAATGCCTAGTACCTAGAAGTGGTTTCGGCCGTATTTTATTGATAAGGCAAATTAAGAATAACCCTTCCCCCGCTTTCTCTTCTAAAAATAAAAAATGAATGTCACAATAATGGAATTAAAAAACAGCATACAAATAATTATTTTTGATGAATAATATATATTACCAGTTAATTAAATAATAATATATAATTTAAGTTATATATTTTAAATGTACTTAAATATATAATAAGTAATATATAATAATAAGTAATGGATAGTAAAGTGAACATTTTAAAATAACGAACGGATCAACGAACGAAAACAAACGGAAGTTATAAGACAAAAATATTCGAACCCGACTTAAATATAAAAGAAAAATAAAGTAATGTTAATAGTTTCTACATTTTAATAGTATTTATGTATGCAATACGCTTTCTTTGGTTCAGATACACTCGATTCGGTGTTATATTAGGCGATAATAACATTTCCATACTATGCATGCTTCTAAATAATTATATAAACGTAATATAAAAATTACAAAACATTTACTAGTACAGTGTACAGTAGCGTATCCATGGGGAGGGGGGAAGTTTGAGGATCAGAACCTCCTCCATGAACCTGAGATGGTAAATTAACTTTTACATGAAACACGGTTTTTTCTTAAACATTTTTATATTTTAGAATTTTGATTTAGAAATCATATTAATAGTTTGTATAAATACTATAAACGTTTTATACACACACAAGTTATAATATTATGATCATATTTAGATACTTTACTACTACTTTAATAATTTTTGCTTAAAAAAATATTATTTAGGTTTTCTACAACGGTTGTTCTAAATCGATCGTCTGGTCCCCATAACTGAGATAAGAGCAATATCATTTTATTCAAAATTTATTTTGGGTATACCTATTGCATTCGCGGCTCGCCGATCATTTAACACAAGCACCTCTTTGTGTAGAACTAATAGTTATTAGTTAATTGTTGGTCGTTGCTCGTTGGTCTCTCACTGTTTTACTTACAACTCGTTTATTCGTTTATATTTGACATTTGTATTTCATTATATTTGTTTTATTTTAATTTGACATCATTCTAAGACGTCTAAACATTCCATTATGGTTAGGTATTTTTAAAATTTAATTTTTAGTATACCTAAGTGATTGGACAGAAAATATTCTAATATCCAACACTTATGTTCCTAAATTAGTTTCTAATTTCTAAATTGTTATTATTATAATAGGAAAATTCTCTAACAAATAAGCAGACTAGAAAAATTAATTATTTATTTTTACCTGAGTCAAAAAAACTAATGTCAACCAAATTTAAAAATACCAAGATTAATACAAATAGTAGTCAAAATGATAGTGATAAGATTAAATTGACGACTCCAAAAACCGCTCATTTTATAATGATATATAATTTATTATTTATTATTCATATTACATACTTATTCAAAAACAATTTATTGAGAAACAATGTATAAAGGCATTGAAAAATATAAAATATAAAATTTAAAAAAATATTTAAAAATGTTTATGGCTAAAATCTTTTCTACCACTGGGTAATCTTCCATATTCAAATCAACTCACATTCATTTTATATTCCTATATCCCATTTATATACCCCACGATTTCGATACTTGTGATTCAATCAAAAAAAGATGCGTGCGGAAAATTCTCAAAACTATTGTTAGATATTGGAGATGGGAAAGTTACTACAGATGAAACGGCATGTATACAACTACCGACCGATTTCTACACAATTATTTATTCGCAAGATGCTCTCATTGACCAGATATTTACCAATGTACACAGACATTACACAAATCATGAGTGGCTGGCAGAAAAAGCAATTTTAGTAGCAAAAATGTGGACGTCAACGAATTGAATCTCAAGATACAACATTTGTTACCAGAAGACTCTGTGTCGTACAAATCTATTGATACCGTTTGCAGTGCTACTGAAGCTGTAAATTATCCAACAGTTTTTAAACTCATTGGATTTACCAGGCATGCCACCGCATAACTTACAATTGAAGGTTTGATCTCCGGTTATTTTGCTTCGTAGTTTGACCCACCACGGTTGTACAACGGTACGCGATAAGTCGTTAGAAAATTAATGAAAAATGTTATCGAAGCCATCATTTAAAATAGCAAATTCTGAGGTGAAAATATATTATTACCGCGAATCCCTATTATATCCACAGATGTGCTAATACAATTTAAACGCCTTCAATTTCCAATTAGATTGGCATTTGCAATGACTAACAATAAGTCTCAAGGCCAAACGATGTCTGTCTTTGGCTTAGATTTGAGCACATCATATTTTTCACACGAACAATTATACATGATGTGCTCTCGAACCATCCAGTTTGTGTTGGCGAAAGATGGGAAAACAAAAAATATTGTACACTCTGTTGCATTAAAAGGGATAGATATTTTTTTTTACTAATATTGTCATAATTATTGATATATATATATATATATATATAATTTTAATCGATCAATTTTTATAAATTATTAAAAAAATTAATGTTTTCATTTTTATATTTCGTCACCGTTCATAGCACTCCATACCTCTTCCTTACATCCTTATCCTTATCCACATCCTTACATGCCTATATTAAATTAGTTATTTTTTTCTAGCAAAATATTCTCTAGAAATAATTTATATGACAAAACAACGTTTGTTGGGTCAGCTTGTTAATTATAAAAAATTTAAATTAATAGTTTTTAATAACTTGTATTTATATATAAGAAGAATTATATAGATTTATAATGTACTTCATATTAATAGAATATAATAATAAGATTATATTAAAACATTGTTTTAAAATGTTGGTGCATCCTGAGTAACTTTTCCGAATTACGTAACTGGGTTCTTGTATTAGACTAACATTCAGTATCGCATAAGGCGATAATTTAAACTATAATATGACTATAATGTGATAACTGATAAATTAGCATGTAGGACATTGTCTTATTTAAAATCTAATTGAAATAACTTAAATCCGAAGAAACCAAAAAAAAGTTTTGTAGTTAAGATATATTTAAATTGGGAAAATATTAGATTAATAAGTATGATGAAAATTATTTTATTTTATTTTATTAATATTAAATCGGTAAATACTGGTATTAAAAACTGTAAGATAGTTTTACACAGTATAATTCATATTAATAATTTTTGTTCCGATTGTTTATTATTTTTCAAATATGAAAAATTAATTTAAGTAAACTGTTTATATTTCAATGAAACTGAAATTTTTTCATTATTTTAAATACAAAATCAGATATATATAAAACAAAAAGTGATACAGATGAATCAACAGGAGGTAGTACAAAAGGAGATGCAGAAAAACACAAAAGTGGTAAACTTCTAAATGAAAAAAAATCCACAAAATACAAAGAAGAAAAAGGAAATACTGACAAATATAACAACAAAGGAAATCATGGTGGAGAGATACACACTCATGGAGGTAAAAAGAAGGAAGCAGCTTATAAAAAAGGCGATAAACACAAAAAATATAAAACCAAAAAAGTATGAAGCCAAATTTATTTTAAGTAACAATTTTAAATTGATACTTTGAAATTAAATTTACAGGGTTTTCAAGACAAATACCATAAGAACGAAAAACATAAGGTAAACGAATTTTGGGATAATTATGAAACGTATGGTACATTCAAAGAATTTGGGAAAAAAGAAGATAAAAAGTTAGATGGTAATAAAAATAATAAAAAAAAGAAAACTCAAAAGGTTTGTAAAAATAATATTAGATTAGATTTTTAAAATTCTATAAATTTTAAATTATGATTATTTTTAATAGGGAAGTAAGTCAAAAAAAGTAAATAAGAAAAAAGGTGAATCGAAAAATAAAACTGGAAGTAAAAGCGAAACTGGACATAACAAGGAGAATAAAAATGATTCACACTATAATCATGAATCTAAATATCACAAAGAAAAGAAATCTAAAAAAACCCATAAGACAAAAACTTAAAATGTATAACTATTATTTTGATAAGAATTTATTACAATAAGTATAAAATATAATTACTATTTTACAATGAGCATTAGGAATAATAGTGGTATAAAAATAAAATAGTTAAGTACAATAATATGTTTTTAAATATAATTAATGACAATATTTAAAAATAATTTAAATATAATTTTTCAGGAACCCCGATTTGTTTCATTTAAACATTCAGCTATTTTTAAAATTCACTAAACTTAAAGAACATTAAATTCGTTTTTTAACATTGTTATTCAAAAATTCTATTCAAAAATAATTTAGTACTAGAAATTAGTTTTTAATTTAATTTAAAACTTATAATATTTAGATGTAACTTTTCTTATGTTATTTAATTTGTTAGAGAATAACAAAAATACTACTTTCTAAATATTAAGTCATAATGAGTAATAGTTTATCAAATAATCATCACCAATTAATTAATTATACTACGATAAATATACATTTTTTGTACATCACTAATGCTATTGCACACCAAAAAATTGTAGCCCAACAATCCATCAATAGGTACTCTGTGTGAGAAGTTTCATTTACTGGTTGCCATCTCCATGGAAGAGTATTATAAAATATATTGTGCCCAAGGTATAAAATAATCGAATTTTGGCCTGTAAAAGTAAAATAATTTAAGATACATTTTATTGAAACATATAATTTTAAACTTACCAATCTCACAAAATGGTGATCCACTCCACAGTCGCCAATGTTCAATAATTAGGAACAACATAATGAATAACAAGAAGGCTGAACTTCCAGTAATAAATGTATATGATAAAGAAAATAAATTCTTATTAAATGGTATAAGACCATCTTCCTTGGAAAAGTTACACAAAATACCTCCAGTTAGACCCTATATTAGCAAGAAATATATATATATCACTATATAGTTTAAGCACTCAAATTTAAACTAATTTATCCCTTTCACGGCGAACACACACATTTGTGTAGGTTAGCGTGTGTCTAATTAAAAACGAATATAAAATCATACAATTTTAAGAAACCAACCACACATTTGTGTAGGTTCGTTAATACCAATTACTAAAATCAATTAATCAGGCAGGACTAAAGATAGTATAGATTTATATACACAATTGTGTGTGCTAGTTGTAAAACATATTAAAACAAAAATTAAGGCTCATCGTGAAAGGGATATTATATTAAATATTTTACTATATTTACATATTTTTAACAACAATCTGTAAAATGTTTAGTATAATAAGCATAAATTAAAAACTTACTACCTGTAAGTATGCTACCTGCATATACTTAAAGTTTAAATGTAATTTGTTGCATTATATTATTAACTTACAAGAACAATTGTCCATGCAATCCAACGTTTAATTCGTTCATTTGTATACTGATAACATAAAATTATACGACCAGCATGTACACCCATATACACAAGTAGAACATTTGTCAATGTACTTAAAATACCTAAAATTAAAAATAACAATTAAAAATATACTAAAAACAATGAATAATGTTTTAAATATCTTACCTTCGGGGTCAAAAGGTATTGACTGATATACAGATTTTGAGGAACCTGGGTACATATGGTGTTCACCAAACACTAGTCTATCAATATACCCAGCTGCGCCACCAGTGCAGTTAACATTAGATGATTTATTGTAGAGGCCCCCAGGCCCTAAATATCCTTTTGGACAACCCGGTACAGGTAAATAGAATGTTATGATAGTATGAATAGCTACTAATACAATTACTATAAGCCATTGTGGAGCACTTTCAATAATATCTCGGATAACGTCTAATCGAGTATTCTAACAATAAAAATAAAAATTAATGTTTAAAACTTCACTTATTTCTAAAAATATATTTTTTAATACCGTAAAATATGGTTGAGATTTCATAAAAATTGTTTCCAAAGTTGCAGCTATAAAATATATAAATGCTAATCTCTGCAACACTCCCATTGGTCTAAAAGTATGTAAATTATTGTAGTTGACTGAATTTAATACTAAACCCATGACTAATAGAACAATTGATCTTCGAACTACACGACCAAAAACATATTTTCTTTTAGTGCTTGAACGAAGTTGAGATCTTAATGAAATGGCAATGCTTACTCCCATAACCCAGCAAAACCTAAACATTTTTTTTTTTTTTAAACACATTTTTATGTTTAATACTTTCTATTTGTTTTATTAGTTATCAAATAATTAATTTTAAAATAATTTACCATGGCATTACGAAGTCAGCTAATGTAAAACCATTCCAAGGAGAATGTTGAAAGAACCAATATTCACCACCACCCAAATTAATAAATATCATTAATATTATAGATATTCTAAAACAAAAAATAACTCATTCAATTAAATATATATATATATTTATAAATACATAATAAATATCAAATTTCAATAAATAGGTTTTATTCTATGTAACTTTATTTTATAACATTTTCAGAACAGTTTCCTCAAAGAATAATGATCATAAAAAGCAAAAAGTAAATTATAAACTGTAATGAAAATTTATAAATTACTAATTACAGAATAAAATATTTAGAAATTAATAAAAGTGCAAACTATGAATTAAAAAAATTATAGTTTTAGTAGAATATATTATAAGTTTCTATTTTCAACAATTAATTATTTTAACTAATTCTTGGGATTAAAGGGTAATAAAAGGAAAGTAAAATTGTCATATATAATTTAATTATTAATTTAAAAGTTTATAATAAAATTAATAATTATCGATATTTATAAAAATAATTTTATTTCCAGTATAAACTATATTAGCTCAACAATTTTTATACATCATAACTCTCAACCATTTGAAGTCAATTTTTTTTTCGTATTTTAATATAAAGTCTTGCTCCCCTCACCAATATATCATTGAAATATAATAATTGCAACTTATCATTAAATAATCAACATTTTATTGCATTTATTTTTAGAAGAAAAAATATTATTCAAATTTCAAATTTTTAAAACAAAGTTTATTATATTATTATATTCTCATTTAAATATTCAATTTTAATATTGGTACTATTAAATATAAACCATTGAGGGTATTGTTTAGCTTTAATTCATTTTTTAATGTTTGGCAACAACTGTAATAGTGCACATTAAAAAAAAAATGTTTATGTGTATAAATAGGAGATAGCATAATTATTCAATAAAATATAAATAATCAAAAAAAACATTTTTCATGTTTTATGGTTTTTAAAAACATTCATACCTTCCCAAAATGTTGTCACACCTCCCAAAAGGAGCGCACCTCTCAGGTTGAGAACCATTGTTATATATAATATACAGAATAATCAAAGGTGGATAGGTAGTTGTTTTGTTACAAAGAAATATTTGAATGGGGCAACCAAAATGAAAAAAAAAAATTTGCTTATAAAAAATGTATCATATTCACTCATCCTAATTTAATTTAAATAATTTAACTATAAAAAACAATAATAAATTTCTATGAAAACGTAATGGTATTGAGGGGGCCACCAATATAAAATAGGGTTAGGGCCCACAGGGAAAATCCCTTTTTCCTTATGGGCCTATCCACCCCTGAGGATAATGATAAAATTTTGAAATACATTGATACATACATTGATAAATATAAGTAATATAATAACAAGTAAAAAAAATAAATTTAACTTTATTTTGAAACTTAAGAAATTCAAGATAATGATAATTTCCAAAATTTAACAAAATAAACTATAGACATTTTTAATTAACTGAATACTCAATTCTTTAAATATTATAATTCAATTATCATATAACATATGACCAAAAAAATATAAACCATTAAATTAATTTAAAACATATTTTAAGACCTAAATTTAAAATTATTTTAATTTATTACCCTCTAAATGCGTCTAATGATGCAATACGATAACTACTATTTTTGACTGGTTTTGGAAGTTGAGGATGAATAATAACTGGTTCATTAGAACCAGTACCAAAATCCTAAAATGATAAAAATACATACAAATTACTAAAATTAGTTTTTGTTTTTGTTAAATAGTTATTTGATAAGTTCAAATTAATTTTTAAAAAAAATTTAAAATAAATTTAACTAAAATATTGTTTTTTAATCATTAAAAACCAAAATTTATTAGGTTTAATCAAAATTAAAAGAAAAAAAAAATCGTAAATTGTAAATCGTTTAATACTACTACTTTAATTTCATTAAAATTAAGAAAAATTAGTTAATACAAATTCAAAATAAAATTTTAAGTATGATGAACGATGGAATTGTTTAACATTTAACAAATAATTTCTTGAGTAATAATCTAATCACAACATATATATGTATATTAAAACATCAAAATTTAAGGATCATTAATTTGAAATTATAGAATTATTCTTATTAATATCAATCCATAAATATTTTCAAAATATATGTAAAATAAATATTCTTTATGTTTTAAATTCAGTCATATCAACAAGTTTTAGATAAAAATATTAATTAATAGACTAAATTAGATGTTATTTATTAACTTGAAAAATAAATTTTACATCAACAAAGTATAAGAAAATTATACTCTGTTAATATTACAAATTACTTCTAAATGTATTTCTACAAGAGTTGATAATTCCAGACACCAATTATTAAAAATTATTCACTAATTAGATAGTTATATATTAGTGATTAAGTCATGAAATCAAATCAAACCGTAGATTTTAATTCGACATCAGAACCATCAATTAGTGATATGTGACGGCTAGAGGCCGTCTGAAACAAAAATAGTTTATACAAACAATTTAAGGTAAAAAAGATAGACCTGAAGTTAAAAAATGTTTTAAAAATATATAAAAATTACATTTTCAATATCTAAATCAGTCTTTGATGCAAATCGAAATACAGATGGCACTACATTAGTTCTTTGCAAATAATTGATGTAAAACCAAACAGCAAAGGATGGTATTATAAGCAATAATGCATAAACAAATGCTGAAAAATAAATAAATAAAAACTATTAGTTTATAATTTTTATAAGACTATTTAATCGATGAAAACAAAAATTACGCATGAAATAGTCTTGAGGAGTTGTTATTTCTTCAATTTGAGAACAGTTGAAATTGTTTGTAAGATTCCATTGGTACACTCCATGTTCTTCAAAAGTATATAATGTTCTATATTAAAACAAAGAATTTTATAAAGTTATTGTTGTATTATTAATAATAATATAGTATAAATTTGTTAAAAACCTGCAATTATTATGACTGCTGTCATTTGTTAAATCAAGCCATAAATTGTAAATTGTATTTAGTCTGATATTTGTTACTCCATTGTTGGAGAGGTCTACTTTTTTCAATAAATCACACTGAAAAAAAATGCTATAAATTAATTATGTTATTATTAAAAGAAGATACCTATAAATAATTTTAATTTTATTCTTTTCTAACATCTCAGGCTATTAAATGTTGGAAAATTTTTAAAATGAATATAGTAAGCTTGTATGATACACATTGATGGGAGTGGAGAGAACATGATATTTTCTTCTAGAGCTCTGAATGGTCCAATTTTTTTAAGCCCAGCTCGGTCCATATTATGATATGTCAATTAGAGTCCTCCACTGTTTAAATTTATGAAACTTACCCCCTCCTAATGTTAAAATTGTATAATGAAGCCCACTCAGTCCTGACCATTCTATTAAAATCCCTAATCCAGTCCTACTCAGTGAATGCCCAACCCCGTATAAATATAGTTAAGAAGTTATTTCGATGTAAAATATTTTTAATAAATACATAAAATAACACATCTATAACATAAGAATGATTCAGGCTTGTCAGGTAGAAAGAACAAATATTAACATATTCTACTTGAACATTAAAAAGTTGCCTAAATAAAATCATTTAATTATTTTAAATTATTAAAATAAATATTTATGAAATAATAAAATCTAAACCCAATTTTCTAATTTATTCTAATTTCTAATCTAATAAATAGGCCAAATTCACTAGGGTGCATCAGCTTAAGCTGTTCATCCCCAAAGAACATGGCTATGATTTATCACCGTGGTGTATGTTTGTTTATGATATAATTCTGGTAGGAGAAAATCTGAGAGAAGTTAATAATAGGTTGGATGAGTAAAGATTATCCCTTGAAAGAAAGGGATTAAGAATTAGTAGAAATAAAACAGAGTATATAGAGTATGAATTTGGAGAAATATACCAAGAAGTTGAAGGTATGAGGAGACCAATGACAATAAGTGGTGATGTGATAGGTTAAGTCCAGAACTTTAAATATTTAGGATCATTTGTACAAAAGAACAAGAGTTTTGGCATGGAACAGGAGTGTAATGAGGCCAACTTTAGTATATGGTTCAGTGTTGGGCGGTTCATTAAAAAATAGAACAGAGTATAAGTATTACAGAAATGAGAATTTTTAGATGGATGAGTGGAGTGTCAAGAGAAGATAGAATAAGGAACGAATATGTGAGAGATAGAATTGGTGTAGCATCAATAGAGGACAAGATGAGAGAAAATAGACTGAGATGGTTTGGACATGTGATGAGACAAGAGGAAACAAAAGCAGTAAGAGTGGTTATGAAAATTAACATTGAAGTGACAAGAGAAAGAGGAAGGAAAAGATATGGTTGGATACAATTGAGAATGATATGAGTACCATTAGTGTGTACTGTATAGGGGTTTTTGAAAATCGAGACGAGTGGAGGTTTAGGACAAGGGTGGAGGACCCCAAATAATTGGGGAAAAAGTAAAGAAGAAAATGAAGTTGAAAATATTATAGATACAAAAACTAATTAATTATATAAGTTATAATATACATTCACAAATTCTAGTAAGTGACAACCTCTTTTTATTGTTTATGACTAAATACTGAAATTTGTTATAAATTATGCAATTACTTTAATATTTAGTAAAATATAATTGACTATCAAAGGTCACTATTCCATTATTATCATTAATAAGTTATCAGTTTTAACTATTGAGTTCACAGCTGACATTCCTCCAACGGATAACACCCTAATAGAGACATATGCCGACGACACCGCAATCCTTTCATCCAGTCAAGATCCACACGAAATAAGTGGCCTACTTTAAAACCATCTAAACAGCTTATCCCACTGGTTCAAATCATGGAAAATCAAAATCAATGACTCCAAATCTTCTCATGTTACCTTCTCCCTCCGCCCCGGTAACTGTCCTCATATAAAATTTGAGAATACAATCATTCCTCACACAAACCAAGTCAAATATCTCTGTCTACTGTTTGATAGAAGGCTTACCTGGGGCCCCCACCTCAAAACCAAACGTAGACAACTAAATAGCCGTCTGCACATCATTAGGCCTCTCATGAAATCTAATATGGACATCTCCAACTGTCTACTACTCTATAAATCCTTACTGCAACCTATCTGGTTATACGGAATAGCTCTTTGAGGTACTGCTTAACCATCAAACACAAGAACTATACAAGCATTTCAAGCTATCTGTCACCGCATGATTGCTAAAGCTCCTTGGTACATCACAAATATTGCTCTACATAATAAACTCCATATCGCCACCATTAAACAAACAGCTATCAAATATTATCTTTGCCTGCACCCAATATGAAACATCACTCAAAAACCCTTATCGCTCAACTTCATACCAACGCTCTTCCGGGCAACCCAGCCAGACACCTCAAACGTGAATGGCCCAGAGATCTTCTCAACGCACATTAAACTCAACATGTCTTTTTTATTTGTACTATCTCTCACTAAATTACCCTCCACGTAGAAATTTCTAATATGAAACTTCTACTCACCACCTCTTTAAAAATTATCTGAATCGCATTTATTTATTGTACCATTATGTATAGATTGTAAATTTTCATAAATAAATGACAATTTAAAAAAAAAAAAAAATTATTGTAAATGTAACAAGAATGAAGTGTTAAACTGTTATCTAATTATATATTTAACAACCACATGTAAATTTTATTTTTTTATTTAGACTGTTAAAAATGAGTCTTGTGAATTAAAGAAAACAGTGATAACAAAATTGAAAAATGTAATATATAAAAAAAAGTATTTTTATTATGAAATCTAGTAAAAAAAAGTATAATATAGAGTATGTTTAGTTTTTGGAAGGAGTAAATGTGTTGAATATTGAAAAGAATACTAGTAGTAGTATCATTTATTTTATAAAATCAATGGTTGTGTCAAGGGATAATAGATAAACACAATTTTATAACAATTAAGGGCAACCAAAAAAAAAGATTGAGAGAATTCCTGGCAATTTTTATGAATTATGCAGAGAGTGCAGTCAATTGACAAAAGTTTAAATAAGTGTGGTCAAATCTAAGTTAGTACAAAATTGTGCTTATGAAAATAGGAGTAGAATAGAATTACTGGGGAAATTGCTCTATAGAAGGTGGCAAAATTAAGAGGGAGAATATGTCTCAACAATTTGGGAAGGCTAGATTTACTCAGATTCTAAAGTAAAGCCCTAAATATAAAATTTTATATAAAAAGAACAGCAAATAAATAACATACATTTGGTTAATTCATAATAGGCTATTACAGAATAAAAATTAAGTATTAACTTCTATTTTGTGAGATAATGTAAAAGGTTCCCTAACCTAATTATGAGAGGTGAAGTTTGAGATTTGAAGACATCTGAAGAGATACTAGTAGACAGGAAAGTGTAAGAGTTAAGAAGGAAAAAAAATATAATACTATCAAGCTTTAATACTGTACATTTTGTATGATTACCCAAACAAATAATTTCATTGATTTATATTATATTAGGTAAGAAAATAATTGATCATAATAATTTAAAAGTATTTTTATAGACATATATCAAAAAGTAAAATTAACTGAAATAATAAAAATTTAAGTTTACTCCATGAATAAATCCTTTTAATTGTTTTTAATCTTTAAACAGGTTATAAGACACTCTTCATTGTATTTTATTACATCTATAGTTAAAAATTATCTTTAACCGTAATGTAAAAGATAATTAATTTGGGTAACTTACTTTATAACATTCTTCCGTTTGCATCCATAATGAAACATTTGTAGAATTATAGGCCCACACTTGTAAACAGGCTTGATCAAACAGAAGATTTTCGCAATTCTCTGATGCCATTTCAAATGCTTAAAATGTAAAAAAGACAGTAAAAAATCACAAAGTTTGGTTAGTTAATTGGAAGAAAAGCATTAACTTGCATACTTGTTAATGGTAACTAAAACAAAATATAAATTGTGTTAATAAAAATCATTATAATCAAACAAGGAATAACTAAATAACTAATACTTGTGTAGACTAGTTGAATGTGTGTGAATAAACGTTTAGATAAATCAGCCAGAATGATAGTGATTGAGGAAACTGAACAATTATATGCTGTAAGATATAGATGTAATGTTAGGGTATAGAATCATTGAGGAAATAAATAATAATAATTTTATAAATTAAATTGTTATTAACGAAAAAAAAAACATTTTTTTTTTTTATTTACATCAAATGTTTCAGGTAGCTAACATTTGACAACTAATGGACATTGTGTTTGAGGGTATCACGTTTATAATAGTTCTACCAGCGATATTTCATAACAAAAAACAACAATAATTGAAAATCGGAGCACGAACATTAATAGTCGCGGCCTTGCTGAGTGAGAACCGTTTACAGCACGGCATACATATTACTATTTACACGAAACGAAATTGTAATAATTTGGGCTATTACAAAATTGAGTTTCTACCTAATCTGTACTCTACATCTGCCTACGGGCTACGACTGTTAAGCACAGCTGACTAACGAAAGCCAAAGATGAACTGGATGCTAAATCAGTTATCACTTATGGAGGAACCGGTTGGCATACTATAGGCACGGTATCGGGCGAAATAGATAATCCTTATCGACTACGCTATCATTTATCTATTCTGTGATACCACCGCGCAGTACTTTAATTCCTTTGCCACCACGATGTGTCTTGAGGTGTGCAAGATGGGTCATTTGAATGATTTTGTTTGTAGTCCGGCGGCCCAGTTAATTTCAAGTTCTCGTCAACGATAGTCGATATTAAAAAATAAATAAATAAATTACATAAACTTAACATATCCATCGATGTTTCTGTTCAAGATAAATCAATGAACTCAACAATTTAAATGATGACTTTACACTAGTTGGAAATAAGAGAAATCTCTCATCTCCTCTTTCAATTACAAATTAACAAATTTATTCAAAACAACAAATCAATTCGAAATTTTCTCTTAAAATTATAAACTTTCTTCAAACTTGTCTTCGTAGACTAGTCTAGGTGTTCACTGTCCTAAAGTGATCCCCAAGGTGTGCTTGCGTGTTATAGTAATTCGCATTTGCACATTATTAATATGCAATACCTACGTAAAACATCAGAAACTATGTATGGCATATCAATATTCGACCATCAACAGGTCGCTTAGCGAATTTATAATAATATATTGTGTTATTATAATAGTTGCCAATAGTACTGATCAATACTCTTTGTCTAGTTCTTAGAAATTAAAGGACAACCGATATACGGTACCATCACCAAGAAATATATACCAATGTCATACTAGAAAACATCCGTCAATTTCCTTCTTAAGCCAAAGTTTGAACGTAGTATAAATAAACCCACCTTGCCAATGCCTAAATGCGGCACTACCTCAATCTAACAAGTTCCCGTAATGAATATTCATTTTGTTGAACGTCTACAGTCGTCAGAGAACAATACTTTGTAGCTGTCAAACTATTACGCTCCAGCCATGTGTTTAAAATCTTTTCTTTAGTCCCAATACGAAATTTACCATATTTTTCTTCTATAATAATTGCAAGAAGGTTGGCTGCATCACCTCGCCCTCGATCCACAGACGGGATTGACATCAGTACATTGTTACCAACTTTTATAGGGGGGAGGAAATTTTCAATTACTTCTATAAGCCACATTTGTAATTATATCATAATAATGTGTTTCCAAATTCGTGCAATTGGCAGAAAAAGACTGCCTAATTCACGAAATCAGCAATCAAAATTTGCCGATTTCGTGAATTTGGTAGCCAAATTGACGATTACACGTATTCAGCGACAACGTTGCTGCTTTCATGAAATCGGCAATTTAATAAATTCGGCGTAACATATATTTTATAGGTGTTATGATGATGTCGAAAAGAACCAGATTTAAAAATGATTAATTTACAAGATGTTATGGAAATCATAAAAAAGTCTTCATCGTTTTTATTAAAACTTATATCAAAAAATATTATTAAATATTATTAAATATCACATAATCATTTAAATATAAAATATAAAAATAAAATAAAAGGGGTCTGGAACTCTCGCAAGGATTGTCATTTCAGTAAATCAAAAAAAAATGTTTAACCCCTTCCCTCGTTGTTATGCTTAAACTACATCTAAACAAAATCCAAATACAGTAAATCAGTCCAACGAAAATTCATTGTTAAATTCTCTAAATGATTTCAAAGCACTGATAAACCCACTACTACCTCTCCTCACCAAAGTTCTCGATCACCTTCTTGCTCAAAATGTCAAACAACCCCTTCACATCACAGTCATTCTAATAAAAGTGACTTCTTTAAAGAATGAATCTTATTACTCACCACAAAAGACCGCTTTCTATGGAGAGCAACCCGAAAATGTCTTAAACAAAAGTCTTCATAAGCCCCACTTAAAAACAACTATCGTAAATAGTGCAAATCTGAAAAAGCGCAAGCTGGAACTTTTCGTTCTCATTTCTCGGAAGTCTTCAAACTCCACCAAAATATTGGTAATCATGCCTTCACTAAGTATATTAAAAACTTATTTGTTTCTCCTCTTCCACTATATTTTGCCCCAAAACCGTTTTATCTAGGTGAAACACTTTATAAAATAATTTCATTTCAAAAAATCACCAGAAATAAGATTAATCACCGCAGAAGTGGCCAGGCAATTATCAAAAAAAAAAAACACTAATTCACCTAATCCACATTTTAAATTATATTCTTAAACTCTTCTACTTCCCTCAACAATGTAAATTATTAGTTTTAATATTAATTTTGAAATCAGGTAAACCTCCAGATATTCCATTTTTTTATCGTCCTATAAGTTATCTCCCATTCTTTGTTAAGCTCAACGAAAAATGAATCCATAAACATACATCTAAAATCATTAATGAAAAGAAAGTAGTACCTAATACTCAATTCGGATTTCGTAATTTAACACTCCGATATCCAACAAATACACCGCTTCCTAACCAATATCAGAGCTTACTCATTTAAAAAAAAAATTTACTGTTCTGTTGTTTTATTAGATATTGCTCGAGAATTCGACAAGGTCCTATTCCATATGGTATCTCCCAAGGTACTATATACTATATCATCTTCAATTTTTTACATAATAAATGCAGCTGACCATTGTCGCATTTTTTTTTTTTTTTTATAAATACTGATTTTCATAGAGTTAATGTCAATAAAAAACTCTAAACAAAAAACACAATAACATAAACACATACTATTAGACAGTGCTCGAAGTGGGGGTTACGGAGGGATGGCATCCCTCTACTTTTTTGTATTTACAATTTTCATCCCTCTACTTGTTTGTTTAGAACAGGGATCAGCAATTAATTTCTATGGCGATCCAGATAGTTTTTAAAAAAAAATGTTGAGGGCCAGGAAAAACGAATGTTATTATTTTTGTATTGAAAACACATTTTATGACAAATTATAAACGATGAACGCTATTGTAATTTCAAAATACATAAAAATTTCGTCTTTATATTATATATTCTATCTATCTATACTCTATATTTCTATAACGAGCGGAGAACTAGAAAAATATTTTTGGCGGTACAGTCATTTCCCTTCCCCGGACCGGACATGGTCCGTGGGCCGCCAATTGCCGACCCCTAGTCTAGAATAACGCATTCCTCCTAAGACTTGTATTTTAAAATTATATACTTACTATCATTTTTATATTTATATATAAGAAATATTTTTTTTCGGTAAAAATAATTGTTTTTAACATTAAGGCCCGGGCGCCCGACTCATCGTGTTGTTTAGTATAAGCCGTTTCGCAACCCATATTATACCCGTATTTAGAGACACGGACTAAGATAATATACCTTATGTGAACTGTAAAAAAAAAATAAATATATTATAGGTACACAAGGTGTGAAGAATTTTATGATGATATCAGGAAATTTGAATTGTAAGGCATCCCTCTACTTATCTTGAGCCATTTCGACCACTGCCTTTAGGTAGTAAATATTATACTTCTGATAATTGCAAAATGAAAATTGCATACAATAAAAATTAAAAAGTTTCAAAAAAAAAACATTATTGTTTATTTCTAAGAGTGATACATCGTAAGTTTAGCCTTTCTTGACCTAAGGTCCAGAAATTGTATGATATATAAATAATATTTTATTAATTTTTGAAAATTTAAATAATAAGGTAGTTTTAAATTATTTTATAACTTTTAAATTAACTGAGTTATAGACTATAGTTAATATTTAAATAGTAGTTAATAATATTATTATCAGTATTACCTTTTACATTTTTAGTATTGCTATAGTAATTGAAATATTTTTTGCATATTTTGAACTTCACGCTTTTTTCATTCATTTTTTGAAAATGCACTTATACCACTTATCTTTTAGGTGCCATTTTACAAAATATAAAATAAAATTAATAACATAGAAACATTTCGACTAATGCCAGAAACCACAATGATAATAAATTAATAATAATATTGATGTTTGTCAATGCACCATAAGAAAAGGTGGAGTCAAAGAAGTATACAAGGAGGGATGTGGGGGTCAGATCCTCCCCATAGATTTTTTATCTCATATAAATGTATAAAATTGCCTTCTTAATGTAAGGAAATTATAAGGAAACATATAAATATTGCAAGGATTTATTGTAAATTATTATTTTGATACATTCAATATATTAATATATACCTTTTATTATTTATTATTTAAATGTGCAGGTACTTAGATTTAGGAATTTTTCTTCTATAATAATTTGTTTGCAACTGATCCTCCCCCATACAAAGTTATATATATGCCACTGGATGGAGTATACATTAATTGCTCTTTCAAATGTATAACACTTTTTTTTATTTAGTCTTAATTTTTACTTGATTCTGGATAATTCAAGATGTTTATTAATTTTTTCTTGGTAAACTAATATTAGTCTGTTTTACTTATTGTTGAAAGTTGATACGAAAACTACATTCAAATTATTCAATACTGTGATAGTCCTGTGCTAAAATATTTCGTCTACTTTGATAAAGAAATTTACATTTTTGGTATGTTTTGTTACTCAAACAGTGCAACTAAAACGAAATTTAATACGGTTTTTTTATATTTTAACGACGTAGATCGGTTTGTTTACTCGTTTTTAAAACGACACATCTTTAATATTGACCATTGGCGTTTCCAATACTCACTAGACACGTGTGTATTCCGGTGTGTTATCACTCGTATCAGTGTTGATTACGCAGCCGTCATGCATTCGCATTTCGTTGTTGACGTCGCGAATTGCGTTCGTGCTACCGTTACTTATTCACATTTCACGCCGACCACAGTAAACGACACCTGTTTGACGTGCCAGCAACGGTTGACGAACGGTCATCTATTGCGATGGACAAACGGGCAAAGTTCACCGTTTGTGCTGCCGGTATATTTGTGTGCTATTTCTTCTACGGCATACTCCAGGAGAAGATCACCAGAGGCACGTATGGCACGCAAGGAGAAAAGTTCACTTACTCCCTGTCACTGGTATTTGTACAGTGTGTGGTTAACTATGTTTTTGCGCGAGTTATATTGAAAGCTTTTCCCGAAGAGTCTGCCGATACAACAAGGCCTACATATTATGCGATTAGCGCGATCACATACTTGTCAGCCATGATTTTCAGCAACATGGCTCTGCAATGGGTCAACTATCCTACTCAGGTCTATATTATATGTTATTAATGTACACAAATATTTATTTAAATGTTGGTATTAATTTTACAGGTGGTAGCGAAGTCTGGTAAACCTATACCAGTCATGATTTTGGGTGTTCTGTTAGGGCGCAAATCTTATCCATTAAAAAAATATTTATTTGTGCTGCTTGTTGTCATTGGAGTATCTTTATTTATGTTCAAAGATGGCAAGTCGAAATCTTCACAATCTGAATCTTCCAGTATGTTTATACTTTCTTATTATTAATTACACATTTTTAATTTTGCTTTTGTTCATAACATTATTATATTTTTTGCAGTATTAGGTCTTGGAGAAATACTGTTGATATTATCTTTGACAATGGATGGTATAACTGGAGCTGTTCAAGAACGAATGCGCAGTGAATCAAAAACAAAATCTGGCCATATGATGGTTAACATGAACTTGTGGTCTATGCTTTTTTTGGGTGTTGCTCTTATTAGTACTGGTCAAATATTTGACTTTATTAGCTTTGTACAACGATACCCATATATAGTGATGCAACTACTATTATTCTCAGCATTTAGTGCACTTGGACAGTTCTTTATATTTTGGACTGTAAGTGATTTTGGACCTCTACCTTGTTCAATTGTGACTACTACAAGGAAATTCTTTACTGTGCTCGCATCTGTAATATTCTTTGGCAATCCAATGTTGACCAGACAATGGATCGCTACAGTTATAGTGTTTATAGGATTATTTTTAGACAGTTTTTATGGCAAACAATCTGTTAAAAGTAAATGATTTTAATATATATATTTAATTAAGTTCTATTAATACACATGTTTACTTTTGATAAAAGTAAATTGTATGAAATAAAATTGTATATTACTTTTATTTTATACTGTTTTTACCATTACTCATTTTATAAATGTCTGAACTAAGTATTTAAAAATGGCTCTGTGATATTTTATTACATTAATATTAGACATCTCATTTATAACTTTATAAGATGAATTTATTTAATTTCACATTGTGAAGTAATTAATTCTTTTGTACAAATATTTTTATTACCAGTTTTTTAAATAATCAAAATGTTTAGATACTGATCAGATTTCAACTAATTTTTTATAATTTGAATTATAACTGACCATCAAAATGTATTAATAATATAGTTAAACCTCAATAATTTAAGTGCAATATTATAATTTAAAAATATAGCAACTATCAGAGTCTATCAATATTTTATCAAAGTATAAAAAAAACTTCTAATTATATATATATATATATATATATATATATTGACATAAGACATTCCTAAGAAATAAATATATTTTTGTTGTACACATCTATGCATAGTATTATTGAATTAAATATATTCTGTTGAGTTATAAGTTTCCTACTAATAAACTAACGGATTTGTTTTTTATTTTTGTAGTAGAATATCTGTACTGTTGAATAATAATTGTGTGAAAAATATTATTATTCAATTTTTTTTAAAACACTTAAATAAATAACATTAATATGTTATAATAGATTTAGATTTTCTATATTATGTCAAGTTGTTCATATGAAAAAAGCATTAACACATAATTATAGCTAGTAAGGGATTTGTAAAAATCCAAAATGGTATCACTTTCCTTTATTATATTGTATTATATATGCTATGTCCTCAGTAAATGAACACTATACAAATACATTTTACAATAAAAATATTATATTTTTTACATATTGGAATTCTAAGATGCTTATTGATAAGTGCCCATAATATTCTATTTTGATGACTAATCAATTGGAATTAAACTACACATTTCATGGTTCAACAGTATAAAATATTACTGTATACTATTTTGTTTTGTATACCTGGAATCATTCTTTTCTTTTTCACTCATCCATTCCATCTGAAAATTAAATTCCAATAAAACATCTTTTAGTGATAAATGGAATTACAAATAAACCAAACCTTTTGTTTGTGTTGTTTAATTGCATCTTCACAACGATTTAATATCATTTCTTTAGTTAAAAGTCCATCATCTGAAGTATAACCAGCTGCTTGCCATGCAACTCCTAACTTAGCAATTTCTCTACCAGACATCCCATCAGTCATTTCAGCCATTTGTTTACATAAGGCACTGTAGTCAAATTTCTCAACATTTAATTTACTGCAAACAGTTATTTATTTCATTAGATTAAATTAATAGCAATCAAGTTAAAATAATTTCCTACACTTTTCCTTGGGTTGCTGGTGTTAAAACATATTTATCAAAGTATAACATTATTAGACGTTCACGTTCTTCTTTGCCTGGTAAACCAAATTCAACCATTTCATCTAACCTATCATTTACAGCCCAATCAAATTGTTCAGGTGTGTTACTAGCCAAAACTAACATAAATCTAAAATGAATAAAAATATTTATTAAATGTTATTTTTAAACACAGATTTATATTAAATGAATTACACATATTTTTTTTTTTAATTTTTTTTTTAAAATTTTTTATATAATATGTATTTTTTCCCTCACTGTCGAGATTAATTGTATTACAAAATCTAAAAAAAAAAAAAAAAAAATATGTATTATATTCTAACTACAATATTTATTTCTATTTAATTTAAATTAATAATAGATGTAGAATATTTTAAATAATTATTTTACATTTAAAAATATTTATATTTACTTATTTGATTGGTCTCCAGTTCTATATAAAAATGCATTTAAAGTGGCACGTAAATTTTCACTTATCATTTCTGAACTACGTTTTCTTAAAAATGCATCGGCTTCATCAACAAATAACAGTAAACCTTTCCTTGAATTGTTTGCCCAATCAAAAACTTTATGCATTTCTGTTACTCCATCTTTTCCCAATGGTGCAACATCACCACCAGTCAATATAGCATAATCCATTCCAGAATGCATTGCTAGTTTCTATAATTATAATTACAACTCTTTTTTTATAAATTATATCATTTTATATAAATTGTTTTTTCTTAAAAAAAAAGTGAATTAAGATAGTCATAGCTAGGGCATAGACGTTGCAGTGGTAAAATTGATTGCAGTATTGCACTAAAAAAATAATGTTTCGGTATAATTCATAAAATTATGTTTTATCTGCCATTAACTTATTGTAATTTATATATTATATATCACTGACTCATTAGTTAGAATTTATAAACATGTATTATGTGAAATATAATAAAATATATACTTATAATAAGATATAAACAATATACCATGTACTTCAAGCTTAAACAATTTGACAATTTTATTTCGTGAAATTTTTTAAAACTGTTTAAAAAGTATTAATAAGTAAAATTATGTGAAAAAAATGTAAAATAGTTTAAATTGTTATTATAAATGAGTAAAGTCAACAAAATTGAAAAAATGCAGAAAATTGCGAAAAGTTGTATTTTAAATTTTTAAATTTTCATTCATACCTACATCAAACTCATTTAAAACTTACTAAGCAATAAATTGAAGCAGTAGAAGAAAAGTTGCAATTGCAACAACATCCATACCCTAGTCATAACATATTAAGTTTTGACGATATTTTGAATTAAGATATTTTCTCCGCTTGAATAAAAATGATCTTACTTTAGCAAACAGTGTTTTTCCAGTACCAGGTGGTCCATACATTAAAATATTTCGATACATACCACGGTTTTTTTTAGTATTTAAAGTAGCAATAGCTACATCACTGAAATTGAAGAATCATATAAAATATAAAGTTAATTATTTATATAATAAATATTTTTTTGTAATTCAGTTACATTGTAAAATGCAAAATAAATTAAAATTAAGGTATATTATGGTAATAAAAGGTTTAAATATATATACCCTAATCTAGATTCTAATTTTGGTGGTAATATTACATCTTTTAATGCACTACTTTTTTTTGTTCGAAGTTCTTTTAATGTTAAAATTGGATGTCTTGCTGCTTCTAACAGTGAAAATCTAGATGTTTCTCTTACCAATGAAGGTTTACCTAAAGTTGAATTAATTTTTTTATTTTTAGTTAACTAAAATGATATAGTAAAATATAAATATTAAACTAAAATGAGGATGGTTGATTTACCTAATCTAGATTCAACATATTTAGCAGTAACACTGGTAAAACCCTTTGCACTGTATATACCCAATGCTAAAAGTGATAGACCTCCAGCAGCCATTAAAGTCTTATCCCAATCAGAAAGTAAAGCATTAGCTCCATTTCCGAAAATTGAACCAGCCGTTCTTTAAGGAAAAACATATTTTTATGAACACTTTTTCTACAAAACTTGAAGACAAAATATGTATCATTTACTTTATGGATTCTAGAACAGTTTGTCGATGCTCAGAAGCTTTTAATTTAAGCTGTTCCATTGTTAAATCATGGTTTTCTCTCTCAGCTTTTGCTCTTGCTAATGCTTTAGCTTCAGACTTTTTTGCGTCTAATTTAGATTTCATCTCAATTTCATGTTCAATAGTAGCTGTAATAACAATATATAACCATTTTAAATAACAAATTGTTTCATTCTATAAAAAAAATTACCTTTTTTCATAGCTTCTTGTTTAGCTACAGATTCTTCTTGCCTTTTTAAGTTTTCTTCATTAGATGCTCGCTGTTGTTGAAGCTGATCTTCATACCTAATAAAAATGTATAATTATAAGTAATTAAAATACACATACATAAATCATAAATAAAAAAAAAACAGTATTTTAATTATAAATTACTATTACCTTTTTCGTGCCAGTTGATCTTGATATTGTGACCGTAATTGATGCTGTTTAGTTTCTTCAGCTAGCAACTTTTTTCTTTCTTCAGCTTCAACTCTCTTTTGCTCCATACGTGATTGTTCCAAGTGAACTTCATATTCTTTTATTCTAGTTTGATACTCAATTTGCTTTGTAGTTTCTTGCAATTTAGCTAAATCTAATGCTTCTTTGGCATGCTCTTAAATCATTAATATGTACAATTTAAGAGACTTCACACAATAATCACCTATCATAAATGTACCCACTTGATTTTTCTAATTCTTTAGCAGCTTGAGCAGCTCTTTCTAAGGCAGAGGAATCAAATTTATAAGCTTCTCCACTAGAAGATGTAGGTGGTGGAGATGGCTTTTTATCCGAAACATTTGTTAGATCATCTAAATTGGGTGGTTCTGGCTTTGTACCACCCATTCCAAAAATCCATGACATGATTACGAAAACCTAATAATTTATCATAGTACATTAAATAATCAAATTTACTACAGTCATTAGCATTTATCTTACAAAATTGTCACTTAATGCTTAAAAGTAACTAATGAAAAATAATCAATACAAAAATAACCATGCGATTATCAAAAATTAATATTTATTTGGAATGCCATTGCATAAAAAGAATCTGATACGAAAAAATCCAATGCCGGTCAATCGAAGAGAAATATTTAACACAAAATGAAGACAGAACGAAACGAAAATTAAGTAAATTGAAATGTTAAAGAAATAACAGAATATTACCGTAACCTACAAATATTTTTTGATTATTCCCATGTTTACCATTTTTGGAACATGATATTTCTCATTAATTGTTTTAAATATTTTTCAATTTCTCAAAGCCATTTTATAATATATATTATTTAATTAAAAACATCTGAATACTTGAAATTTTAATAAGTTTGAGACATATTAAATATCTCGATCACAAGATATATTTAATACTATATATTATACTATTTATAGTACACTATACATTTTCAGTAATTTTCTAAATCTTTAAATACAATGTTTCCTCATAAAATATATTAACATTAGTTTAAATGAGTAACTTTAATATATTTTTTACTGAAACCCACTTCGGCTTTAATTGATAAATTTATTTTTAATTTATGCGATATTTTGATATAGAATCGTAGTATCAGATAAGCATAAAAAAATTGATTGCCTCCTACTTGCTTGACCTTTGTTTCATAAAACGGAATATAGGTACTCGTAGATTAGCATACCAATAATTTTATATAATATGTGTACTAAACAGTGACGAGTTAACAAGTTTTACGCAGGGGAGCAGATTTCAGATTTTAAAATTCCGTCCCTCAACCCCCTTCCACAAACCAATAAAATATATATACACAATAAATAACAACATGTTAAGATTGTTTAATTAATGTATATTTATAAACATATTGTAACATCGGTAATTTTTAAATTTATAGAACTTATTATAGGGTTGCCATACATCCTGATACACCGGGATATGTCATCAGTTTATGACTTCAGTCCCGGCTATCCCATTAGTCCTTCCAAATATTCCGGTTAAGTATAATTAAGTACCAATAACTGTATTATAAATAAAATACACATGCATACTTATATACACATAAATATATTTATTAATAAAATATTTTAAATTGTAATATTTTATGCTGAATGTTATACATTAATGTATATTTAAAAAAAAAAAAATTTAAGAAATATTAATCTAAAATTTTTATAATGAAAATTATAGATTTATTTTGTACGTTGCTTTTTTAAAGTAGGCTTCTGAAATACTTGTTTGATTCCAGCAGCTTGATTAGTATGGAATTTTAAATTTTGCACGGTTTCAGACACCCAGGGTGAATCAAAACTAGTTGTATCCTGATCAACCAAATGTGTATATTTTGTACGTCCACTACGACCAAAGTTTTTAACCTAGAAAAAAAAAATAGAAAAATTACCAAATAAATAACTGTGATATTATAACTTACTTGCATAACTTTGGGTAAAATAGTCTTATCAAAATGATCTTCAAGAGTGGCTGATGAATAATCTCTTTTGAAAATGTCATGCTCTTCATCCTATAAAAATAATTCCAGATCAGAATATAGAAATATATTTCATATAAAAAATGAAATATTCTAGATATGTATGTATTTTAATAAACAATACTTACCAAATAAAATACTCCTCGGTGGTAATATTTTTGCATAAATTTATATTTGCCTTTAGCTGCTTTATTGGTAACTTGTTTAGGATTAAGTCTCATTTCTAACCTTCTCTCTTCTTCAGTTAAATTCCTAATTCGTTCTATTTCTGCTTTTTCAAATTCTCGTCTAAAATAAAAATAATCAAAATTTAATGAATTTAGTCGATATTAAATTATATAAATTTATATTATATCTAAAATATGCATAATATATCTAAATCAAGACTATAAATTTTAAAAATGTACTGTTCATGTTCTTCTCTGTCTCTCTTAATGCGTTTTAATTCTCTTAGTTTCCATGCTTCATATTCATTTTCATCATTTTCATCATCAGTATTTACATCATTTAAACATGGTTCAGAAAGTGCACTATTTGACTTAGCTAAGGCTTGTTCTTTACGAATTTCCTCTTCAACCATCTATAAAAATAATATTAATTTAAAGTATAAACATACAAATAAATTTTGGTTATTTCAACAATAATATTTTCCCTGGGCCTCCACACGAGTTTTTCTCAGTGAGGTTCAGTAATCATTTGATATTTATTTAAAAAAAAAAAAAAAAATAAATAAAAAAAATATATAGGTATTATGTCATTCTAAAGTAATTATAACAAATTGAAAGTTTGGCAGTTAATACAAAATACATTATTTACTTATTACTGAGATAATATCATCAAAAATAAATATTTAATTTTAATTTTACTCTTAAAGTAGCCCTTCGTCTTTCTTCAGCCAATTTCTTTTGCTCATATTCTAGTTGTTTTTGTTTTACTTCTTCTTTTTCTTTTTCCAGTATAGTTACACGTTCTTTCTTTCTTACAAAAATTGGTTTAAGGCGAGGTCCTGTTTCTTCATCAGAAGCTAAAGTATTAAAAGAAATTGATTAAGATTTATATTTGTAAACGAAAAGTATTTATATAATGTTTCACCAGAATAGTCTTCATACTCAGATGATTCATCACTGTCATCATCATCTGAACTATGTCCTTCGTCTTCTTTTTCAAGTACTTCATTCATTTCCTAATACCCAAAATAATATTAATTTAATTTAAGTATCAATTTGATCTTTATTTAAAACCAACTTTTTCTTTAGTTTGATTTAAAACTTTTTGTCTTAAACGTAGTCTCCTCCTCTCTATTTCACTATCACTGAGTTCTCCATCATCTTCATTACTATCTCTTTCATCACCAGATACTTGTCTTCGGCTCCTTCGATTTCGTTCTACATCAGATTCATCATCTGATGAATCATCCCTAATAACTTGTGGTTCATGTAAAGGACGCCTATCTTTATGTCCATGGCGTGCAGTTAGACCACCTAAACGTTTAAGACGTGCATCATTAAAAGCATCTGATGGTAATTGTATCATCTGTTCTGAATCAAAATTGGTGGTAGGAGAAGTGCCTGGCACTTTACGAGAATCCAAAAAATCATCATCATCTGATTCTTCTTCAGACGTTGATTCTGGAGCATATTCTGGACGTTTGCCTTGAACATATCGGTGAACTTTCACCTTTTGCATCGATACTTCACCTAGAATAATAAATGTAATTTAGTTTTATACAGTCAAAAGTCTATGTTATATTTATTTAATAATAATTTATCAGCTATTACCTTTTTCATTTCTAACAGGAATAGCTCCTGCTGTACTTTGGATTTCTTCCATTACAACTATTTTTTAGAATGATTTTTTATTATTTTAAATATTTAAGAACAAGTAACCGTCAAAATTACGTTTCATAACAATGTTATTATAGTACTCAAAATATTTGGTTCTTAGAAATCCTTATTGTTATCAAAATTTGTGGACTGTAGTTCTGCCAATAGTTTTAAACAGTGTTTAAGATATACTAAATATTAAACACTAACCTAGTTTACAGTATTCTCCTTATTCAGGTGATAGTACGTGGTTATTCGGTGGTAAGTGGTTTTCCATAAAATTGCTCTACATGTTATTTAATCCACTGTACTTAATCTACGGTATGTTTATGTTATCTGTTATTTGTCCAACCATCGTTGACCATACACCATGTGTACCGTTCATTATACATAAATCATAGGCAAAAACTAAATTCAACATTAGTCATTTTATTTTGACCGTTTTTTATAATTTATTATTTCTACAACAATAAATTGATGTATTAGTTATCGTTTGTTCTATTATTTATTTACCTGAATAAATAATACTCTGAATTTCGTTTCAGTTTTGAAGTTGTAGTGTGTGGATTCTTGGCATCTTTGGTAAATTATTTTTAAAATGTATTATTCTTCCAAAACTTTAATTTCATAATAACTTATAATTCTGAACTAAATTATTACCATGTTGTAAATAATTTAGACCACAATTCAATTATTTATAAATTTAACATAACACTGTAAAAAGGCAAATTTTTTAATCATTCTAAATTCTAAACTAAAATTCCCAAATTTTTTATTATTCGGCTATTTTTGTTAGCTTAGCAATAGACTTGGATCCATTTGTGTCATAAAATTGGAAGCATTTTAACCAAATATCTGGTAGGGTTGGATAAAGGGAGAGAAGCGTCGGCTGTTTTATGTGATAAGAGAATTCAATGAGGCTGAAAGGTAAATTTTACAGTAGTGTAGAGAAACCAACTATGCTATATGGTTTAGAGTATTGAGTGGTTGACTGAAGAATGTAACAGAGTATAAGTGATGCGGAAATGAGAATGCTTAAATGGTCGAGTAAAGTAACACGATAGAATAAGGAATGAATATGTAAGAGGAAAAGGAGAAGAGATGGTTGGATACAATTGAGAATGATATGAGTACCTTTTGTATGTATGTAGGAGATGTAGAAAATTGAGACAAATGGAAGTTTAGGACAAGGGTGGTTGACCTCAAATAGTTGGGGAAAAGGCAAAGGAGAAGAAGAAAAAGATCTAACATTTTGTACACATTTTTAAACATAATGTTATATTTTTAACCATATTATATCATATTAGTTTTTCTGATTACAATAAAATAACAATAACAATAAAATTCATAGTCATGCTATTTTAATAAAATAGTATAATAATTTGATAATACCAGTAAATTGTTCTATATTTTTCAGATAAAATCAAAATAAAATGTATTGAATATATATTGTGTCCCTGAATATTTTACAAATTATTAAACATGGTTCAAGTTACTTGATAGATCTATTCTATTTCTTGAAATTAAAATTTATTTAGTTTATATTTTTTAAAAATTTAATACTTTCTAATAAAAGAATTAAAATAAATTCACTTCAATTGCTTCTAACTTTATTAATCCTTCTTTTGCCCTCATTTTTTGGTCAATTTTTATTCTACTTCTATGATATCACAGTTTTAATATTGAGTCTGTTCATTGGATAACCTATCCGCTCTTCTTGCTTCCAGATTTAAATTTGTTCCCAATGTTAATGATATTTGGTTCAAAAATGCATCATTATCTACATTTTCTGTCATATAGTTTAACTGTTTACTTATAGGGAGTTGTCTTTTACCCTCCCATGCTTACAAATTAAAGTTAGATGATTCTCCTTTTTTATGTTTCACATGAAGGAAAGAATTTGTGATTTATTAAATATCGTTTTCAACTGTTCTTCATTCTCTATAAAACATCCTAGTTACTTCTCTTAATTTCTCAAACATTTCCTTCAACCTCTCACCTATTTTAAAATCTAACTCTGAACAGGTTTTTACTATTATCATTTCATTTATTTAGGAGGCTGACTTTGACATTTGAACGTCTTTAGATTTTAATATTACTGACTACTACTTTTGTTACTCTGTTTATTCTTTTTCTTTTGTATAGTTCATTTATTAATGTAATGTAATTATTAAGCTAAATAGTAAATAAAAGTTACATATAAAAAAATAAAAATAAATGAGGAATTAAAATAATATTTTTACATTAAATAAATAATGATTTATTTAATGATTGCAACTTGTAACATTAGTATGCTGCTACATAAATATTTAAGGAATACTATGGTAATTTAGTATTTAATTGTAATCATCTAATCTAATCATCATCTAATTTTTTAAATCTCATCAACTCCATTTTTCTACATTAATTAAATTGATTTAGTTCTTTATCCATTAAGAAGAAATAGGCTCTACAAATTATTTTTATTAAAAGTTAAATATCTGATAAAGTATACAAATGTGTACAATTTTAAACACTCATCATATAAATATAAAATTTAAATGTAAAATAAAGTTTAAATAAATTTATTTTCCTCGGGTCAAATACTTCCTAGTAAAACTAAGATCTAGTAATTGTAACCTATTAAATATTTACTTAAGTGTACATTAGACACATGAAATATAACCTTAAATCATAAAATATTCATAAAAAAATTACTTTCTTTACAAAATGTATTTTATGCTTGTAGTAATGTACAATACAAACAACCAGAACAAATATGCAATGTATTCATATTTTTTACGAGTATGAAAAAAATATTTGGCTGATTATGTTGTTTTATGCTTATTATATTTATTTTTTTAATGTAGGCATTGACAAAACAGGCAAGAGATTTAATAAGATTAGATAAAAAAAATTAATTTTTTTTGTTGATTATTTATTCTTTGCTGTGGTATTGAAATTTATTTTTACTCAGAGATTTTCTGAATAAGCAGTACCTACCACTTACTCTATGCTTATTAGATGGTTTGTTTGTTACTTCTTATTAATTAATTATAATATATATATAAGTTAATTATTTTCCATTCCACTAATTAAAATTATGTTAATTTATTGATTATTATATATAATTATGTAAAATAAAATTTTGATAACTTAACAGTGATTAAGTTTACGGTTTAAAAAATATGTTATTGTGATTTCTAATAATCTTTTAAAGTAATTGATTACATATACAATTAATATATTTGATTTACTATATAAATGTATATATTTTTTTTTAACAACATAACATAATTATATTTTGTGTTATAGATAGATGTTTATTGGCCAAGAAATTTCAAAAATGGATATAGAGAATGAGGTAAAAATACTTATTTAGTTCTTCTGTTTTCTTATATACTCTAGAAATTAAATTACATTATTAACTTCTTAACGATATTTTTTTAAACTATATTTAAAATCTGTAACTGTTATAAAATCTATATATTAAATTTATATATTTATTTTTAGTTGTAAAATGTATCTAAAACCACTTTTATGTATTATATTTTATATAAAATTACACAATATGCTCAAAACTTTATTTTTTTTTTATTATTAAACTGTTACCAAGTATAGGCATGCAAATAAATATATTTAATATGTAATATAATCACATAACTTATTTTAATAATTGTTTTTAAGGAATCTATATTAAAAGATTTTGTTCCTCGAGATTATCAACTTGAACTATTAGAAGATGTTAAAAAATCAAATACAATTTTGTACCTACCAACTGGAAGTGGAAAAACATACATAGCGACAATGCTTGTCAAATATATGGGAGAACCTTTGAATAAGTATGAATATGATTACAGTAGAGTCTTACTGATTCAGTCATCGCTAGTTCGAACATTTTATATTTCATACTTAAGTACTTATATACATATACAGATATAATTTAAAAATTATTTATGTCAATTCTCATTGTTATTTACTATAAGATGTATATTGCTGATACATAATTGATATATATATTCTTAAATTCATTTATATGTATGTATGTATTTATAGCATAATTGTAGGTACTTGTATGACAAAAGAATATCACAACATTTTTCAAGTGCATTCAAAGTCTTATGTTATTTCTTTAATTTTCCATACAGTTTTATTAATATAATACATATAAGATGAAATGTAAAATAAATTAATACACTTTTGAATTTTTATAAAGAAGGTGTTTTTTTAAAAAAATAAATATTTATTAGTAAGTTGAAAAATAAGTAATTCCATTGAATCTGAATTTTCAATAATCCAGATAAAGTCCGGTCCCATCTAGACTAGATCAGCGAGACTACTGTATTTTTTAATGTGTTCAATAGGATAACCATTCATATTATACATTTTTAAATTTATATTATTTTTTAATCATTTATAGACCTTTGGGTGAAGGAAGAAAGTGGACATTCTTCATTGTTCATTCAGTACCTCTTGTTAATCAACAAGCAAATAGCTTAAGAAAACATTTACCTTGGAATATAGGTACATTCACTGGTGACATGAATGTTGATTTTTGGTCTAAAAATGAGTGGAAAAAAATATTGGAAGAATGCCATGCAAGTACCATAATTTGTTAGATAATTTTAATTAATATATTTTCTACTAGATTTATCAACTTATTTAGCTAAACAAATCTTAAATATGTGGAGAGGTTTTTTATACTACTTTTTGATTTAACTTAGATATTTAGTTGTATATCTGGTTTTATATATGTATTAATAATATTGTTATTTAGGAAATTTAGTTTTATGTAACTATCAGATTCCAAAAACCGATTAATGTAGTAAAAAATACTCAGCCAAATACTCCTGAAGAATACTATATTATTTATAAATATAGATGCTTCTTCTGACCATAGAGAATAAGAAGTACATTCCAATTTTAAGTTAATCTCATTTAATTTTTTTTTTTTTTTAGATAATGGTTATGACTGCTCAAATTTACTTAAACAATTTACATCATGGTTTTATGAATATAAAAGATGCAAATCTTATTATTTTTGATGAATGCCATCATGCTGTATTACTTCATCCTTTTAGACAAGTGAGTTGATTTAATTCTTGATAAGAATTGTTTTTCATCTATTTTTGTATATAAATATGAATGTATGCTTAATCTTTGTTGTATCTCCCCCCATCAGTGTATGTCATGGTCTGGATTTAGAAATATTTTGAACTAATCTTATAAAGTGTAATTGTTAGGACTTAGAATATTTTCTATAGTTTAAATATTTAGACTTAGAATATTTACAACTAACTTAAATTTATTGTACTTAGGATAATTTTTGACAGTTTAATAAACTAACTTATCTTAAAGAGTATTAATTATTTCTTCACTACACCTACATCCAAGTGTTGATTAGAATATTAGTACTGAAGTTAAAGATCAAACGGTTGGCACGCAACACATTTTAGAAATATTTTTGGTGTCAGCTTTTCATAAATTGTTTGAGCAACGTACGATGTTCGACTCATTACTTGAACTTTGTTAACATTTTATAATTGTATATTTATATTGTAGTCTCGTTACAATAATCTTAATCGCGATTCCATAATGTAATATTATATACCCATACATTGACATTAAACATTCTGTATATGATCGACATATACATTACCTTGGTTTTTATTATATAAATTAGATAATGCAAGTTGTTCATGATACTAATTTTAATGATGATAAGCGTCCTCATATCCTTGGACTTACTGCCACTTTAATAAATTCAAAAAGTAAAAATGTTAAAGAAGAATTAACAAGATTGCAACAAACTTTTAGTGCTACAATTAAGACCAAATATGATGAAGCTGTTAAAATGTAAGAAAAAAAAGTTATAAATTTTATAATTATTTAATAATGTCATTGATAATAGTTTTTCAGCACGTCCTGAAGAATTTATACTTTTGTATGATGAGTTTATTCTAGATGAAGACTTAAAAGCTATTTTGAATCGAATTAAATTATTTTACAATCAGTTAAAAGATTTGCATTCATCTTCTAAGAATGAACCTATTATAGAAAATCAAGATACCTATTACTTAGAAGTTCAAAAATCACCTATAAAATCTTTGGCTAATTATTTCCTAGACCTAGAGGTAAATTACTTAATTATATTTAAAAAAATTATATTTAAATAATTGTATTTTGTCATTTTAGGTTAATCTTGGTGATAGTGGTGTGTATGTTGCTTATTTAGCAACATGGCATTATATAATTGATATTGAAAAGAAAAAAAAGCTGTGTTGTGATTTAGATAAATATATGATTTTGACGTTGGCATTATCAAATATGACTGTAATTCGAAAGATGCTGTATGATTATATGATAAAAAATTCAAAATCCGTAGAAAGTCCTCTATCTTTAGTGAACAATGCTTCATCAAAGTTAAAATCATTAATGGAACTCTTATCGTCAATAAAACGCTCTGATATTTGTTTAATATTTGTTGACCGCCGAACAACTGCCAAAGTCATTTATCATTATATTAAGGTATATATAAAATATTTTTCTATTTTTTTTTTTTTTATACTTTAAACCAATATTTTTTGTATTAGGATTACATTCATGAACATAAACAAACAAATATTGTGTGTGAATTTATCGTAGGAGCAAAAGGAATATTTCATATTGATTCTAGAGAAATGATGTATAAAAAATTACAAAATAATGATATTTTAAAAAAGTATTATGTTTTAAACAATGCAATTAATCATGTATTAATCTAATTTTAATCTATTTAAATTTAATTTATTTTAGGTTTAACGATAATTTGATAAATGTTTTAATAACATCAGAAGTATTAGAGGAAGGTGTTGATATTCAAACTTGCAATTATGTCATAAGATATGATACTCCTAAAAATTTCCCTTCTTATGTACAATCTAAAGGTAGAGCACGTAGTAAAGACAGCAAATTTGTAGTGATGGTGCCAAAGAAGGAAGACTTTAATAAAATTAAAACTGTCTATGATAATATGGAAAAAGAAATTGATAAAGTATGTTATTTATTGTTTTTTGTGAATTAATAATTAAAAAATGATTTATTTTATTTATATTAATATTCTTTTTGTAGATTTTAGTAAATAATGATATTGATGATGATAATAACGAAGAAGATTTAGATCAAGTTTTTAAGACTAAACATGCAATATTAACTCATGATATTGCTATCAGTATTGTTAATAGGTATTTAATTTTAAAAAATGTATTTGAAATTATATACATATTAATTGTTATTTATAGATATTGTTACTCTTTACCTCAAGATCGCTTCTCAAATTTAGGACCAGATTGGTACATAGCTGAAAATGATAATGACTTTAAAAAATATAAACTTATACTGCCAATTAACAGTGCCATTAAAACTCCTATTAATGTAATATTATTTCATTAAATAAAAAAAATGTTAACCTAATAATTATTAATATTAACTTTTTTTGAAGGGAATATTTTGTAGAACTAAGAAAAACGCTAAAAAATCTGCAGCATTTAATGCATGTATTGAGTTATATAAAGCTAAAGCATTAGATGAACAATTATTGCCTGTAAATATTGCAAATAAATTTTTAATAAATAATTTAAAATGGTTTCCACATTGGGTCGAAGAAGATATGGAAGCATGTAAATATAATCTAAAACCAGGAACTAATAAAATGAAAAGAATAGTTCATATTGAAGTTTGTATATTTTACTTATACTATTTATTATTTATATATATTAATTAATTTATGAAAATTATAACTTAGAGTCCATCATACTTAAAAGGAGTATATCCACAAGTAGACAAGCCATCATATTTACATGTCATTCATTGTGTTCCAATGTATAGCCAATTGAAAGATTCTAACTATGGAACATTTGATAAGTTACTAAGATCAAATAAAGAATTTGGAATTCTAACATCAAAAAAAATACCACTTGTAAGTCATTAAGTTAATCATTGTGTTATTAAAGTGTTATAACTACAAATTAACAAAATATTTTTAAATATTGGTATTTTATCATAATAATAATAAAACCATGTTTTTATTTAATTTAAATGTTGGCTACATGTTACTTGTATACCCCGAAAAAAATTATTGATTAGAATTTATAATATGGCAGGTTAGTTGCATCTCATATGATAATTTTGTGTTGTAATTACTGTAAATCAAAATAATTTAATATCTAGAAGCTGATAAATTAAGATAAATATATTTAACAATAAAAAAATTAATAAATATGACAATATATTTTACTGTGTATAATTTTTCTTCATATGTAGTCAGTTGTCAAATTATATTGATACTAATTTTGATGCATAATTATAAAATGTAACTTATCCATAAAAAAAAAAAACGGAATTCTGCTAGTTTTTAATAATTCAAACGGTATTTTAGCTTAACATATTTTAATATACATTTAAATGTATATATTTGTGTGTGTATAGTTATTACATTCATTTTTTCATATTAAGTATGTAGTAATTATTTTAACAAATGTTTAACAATATTAATTATTTATATAGGTATCAAACTTTCCAATTTTTTTAAATTTTGGTGAAGTAAATATCCAAATAAAAGAAAATATTGATGTAATTTATCTCGATCATAAAAATCGTAATAGATTAGAACAATTTCATAACAAATTATTTTTGGATGTATTGAGTGTGAAAGACTTCATTGTTAGAAATTATAATAATGAAAATAATTCATACATGATAGTACCAATTATTTGTACAGGTAAGTTTCTTTTATTTTATATAATCTTATATAATATACGTGTACACATGTTAACAATATGTATGTATTCAGATTTTAAGCAGTGGGAATATAATCAGAGAGCATAATTTTTTATACCAAAAAAAAAAAAAAAAAAATAGATTTAAAATATAACAATTTTAGGTTTTTTGACTAAATAAGTAATTTTTTCGGTCTGAAAAATAACGTTAAAAAAAAAGTACAAAAATAATTTTAGAAATTGTTAAGGAATTTTTATTTTTAATAAGTAGATTTTTTTTGATATTTTTAAAATAATATTCTACACAGCTTAGTTATTTGGCTGGAAATATTACTAATTAAGTAATTACATTTTTAATATAAAAATGAACATTGTAGGCATAGAATTGATACATTGAATTTATATTTTATGTATTTACAATTCTTATATATTGCTGCCAGGGTACTCCATATTACTCACCAACCACACGACTATGAGCCAGTATTAACTAAACTTGGGTTAACAACACTTGCTGATAGGCGTATTTCTGCTAGTTAAGATTTTTTGAAAAAGCTTATGGATGGATCTATCGATTGTCCTGATTTATTATGTGAAATTAATTTCAATGTCCCTAACTTCCATTCTCGATTACATTCTTTCTTCATCCCCATCTGCACCACTAATTATTCATTTAATAGACCTATTTTCAAAATTATGCGCATTGCAAACGAGAACATCCCTACATTCACTTTTGTATAACTTATTAAATTATAATTAAATCTATATGTATGTGTCTTTAAAAATTGTACTTGGGGCCACGGCAAGTTTTGTAAAATAAAATAAAAAATATATTAAAATAATAATTAGATACACAAACCTTTAGATGTCCAAATGCAAAAAAAGCAGTATAATTTACACGAAATATGCAATTGCTCTTGTACTTAGATGTATTAGTTGTGATTTTGTATGAGATGCAGCTGTCCAATTTTTATTTCACAACTTTTTATTTTTTGAGAAGTTATTCCATCTTTTGGACTCATACTTTTTGTTGATGCTGGACATTTTATTTCAACTAAAGCATTATCGTCAACTAAGCTAGCAGAAGATGCTGCCAAGCATGTTAAGCTATGATCTCCTATTAGGCCTTATTAGGCCTATTAGTACTTTTTATATTTTTCCCCATAACCTTTATAATTATTTTTGACCATATCTTCGTGCTGTATTCCATATCTGGTGACATCTGGTGGTTGAGGTAATAATATGATTACTAATCTTTAATTAGTATTGGATTGTTATCGAAAGGTTTCGTTAAATCATCTAACAACTTCAGTGTCTATGAAGTAGTAAAAAAAAATATTTGTTATTCACGGGAACGATAACACATTGCACTCGCAGGAACACGTTCGTATTGTTCCCCCCCCTCATTGCCCTATCAACTTCAAACCTTCCTCAATATTTTGGAACATATTTGGAATTATTTGGAACCTAGTTTCAGAATTACATATAATTAATATAGGTTACAGACAAAAATAGGGATCTCATACGTCCTGTATTTTATGGGATTGTCCCGCATTTGAATGAAGTGTTCCAGTATCCCAATACAAGCTTAAATATAACACTTGTCCCATATTTTGGATAATCTGTCTCGTATGTACCTTATTTTAAAAAATAATTTTTTCATATAATTTAGGTTTTTAAATTTTAAATTACTGATAAACTATAATATCTAAATCAAATGATAATTATTAATATATGATTATAAAAAAAAAAAATCTAAAAAATAAATTAAAATTATCTCTTATGATTTTTTTTTACTATAAGGATTTCATAAAATTATTTGTTTTTAATTTTAATTGTAATTTATATTTGTTTCAAGTTTCAAATATTGTCTATAACTTTATTTTATATTATAGTAACTGTAAGGAAAATTAAATGTTACAACGAGGCCAAATGTAATTTTAGCTATCAATTGTTTACAAAGAATTTGTATAACAAAAATTAATTTTGTAATGTGTTAATTGCTAACATAAGTTCCCTCAACTCCTCTCTAAATTAATACCAATTTAAATTACAAGTATAGATAAGATTTAAAATATCCCGTATTTTTAAAAAATAAATCTGGGATCTCTAATCAAAAACAAATAATAACAATAAATTAAAATTATGAGCAGGGCTAACTTTTAGCTCAAAAAAAGTAGTTATAAGCACTGTAATATATTCTTAAAAATATTCATATTAGCGATTAAGTATGCACTAAAAATACAAAAAAAATATATCATGTAAAAAAAAACAATTAAAACTTAATATTAAAAAAATATATGTATGAAAGAAATTTAAAATTTTTATTATTAAAATTTCTATCGTATTGATACATGAATACATAATTTAAACCAAAAAAAGAAGAATTAGTTAATTAACAAGAATTAATTACAAATATAAAAATTAATACTATTATTATTACTTGTTATTATTAAGAAAAAATGTTTTAAATGCTACGGAACTGAAAAATACTTAAATTAGTAAAATAGCTAATAACAAATCTAAATATGCAAGAATAAGACTGTAAAATAGCATTTATACTTTGAAATATGCAAAAATATGCAACAAAAATTTCGTATTTAGCTTCTTAGTTATCTAAAACAAATGTATAGCTCAAATATATATATCTAGGACCTCTCAAAAGAAATATGTAAATGCTATAAATTATGAGCCCTGATTATGAGTTTTGAAATTAGTTAATGCTTTAAAAAAAAAAAAAATAATTATCTAATGTAGCTATCTAAAAGGAAATAATCTAAAAATTGTATAGTTGAAGTTTCAAATCTATTTTTCAATTAACTAAAAAAATTAATTTGGATTCCTAGTACCTATAATTTTTATAAACATCGCAAATCATTTTAAAACTGAATGTCTTAAAGGTGAGCAAAAAATTGTTCGCCCACATGTATTAATGTATGTTAAATTATAATTTTTCATTTTTTTCAATTATTGAAATATACGCCAAAGTTAGTTCATGTACAGAATAATAAATTCAATGAAATTAACTTTAAATATTAATATTATATATTATATTATTATAGTATATTAATTAATTAGTATATTAATATTTAAGTACATCTCTGAAATGTATTGTTAAAGATCATCAATTGTTAAATAAAAGAACCTTTGGGTGATTTTATCAAAAAAATGAACTATATAAGCATACAAAATAATTACATTAAATATAATAATAATAACATCAGCTAAATACAGTCTAAATTCTAAATAAATTGAACAATTACTTAACCGAGTAAATAAATGTTGGGTCTTATAATTTCTATTAATAAAATATTTTAAGTTCAGTTAAATAAGAACCGCGGGGCATTAATTATAATTTAAGGCACGGGGCCCTGGGAAAAAAGCTATTAACTGTATTATATATATATATATATATAGTAACAATTAATAATTGATATTAATAATATCAGGCCCTATTTTTATGTGCACCCCGACACACAATGTGCACTACGGCTTTAATGTGTGTGCACTACGGTCTACAAAACAAAAATTAAATAATAAGCTAACTACTAGGAAATATGAGTATTATTGAATTTTTTAAAATTTAATGCATATATATATATTATGTATATAATATATTCCTTTTTCTAAGACAGTAGCGAGACTAAATTTTCATTTAAAGCAGTAAAATCAAGTGTGCAGTCCGAAATTGTACAAATAATAGAGCCTGATAATTATTAACCAATATAGTTGATCCATAGTAATCAATATCAGTTGTCCAATTACTACATCTTAAAATTTTTTTTTTACGTTTAAATTTGATTGTTTTCATACATGTTTTTGGTTAAGTAACTTTTTTCTATCAGACTTATACACATATTTGATTATACATATCAACATTTGCTTAGAATGATTATTTTTGAAATGTTGCTATCTAACATATAAATAATATTTGTGGAAATTGTAACATTTAGCTGCACACAATTCGTGAAATAAACTGGATAGCTTTTTTTATGTTTTAATTTTTTCAGATAATACTTATTCTGTGGATTGGAATGTTGTTGATCTAAATATATTTGTAGAAACCAAGCCACCTACCATGTCAGAAAGAAAAGATAAATTTTATGAAGAATATCTTGAAATGTCTAATGTTATTTCACCTTGGTATAGAAATATAGTTCCATTACAGGTAAATAATTGATGATAATAAATCTGTGGTACAGAAGCAAAAGTTTAGGTTTTTAGGTAAATTTTGCTAATATTATTTTTGTTTCCAAAATAACAATTTCCTTGAATATGCAATTATATGACTGTTTTATCTATAATAGGTACTTGCAGATAAATAAATCATAATTTGTCACTGTATATATTTTAAAATATAAAATAAGTTATAAAAAAGTAAGATGTACAAATAACTCAGCTGTTTTATGAGATAAGATAATTCCATTGAGGCTGAAAGGTAAATTTTACAGATGTGTAGTGAGACTGAAGTGCATTACACGCTAGACAGTTAGGCTATCGCGGACGCGATTAAAAACCGCCTCGATTATTCACTTTAATTTAAACAGCCACAATTAAATCGGTGTATTCACATTGAAAAAACTGCGGACGTCCGCGTTTGATCGTCCATGTTTAATATTAGACGAACGTTCGCCTTTAACCGCTAAAATTAAATACATTGTTTCCAATGGAACTATTCACACCAAGCGTTTTATTCGTCTTATCGGGCGATCTTTATCATTTCCGTTTTATTATTGGTGGTGGACTATACAGAAAAATCTAAATATGTTTGATCTTGCACGTTTTATTATTGAATATCTGGGGAGTCTGAACATTATTTAATTTAGATAATTCCATTTAAAAAAATTACAATTAAATTTAATAGTTAAATTGAATGTTATACACATTAGTACTTTTCAAAAATTATTTAAAAAATACACGAAATAGCACAGAAAATGGCTTTTCTTATCGATGGTTTTGGTATTCATGAAATAACCCAAAAGTAGGGTTGCCATAAATTTATAAG